ATCGTACGGATTGTTTTAGGGACTCCAAATTATCATGGCGTTTAGAGCAAGCCGTACTCTCTAAAACTGACCATAAATCATAATCCAACGGATTAAGATCGGCATTAGACGACGGCCAGTCTTCAGCTCTGATGAAGTCCGAAACGTTCGTTTCCAACCAAGACTGCGTAGACCGAGCTTTATGACCTGGCGCCAAGTCTTGCTGGAAGGATCATTCTTGATTATTGAACATAGTGTTGTTACGGGGCTTCACTACCTTCTCAAGAATGGTATCTTGATACACTTATGCCCAGGTTTGATACCTTTTTCACAAAAGTATGGCTCAGTCACTCCTTCATAGCTAATACCCCACCAAACCATCACTGAAGTCGGATAGTGCCCACGTTGCACTCTGTCGACTTATTGGGAAGCTTCCTTAGAGCTTTGAGCATAAATACGGTCATTTTGTTTGTTAAAATGTTGCTCAATTGTAAAAAATTTCTCATCCGTAAACAAAAATTTTCTATGACCTCCCTTTGCGTACCGCTTCAGTAGTTGTTTCAATTTTACCACCCTATTCTCTTTTAAATTATCAGTTAAGAAATGACCAGTACGTCTCTTATAGGCTGCAAGTCCTAAGTCATCTTTTAAAATACGCGACAAGGTTCTAGGTGCTATCTTCATCTCCCGAGATAAAATCTTTTGCTTTCGGACAGGAATTTGTACTGTTACAATTAAAAATAAACAAAATATTACATTTGAATTGATACTTTAAATTGTTTTATATTTATGTATTAAACTAACACACTGTAAAAGTAATGTAATGTAAAATGCTATTTGCAATAGAATTTTTTTTCCTTTGTCACAGTATTTATGGCAAGACTAGGTATAGATATTATTTCAACAAATGATTGTGAAAACTTAGAATTGAACTGAATAAAATTTATTAAAAAAATGAAAAAAAAAATTATACGGAAAATTTAACGTTACTTTTATTAAACTTTCGTTATTAAACTTTCCATTGATAAATTGAGATAACGAAAATGGAGCTGCCCGTACGTCATTTGCTGACCTTTGACATCGAGAGAAAATTAATAGAGTAATTTCATGAATCACGAAGATTATTACTGATATATTTTATTACTGCTTTGATCTGGATGGATGTCGTAGGTGCTTTATCTAATTAAATGAACTACAAGTAATCTTTGGTTCGAGGTACATGGTTCGAAATGATATTGTAAATTAAAATATGAATGATGAAACCTGAACTCGATTGGATGTTATATGAAATATCATATTAATGGAATTAAATTCCAAACTAATAACTTATCGGTTCGTATATTTATATTTACATGTATTCACGATATAAGGTCGTGTTTTTATTTACACAAATCTTCAGAAGAGAGAACACAGACATTGCAAGGTGAATGTCACCACGCACGTTCAGATTTGAGGTCAATTTTTTTTCTTATCACTTCGATGGGTGAACAAGCTCACAACTCATATGATGTTAAATGGCTTTCGGGGCATACGGACTTTACAACCTGAATGCCATTATCCACCATGAGATATGAGGTCGAAATCCTAATTGCACTGTATAACAGCTACCCCACCCTAGAAACTGGAGCGCACTATTTCGCGGCAGACAGACAGGATGGTGGTACCTATACGTGCGGACCTATATACATTACTACCAGTAAATCTCAATTGTACTGTATTGAAGACTAATTCTTCAAACGATAACTGATTAAGTAAAATATTGTTAGAGCGGCAGAGGAGTGAGTGGGAGGAGTGACTCGGACGATCATAGCGCTCTAGTGCCAGTAAAGATCCATTTACACATTTATATGATATCAAACATTGGTACTTCACATTCGGAATCTTTTTTGTTTTAATGAGCTCTCGGCCCACCTTGCATTTAAGTGGTTATCGGAGATCATAAATATCAAGAAGTTAAATGCCGCCTTGAGACATGAATTACATACGGTACAACGGTTAACCCACCCTTAAAACCGAAACGCATTACTGTTTCACGGTAGAAATAGGAAGGGTGGTGATACCTACACGTACAAGGCGCCCAAACACTACTAAAAAGTCTTTCTCGAAATGTCTCACCATTTATTTCCTACCTTTCCCTTATATATAATTTCGCGTGTACACTATTTACGAGCAGTGTGCTTAGTGCGAGTTTTTTAACTTCTCGATCGCGTAAAAGTTAACTCAAATTTGTATGGAGTTAGAACATTTCCCTACGTTTGCCGCTAGGGGCGCTTTTCTAACTCCATACAAATTTAAGTTAATCGAATTTAAGTTAAGCGATCGAGAAGCTTAAAAACTCGCACTAAATACACAGGTCCCTTATGCGCGTCATTTTCAGATAAAATTGTAAAATTTATTAATTTCTAACTAAAGCTCCATCGTCATTGTCGACCAATTATTATTAATCGGACAACGTCATAGTGTGTTGGACTATACTACATTTATACAATCCGTTCCTCTTAGATTAAAATGAGGAAGTAAGAACGTGATACGCTACACTCTGCGGTTAACTTTTCCTTAAAAACTTCACTCCATTTTCTATTCAAAACACTTAAACTTCTGTTTATCTCAACACGAACTCTTGTACTAATTAATTAGCATTAAGCTATGACGTGCTGTTCTTCGCTAAGCTATCATTCTCGTGCTATAGTTAGTTAGTGCTATAAACACGAGCTTAAGCTGTGCGAGGTATGCTGTGCGATTGGAAAACCGGTCAGTAGTATAAATCGTTAGTGCTTACTGCGAATGAGATAGATCGAAAACTGTGCCTGCTAGTCTAGTGACTGCAGTGGGGGACAGTTAGCGCCTGTCGTGTAACATCGGCTGTGTTTCAAACAAAGCATTGACACACAAACGCGGCTTGGTTTTTTGTGTTCTTTATGACCAAACAGGACCGAATCGTTAGACACAGTACAGCGCAGTATTGTACAATGTCATTAGCAACTCCCACCATCGTCTTGATTAGATTCAAATATATTCCAATACTTATATAATTGCTTACCACATAACAAAAAGTTCATTTTTGACGCATTTAATGAATTTACATGAATTACTACAATAACTTGAATTTGACAGAGCAACTAGTGATTTTTGCTAAGATCTGTGAGCAAAACCTTTCGGTACATTAAAATAACATGCACTAAGGAAGAACAAAGTATTTTGCTACATTATCCGTACTCATATACATATACTTGAACCTCTTAAATTTGCTGTTTATCGACTAAATAAATGGCTAAATTGAGTCGTCTATTATCAAAGGTGGCAATCTGTGCATTTGGACAAAAAAATGTTATTGATATGTCAATACAGATTGATTTGAATATAATCGTCTCCTTCAAAGAATACGGTTCAAAACCTGCATTAAATAAAGGTTAATAGTTAACCTGTTATTTATCTAAGATGTCGTTCCGAAGAGTTTTGTGACTGCCAATGGAATACAAAGTCAATAATTCGTTTTTCTGATTTACCAATAATTGTCCAAAAGTCAGATTGCCGGCTTTGATAATAGTCGACTCATATATGAGTCGTCTATTATCAAAGGTGGCAATCTGTGCATTTGGACAAAAAAATGTTATTGATATGTCAATACAGATTGATTTGAATATAATCGTCTCCTTCAAAGAATACGGTTCAAAACCTGCATTAAATAAAGGTTAATAGTTAACCTGTTATTTATCTAGATGTCGTTCCGAAGAGTTTTGTGACTGCCAATGGAATACAAAGTCAATAATTCGTTTTTCTGATTTACCAATAATTGTCCAAAAGTCAGATTGTCGGCTTTGATAATAGTCGACTCAATTATGAGCTTTAAGATATTTTCTGTGTATTCGAAACCTAACGTATGAAATTTCAAATATTATTATCGCAATACATATACACCTAACATCAAGTATAAAGTGTAAAAGCGAGAAGTAATGACGTCAATGTTTAATCAGTACTCACATAATGATATTTAAATTACTATTTGGTACTTAATGGCATTTTATAGCTAAACTGGAATTGAGAAAACGTGTGAAATAACAACGAAATTCCATTCGTAAAATAAATTGGTTGAGGCGTGACGTCAATATGAAGAACAATAGTTAAACTCTTGAATCTTCTTAAAATAACGCTACCAATTCGATTTGTAGCAATTACGTAACATTATTAACAACATGCATCATATACACATTTTACCTTATTAAAGTATTAACATCAATGTGCTACAAAATTCAAAAGAAACGATGTATAGATAGTTCGATTGTGCACTAACCAGTTTTATTCATTTTAATCTATACATATTATTCATTAAATTACGTACGTACGTCTAAATCTTAATTTCTCTAATGGTTTGTGGTATAGTCAATCAAATATAAGGGAATTCAAGGCGTGGCCAACTGCAGCTTGCACGGGTTGGCTTTTATTGACGTCACGCCGAGTCTCGAAGCTCGATGGCCGCGCAGGGGCAATGCTCTCTGACACGTCACTTAGTTTCACCTATAAACCCGTTCTCGTACAAAGCGAAACTTAGACTATTCTCCATGTTTGACCTCATTTCAAATCAGCCTATACAACACGAAAATAGCTAGACTATTTCTATCTTGGAATCAAAAACCGTTCATTACAACTACATACTTTGCCACTGCGCCAAAATTAATAATAGTACTTCACTAGTACGTCAATTCCTTTCTCGTTTCATTCTAATATAAGTAAATACTAACATAAATACTTAAATACCCATTGTCTAGTATCAAGGTGGCTTGCACTTTATGATCATAGGCTGCGATTACCACTTAACATTAGGTAGGCCGTGAGCTCTCGTCTTCCCACCTACATAATAAAATAATAATTTAAAATAATAATAATAATAATTTCTATCAAATTACGACGGCTATTGTGCTTTATCGTGGATGTGTGTGTTTACTACTCACTGGAAAACAAAAATAGTGATACTTAAAAATCGTATATTGATTTTAAAAGTAATATTCGATTTTATGTTTCAGCCGGCTGGTCTCTTGGAGAGCCCATTATCATACAGTTGCATGCAAGAGGTGTATTGCATCTCACGCTGGGATCCCGCTAGAAAATACTGCCTGCGTATAGTAATGCCTCATGGCTCACTTTTACTTCAGGTAAATATTAAACTAATGTTTTTATTACTTGAACCACATTCAACCCTTCAAACGATTATAGCAGTCACGAAAGAAAAAAAATTTAATAAGCAATTTAGCCAAACAATGTCTTCAAATTTTTAGGTCCTTTAATATATTTGGGCCAGGGATATCATATCGTATTCTTTTATTTGCTGATTCCATCAATATATCGGCACAGTTACTGCTACATCTGTTGCATATTATCTAATTTTTGTTTATTACAACATAACAGCGAATGCTGTTTTTAAACTTTTAAAGTACCTGTAAATAATACAATTGCTCTATAATTTGTTTGCAGGCAAACGATGCCTACACGAGAGACCAGTGGTATCATTCCATTATTTGGAGAGTGAGTATATAAAACATAAATATATGTTTTCCTTGCATGTTACTGCAATATTTGTTTTCACATTGTCAATTTACACACGCAATATTTCTTTGTTTTACAGAGAAACATAATACGATACCGTAATTTTCTTACGAAAACCGTTAGAAAGGAAGTGGTTCTAAAGGAATTGAAGGTAATTGTAATCTTTTTAATTGCTTTTATTTGAAACAAACGCTGAGTTAAGTGACTTCTTTGTTTCCATTCTTAAATTTAATTTTCCTTTGATTATGTACTACACGGTGTCGTTAAAGTTTAATAATGTTTATAAATTGAAATACATATTCTTTTAGAACATGGTGGATTTTGTCATGACAACACCTCTTCAAGATGAAAGCGTGACACGCGCGCCCCTGCTGATTCTTACGGACTTAATCTCTGAGGTAGGATTATTTTCAAAGAGACAAATAACATATTAAAAAGGATCTTTGCACATTTTATACAAAAAAAATATTATAATAATTGAATTACATTGAAAACATTGGAATTCGTATGTACCATTACCATTACCATTGATTCTTTATAATGTTCATTGGAAGGTTGAAACATGAAATATGATATTTATAATATCGTGAGAATTTAACATATGAATGGAAAATGAATTTCACAACGCATTCTTCCCTTCTGAGAATTTCGTTACGTACAAAGGAGTATACACAATAATTTGTTTCGTATCTTAAGTGCTTCCGTATAAATTGAAAATAAGCTTTTAATGTTATATATTATGTAGTAAAATCGTAGTATTATTTTTATCGAAAATATTTCACTAATTCTAACAGTGTTAACCTGTTTTAGTATAAAATATCTCATAGACACAGCCTACTGAGTTTCTCGCCGGATCTTCTCGGTGGGTCGCGTTTCCGATCCGGTGGTAGAGACTCTGCGAAGCAATGCTCTTGCTAGGGCCAGTGTTAGCAACACTCCGATTTGAGCCCCGTCAGCTGACCTACACGTTAGGGCGAAGCTGAAATAGCCTCTCAAAGCTATCAGCATAGGTAGGAAAAAAAAAGAGTAAAAAATAATAATAATAATAATTTTAAAATATTCAAGAACAAGGAAAGCGCTGACTGGGAAGAGTGGGCTGAGAACTTGACCAATGTGGCAGCGCCGTTGCTAGCGGAACGTTGTGCGACCGGTGAGCTGTGCGCGTCGTTGGCCAGGCTGTGTCGTCAGCGTCCACGAGCCGCCCCGCTACCGGCTCTCGCTCCGCCCGTGCGTCGTGTCCTCACCCGAAACGTTGATTTCGCAAGAGCCCCCAACGCCCGCCGCCTCGTCAGGGATTACATAAGGTAACGCGCTCTATGATTTGGAAATCTCTTGTTTCTTTTTTTCTTTAGCCGGCACAGCGTAGAGGTTACAACAGTTTATAAATTGACGTCAATTAATCCAATGAACAGATCTTGTTTTTATTACGAAACGTATTATGGTTTATTGATTTAAGTTAATGATTTATAATTCTGTACGAATATTTTATTAGTCTGTTAATCTGTGTGCTTAGTGCGAGTTTTATAACGTTCTCGATAGCGTAAAAGTTAACTCAAATTTGTATGCAGCGCCCCTAGCGNTACAACAGTTTATAAATTGACGTCAATTAATCCAATGAACAGATCTTGTTTTTATTACGAAACGTATTATGGTTTATTGATTTAAGTTAATGATTTATAATTCTGTACGAATATTTTATTAGTCTGTTAATCTGTGTGCTTAGTGCGAGTTTTATAACGTTCTCGATAGCGTAAAAGTTAACTCAAATTTGTATGCAGCGCCCCTAGTGGCAAACGTTGGCGAACGTTCCAACTCCATACAAAGTTGAGTTAAACAGCGTTAAAAGAGAGTTAAAAGCACACAGATAGCTTTTTTATTTTCTTTCATTGTACTACATGGATGCGCGAACTTCTAACTGATGTTACTGGAGGTCATAATTAATATAGTTAGTGCTACAAGCTGGAGGTGTGGTCGAAGCCCCAATTGTATTCTATGAGGCCTGCCCTGCCCTTCAAAACGAAACATTGACTACTTGACGGCAGAAATATGCAAGAGGATAGCATCCACCCGTGATCACAATACGTCCGCAATTATAAAATAATAATAGTCCGTAATATTAATAGAGATAACATATCGTTACTGGTGGTAGGACCACCACCCTGCCTATTTCTGCCGTGAAGCAGTAATGCGTTTCGGTGTGAAGGGTGGGGCAGCCGTTGTAACTGTACTTGAGACTTTAGAACTTATATCTCAAGGTGGGTGGCGCATTTACGTTGTAGGTGTCTATGGGCTCCAGTAACCACTTAACACCAGGTGGGCTGTGAGCTCGTCCAACCATCTAAGCAATAAAAAAAACCCATCCTTTACGGGCAAGCGCGCACATTATATTGCATACGGTTGCATTTTGCATCGGAGTTATGCATTTTCTCTATAAATATCTTGTTATCAATATAACAACAAAGGGAAGCCTGGATGGACGGTGTGTCCAGTACATTCTTCATGTCTCTAGATCATCGGTGGCATATCGTTGAGCACCAAACACTTTATGTCTAATTCAATTTAAAATTGATTGTGATAGTTTTTTTATTTATTTACTAGCAGCCTGCTCCGGCCCCGCTCGGGTCTTTGACAAAATTTTCAACGATATTTGACGTTGTTTTATTTTTTTAAATAAAATAACACTTATTGCGGCATAGACATATGCTGTCGCGACACTTTTTGTTAATAATAATGTGTTCTAGAAAGTCGTAGTACATTATTTTATTCTATCATCAATAGTTTTCGCAGGGCACACTATGTAATGAATATTTTAGGTAATTTTTTTTACACCTTGGAGTTTATTAGAGTTTAAGTAAGGATCCCAATTTTTTTCAAAAAAGATTATGGCCTATGTCACTTGGGAATAGTGTAGCTTCCAAACAGTGAAATAAATTTTCAAATCGGTTCCGTAGTTTCGGAGCCTATTCAATACAAAAAAACAAACAAATCTTTCCTCTTTATAATATTTATTCATTTATTTCAGTTGCTATATTTATGAAGATTTTTCCTTTAGTTTTCAATTTGAATGTTTTAATTATGTATAATTAACTTAACACAAGGATATAATTTGAACCCTTATGAACAACGCGGACTGATCTCTTAATGGTGTAGGAAAATTATGATAACGAAACATGTAAATATAAAATGAATTATGCTTTATAAACTAGTCTACGAACAGAGTTTGACGTCAATTGCCTACGATAACCACATACGTCTACTAAATACGTCACACAAACCTTGACTACATACATATAAATAATTTAGCAGAAAAACAATTAAAGCCATACAGATAATTTACCGCACAGCTGAATTAGCATGATGCTGTTTCGCAACAGTAAAAAGTATATATGTATAAATGGATTTACAAAATGAAATGATGTCCTTGCATGGCTATTTTATTATGACAATTTTGTTGATAAACCTAAATTTTCAATGATTCATTGTTCGAAATCATTTTTATTAGAATTAAGACTGTGTCTAATCATTTACGTCCATCCCACCACCGGAGTACAGTTCATCCATACTACCTAGAACTACTGCGTTCATCCACAATGCGTTTCCAAAGATATTTTTTGCCACGTACCATCCGGCTTTGGAACGAGCTTCCCTCTGCGGTGTCTCCCGAGCGTTTTGACATGTCCTTCTTCAAAGGAGGCTTGCGGAGAGTACCTACTTAACGGTAGGCAGCGGCTTGGTTCTGCCCCTGGCATTGCTGACGTCCACAGGCGATGGTAACCACAAACCATCGTGGTTGTTGAAATGACGACCACCGGTATCAACGTATAATTGAAAATAGCATATCATATTAGGTGGTTCCTCTCAAAGTTTTTATTGAATTAATCGAATTCTACAAGTCGATTTAAGACTAAAGTCTAGAAAATAGTATTTATTTTTTGAACATTTAAAAATCTTTAAACGTTATAATATAATTTTTATAAATACTATTCAAAACTCTTTTCCGTTTAAACTTATTCTTTATTAATCACAGTATTATTTTGGCTCCTAAATTGATATTTAATTTCGTTGCATCTGCATCTACACAATCTCAAATATTAAATTTTGATCCTTTTGCCGATTAGACAGCGTTTTCATTTAGAAGCTCTTGGAATGAATGATGAAAGCTCTTGGAATGAATATATGAAATTTTATGAGCTTTGATAATCGCAAGACAGACTGGTCGTAAAGTCGTCCAACCTATTACAAAAATTTTATTTGATAATTCTCCGTTGATTTCCACAGTGCTTTGAGCGCCCACAATTCAGGATCGTCGCTGGTACGTCGATTCGTAGAAGTCACGCACGGTAACCGCGCCGCTTGCCCGTATCCGAGGGCTGCACCGAACCTTGCCGCGGTAGCACTAGCTGCCCTCGATGACTTCTTCAGGAACTCTTCGAAGGAACACGAATGCAATGACGCCGAGGAGGAAGTCTTATGTTTCGTGGATATTCTGGAACACATGTGAGTAGTTCTCCGAAACAACAAGTTTGTAGATTTAGGTCAAGCCGTCATTTAATGTTTTAGTACCTATAAATTGGGAATGATTGGCATGATTGAGAGCTATTAGGTCAGTGTTCGCATATTTGAAGTTGAAATCATCAATTATTTTAAGATAATGACGTCACCCGTCGTTTTTTGTTTTTGTTTTAGGTGTGAATACGAGGATTGGCTCGTAGTTGTCGGCGCTGTTCTCCAACCTGTACCTCTATGCTCTGGGGCTCTGAATTGTCCCCGTGTGGCCAGTAGACTTGGTAATGTTCTGTACGCGTTGGTGAGAGATTCTCGATGCGCTGCTCATAGCTGCGTGGCGCCCGCTCGTGCTGCAAGGCTTTACCCGCCCTCGTGGCTCAGAGCTGCTGCGCCTTCAGATCCTTTGCTAGCCATTCCAAACAAGCAGCTATGCCAGCTTTGGGGAGATATGGTAAATAAATTTCCGTATTATACAAATAAAAATATATTTTTTTAAGGAAAGATAAATTATTTACTGAAGACAGTGCCAATACTTTTCAAATGTATTGATTTATTTTTCGTTCTGTGGTTGGGGGCTTTATGTGAAATTTTTGTTTGAGCTCTAATCAAGTTTTTCATTTTTACATTTCAGTTGGGAGCTTTGTTAAACTGTTGCTGTAAAAGGAAAAGCTTTCTCCAAAGCATGAGCAAGCAATTACCAGATTTCGTCATTGTGGCTTTATGTGAACATGTGAGTTATCAATCTATTTGGGATAATGTGTTGATTTGGTATTTAAGATGTCTTAATAAATTGAACCGATGATCATTATTATTTTCTAGAAAGCGGCATTAGACGCTTTATGCTTGATGCTTGAATGGGAAGTTGCGAGCGGAGAACAAACACAGTTGGAAATAATCGCAGCGCTGCAAGGAACAAATTCTGGGCAAAAATCTTATAGTGAACTCTGTGACAGACAGAAAAATCTTCAACGTTTGGTAAATCACGTTGTCATATTAATGTAAAAAACAGATATCTAAATGATACTCTTTTACTAATAATTACACTGTAAACGTACGAATGTATATTATTTGGGAAGCAAAAGAAAATCGAGAATTCCTAGCTTGTTTGGTTCGTCAGTATAAATCAAATAACACGAATATTTTTCTCGATTTATACCCATAATATCTTCTTCTACATTCATGATTGAAACATTCTAAACTAAGCATTACAAGTTGTATACATTGATAATTTACTATAGGTCTATCGGTGAGGCGTTCCTTTTTTCTCTGTAAAGTTCATTTAAATAATTGATTTTAAAATTAGAGTGTTAGAGGTCGCGAACACGGAACAAAAAATTAAACAAAGCGATTTTAGCTAAATTTTTATTCTCAACTAGCTGACCCGGCAGACTTCGTAGTGCCTCAATCTATAAATAAAAGACCTAAACTTTTGTATAAAATAAACTTAAAACAAGCAAAAAGAATCCGTCCAACGGGGGACACATCAAAGGGAAAACAAAATTGTTATTTTTATTTAATTCCGAACATTTTCATATTTATCTACCTTTTAAACCTTCTCTGGACTTCCACAAATAATTCAAGACCAAAATTAGCCAAATCGGTCGAGCCGTTCTTGAGTTTTAGCGAGACTAAAGAACAGCAATACATTTTTATATATATAAATAGATTAATGTTTCTAGTTTTCGGTTAATTAATAGATTGTAATTGTTTAGCAAGCGAAGGGGGGACCGCGACGCCTTGCGCTCCCCATGCACACGACCGACGCCGATGTAACTGCACTTCTGGAACAGGGCTCCCTCGGGAACCTCGAGTGCTTGTCGCTTGCCTTCACAAGCGTAACCAGTGCATGCGCTCAAGATCTCATAAAGGTAACGAATGATTTTTAATATACATATATAATTCTCTTTTAGATTTATAACCAAGACGTTTCGTATATGGAATATTATTATAATAAGTCAATCTAAGCTAAATAAGCTACTAAATCTAATAGAACGTCCGCTGCTTTATATCCTAATTTCGATTTCAAATTATGTTATATGAATCTTCAGATAGAAATTACAAATATAAATTGCATAAAAATTAAATGTTTTTTTAGCGTACCTATGTGAGCAGTACAAATCACGCCTTTATTGTTCTGTGGGTCGGTGGCGGCAATTCGTTGTGTCATCTATAAGCTCTGGTGGCTACTTAATAGTCAATGGGCACAGAGCTCGCGTGCCCATGTATATAAAAGATATAATATGTGTAAAAGATGCCTTAAGCAATTATTAGTTTACTATATTTGCTATATTACATTTCAGTCATTTGGATGAGTTGAGACTATATATCAATCAAATTTAAATGATTTAGTTTTAAAATAAAGAACCGTTTGTTTGCTTTTTAAATATATAATAAAATACAACAACATATTCTACGCTGTAATTATTGACAAATGTTTTGGATTCGATTTTTCGACCCCAGGAATTAACCCTTCTTTTAACACTAATCATACCAACATTTACTGGTACCTATTTATAGCGGGTAGATTACGGTATACGACAAGTATTACTCAAAAGAAATAAAACAAAATTAAAAAAATAGTATAATAACTGTAGATTAATTGGTAAAAAAAAGTCATTAAGTCAAAAGCAAAAGATGATATGTGCAAAAGCAATAAGATGATACCTGCATTTTCAATGCATAATTTCAAAATGACTCATTTGACCCGTTAACGTATGTTTAGTGTTAATAATAATATGGTTATTCTTAAAATTTATATCATTCCAGCTACCCTCACTTCGCTATTTGAATCTCTGGGCTACTAAATTCGGCGACACTGGCCTGCAGTTAATAGCAGAGCATCTGACAGAATTGCAAGTGCTGAATTTGTGCGAAACTCCGGTATCGGATAAAGGCATCGAGGCCTTGTCAGGTACCCCACGTTTGCATATTTGAACAAAGTTGTTTAAAGGTTATTAGGTCAGACGATTAATTTTTATTTTATTTCTAGGACTGTCCAACTTGCGGCGATTAAATCTCAACAGCACCAAACTGTCGGCGGAGGCTTTCGAGGTCTTACGTGACAGACTACCGCAACTTCAAGAGTACGACATCAGGTACACGGAGGCGTGGTGACGGTTGACGGCGAACTAATCAAGTTAGCTTGAAAATCTACACGATCTCAATCCGTACTCTGCAGTATTAATTTTTAATCTTAATATCGGTACTAATTAAACAGGAACTGACACCAATGCATTTCGTGCTAGTCTATTATTGATCCCTTTTCAGTCACTAGTGGTGGCATTTCTAATAGTTGAAGATTATACTGATTAATAATATAATATTCTCCTAACCATTCATCGTACCTGAAAACGTTTTAGTCGAGCTTGCCTAAAACTTAGTAAATATAACAATAGATATTATGGTCTTTATAGATAGGTTCTCAACTTATTATGGAGAAAAGTATGTATGTATGTCACTCAGACACAGCATAAGGAATTTAATCTGTTGTATTAATATTTATTTCATTTTAAATCATAAAATAATTTCTAATACATAACGATGTATACACAGACCTTTGCAAGACCTCTGAATATCGATAATGAAAATAAAATATTTATCAAATCAATCCTGAAATGTAATTTGCACAAAATTTTATTTTATCTTAGTTTTAATGTTCACTTATAAAATTTTATTCAAATACGCTTAATTTATAATCATTTAAGAAACTTAATTATAATTTCTGGGCTGTGAACCAACTCTGAAGTGTGTAATATGTGAAAGTACAGGACGTCATATGTAACTTTTAAAGAATTTACTCGTAGTTAAACATATTCTAGCATAATTTATGTTTAGTGTACGTACGTAGGTTAATTACTGTCTTATTGTATTTAGTGTATCTTTATTTGATGTGACGTAATCGTCTTTTAAATTACGAATTTCAACAAATCCTTTCAATTATTTGAAATCTATGTTAATTAATTCGAATTTATTGTAGTGATTTGCACTGTAGTAAGGAAATGAAACTGTCTCTATAATATAAATCTTTCATACTCGTAAACTGTTCCGATATATCAAAGTTTTCGCTGTTCTATGGTTCTGAAAATCATAAATATATATAGCAAGAGTCCTAATGAAAGTAGCCCGCAGTTGAGCAATCAACATTCAATAAAGATTGTTTATTCGTAAATTCCTCAAATAAGTATAGTTAAAAGTAAGTGTTGATGTACCTTTTTGAATGTCAAGTTTGAATAGAGCTAAGTACCTACCTAAATTTATCCTCACTGTTAATATATGCTGCATACCTATTCAAAAATGCCAGAAGACGATGTAAATCCTAGGAATATATTTAATTAAATGTAATTCTATGATAACATGAAGCATTTTTTAAAATGTTTTTAATGTTTTAATTAATTCATTTGTAATAAAGAGAAATTTACAGTTGGTATTTCTGGTTCAAGTGCAACGTATTATCAAGTAATAAGTACCTAAGTATTCACATTGTTTACTTAAAATTAAGCCATTTTTACCAAAAAGTGTTCGTTCTTCGTATTAAACTGTTAACCAGGGAGTTTTTGTATTACGCATTAAGCATTTAATTTAAAATTATAACATAGAACCATTATACTTTTATATGTAATACTTAACATGTTGTAAGTTATCGGTTATTTTTCACCAAAATAGGGTGATTACATTCTAAGGATTTTGTCACATATATTTGATGCATAAATTGGTATAATATGCTATATTCACTGTTTACGGTATGCGGTTTAGATATACATGTATCTGACAATATTCTTAGAAAAGATTAAGGATTTTGTTTTTGCCGTTCAAAATAAAATTATTCGACTTGCACGGTATTGTGAGCTAGGCGAAAATCAATTTTTATAAGTCAAAGCTAACATGTAGTTAGGCGTAACAAATTTGTGTATAAACAAAAATTATATACTTTTCGAGAATGTTATCTATAATATGTAACGTTTAAATTTTCTTCTATTACGTTTTCAGAATAATAATAAACGTTTATTCATTCGAGTGCTTCATGTCATCATAGGGGATTCCACATTGAGTATACTTATATATGGATAAGTCATGAAGAGGTATAAGACTTATTTAAGGTGTGTGAAGTGTGCAAGTTTATATTAAAAATAAACGAATTACGTTATTTTTTATTTAATTTTCGCCTTAAACACATTAGAAATTTGAAATAACATTCACTTATAATAAAAAATAAAAAAAACGTGTGATGAAATTAATTCAAGATTCGTAACACCGCCTTCCAATATTCGTTGATTCTAACTAAGTTCTCACACATGGTGCCTTTATGTCTCCATAAATCTTTCACCTTTAATCTTTCAACACTGGTTTTTTTTTATTGCTTAGATGGGTGGAAGATCTCACAGCCCACCTGGTGTCAAGTGGTTACTGGAGCCCATAGACATCTACAACGTAAATGCGCCACCCATCTTGAGATATCAGTTCTAAGTTCTCAAGTATAGTTACGGCTACCCCGCCCTTCAAACCGAAACGTATTACTGCTTCACGGCAGAAATAGGCAGGGTGGTGTACCCACCCGCACGGACGCACAAGCGGTCCTACCACCAGTAATTACGCAAATTATAATGTTTGCGGGTTTTTAATTTTTATTACACGGATGTTATTCCTTCACCGTGGAAGTCAGTCGTGAACATTTGTTGAGTACGTATTAAATTAGAAAAATTGGTACACGCCTGAGATTCGAACACCGGTGCATCGCTCAACACGAATGCACCGGACGTCTTATCCGTTAGGCCACGACGACTTCTATAAAGTAAAATAAACTTTGATTCCCGGTGTTCTCCGAAGGCGAACGCTTTTAATTACTACAGGAACTTATTTCAGGGGTTTTGATCGTGTCACATGTCTGTAGCTGGTAACGAGTTCTGACAAGTTTTCCAGCATGAAAATGTGTTGGTTCAATATTGTCTGTACTGCAAATGAGTCGACTATTAACAAAGCCGGCAATGTGACTTTTGGACAATTATTGGTAAATCAGAAAAACGAATTATTGACTTTGTATTCCATTGGCAGTCACAAAACTCTTCTGAACGACATCTTAATAACAGGTTAAGTTAATACTTTATTTAATACAGGTTTTGAACCGTATTCTTTGAAGGAGACGATTATATTCAAATCAATCTGTATTGACATATCAATAACATTTTTTTGTCCAAATGCGCAGATTGCCACCTTTGATAATAGACGACTCAAATGTCTTTTATTTCTGCACCGATGCTTCTGCGTAATACAGTTTAAATGGTTGGATAGCAGTTAGGTACAGTAATTTGGTATTGCAGTTATTTTTTGTTAGAATTACTGTGTTAACATGGCCGCGGTATTCACGCTGTGGTATTGGAGGGATCACCAGGGCTGAGGCCTTGAGTTACCAACAAACAGGCGGTGAGGCTCTACTTTATTTGTTATAGGCATTTTGAACTGCCGTAGACACAATTTAAAATGCTGGCTATCCTGCCATTTGAAACAGATAGGAAGTGTAATTCAGGTATAGTTGTAAAGACGTTTGGGACAAAAGAATCCACACAAAAAGACACATGATTGCTTTTCGGTATAAATAAAAGGTAAGAATTCTGGGCTGCGAGCTTCTAACTTAGGTTTAACAAAGAATTTAACAAAATATTTGTATAGTAGATATAATTTTATTTACTTAATTTCGACACATCTATTTTATTTTACATATTTATCATACAAAATACCTATCATATAAAAAATGTTTATGAAATAGATATTCATTGTAGGTTAATGCAGCCATAATATATGACGCATATATCATACAAATAAGAAAAGTAATTTTATTTAATAGAGTGCATAAGATACTATACTTACATAGTTTGTACTAAATACATAAATTAAAAATATAAAAATCATACATCATTATCTCAAAGAAAAACAATGTTAAATTTTAGTTAGCGCGGGAATATGTAGTCTATACTAATATGTATATAAATCTACAGTGGTATTTACGGATGTTCCGTTATAACTACTGAACTATGCATCCGATTGATTTGAAACTTGGTGTTCATGTAGAAAATACATGTAATTAATGGATAGGCTAATATTTATATGAGTATTGGCCTCCCTACACCAGTTGCGGGGGCGTTAATGATGAGAATATTTGTGGGGGTGAAAAATAATAATGTTAATTTTAAATGCCCAGCGAAGCGGATGGGTACGTCTAGTGTTTATAAATACCTTATTTATACACTAATCCCATCTTTTTTTGTTCATGAAATTCCTCGAAAAATATTAAAGTTGGACGCGGGTTCGTTGTGCTTTGTACGAGTTTTTTAACAGTCTCTATAGCGTAAAAGTTAACTCAAATTTGTATAGAGTTGGAACGCTTGCTTACCTTAGCCACTAAGAGCGCTGTTCCAACTGCAAGCAAATTTGAGTTAACTTTTGCGATATTGAGTACGTTAAAAAACTCGCTAAGGGCCTGTGCACACCACGTTTTTTATACGCGCCGTCGCTTTTATCCTACAGAGCGGTTTGTTGTCGTTTGTATCGATACAAACGCGATGTCAACGCGCATGTGTATCGATAAAAACGCGCGTTAGCATCGCGTCTGTATGGATTCAAACGCGTATTTGAATTTATACAGGTGTGCAAAGGTTTACAAGTTTCTTCTAAATTACGTGCGTATCGCGTTTGTAGCGCTACAAACGCGCGTCGACGGCGCGCTTTTATCCTACAGAGTGGTTTGTTGTCGTTTGTATCGATACGAACGCGATGCTAACGCGCATGTGTATCGATACAAACGCGCGTTAGCATCTCGTCTGTATCGATTCAAAGGCGTATTTGAATGTATACAGGTGTGCAAAGGTCTACATGCTGCGTCTGACTTGCGTGCGTATCGCGTCTGTATCACTACAAACGCGCGTCGACAGCGCGTTTAAAAAACGTGGTGTGCACAGGCTCTAAGGGTTTTTATATTGACGTGCCTTTCAAGACGCTGATAGTACCTATTGAGTGAGTGTTAGTGACAAGAAACTAAAGGATTACTTATTTCTCTTTGTTTATTTAAAACAAGTTTCGTACTTTATTTTTTGACTCGAAGTCCATCCAACGAGTTTCAACAACGATATTTGCGGATTCAAGGTTTCGCTCCAGATATGTATGTGACGCAAATATAGACGTTTAATTTTGTTATTTAGATAGTTTATTACATTAACAAACTCCGCGTTGCGTCAAATAAAATTATTATCATTTTTCAACATTCCAATAATTAGATATCATTGCAAAATACNCTTTATTTTTTGACTCGAAGTCCATCCAACGAGTTTCAACAACGATATTTGCGGATTCAAGGTTTCGCTCCAGATATGTATGTGACGCAAATATAGACGTTTAATTTTGTTATTTAGATAGTTTATTACATTAACAAACTCCGCGTTGCGTCAAATAAAATTATTATCATTTTTCAACATTCCAATAATTAGATATCATTGCAAAATACTTTTAATAAGAAACTGTAAAAATATGTATGTTGAAAACTAAATTATCTAACAGAATTTATCATATCATAAAAACCTGATTGTATCGCATGAAATTATTAATGTACAATTCTTGTACGCTAATACTTATCAGAATATTGCTATTTTAACACAATGTATACTTATCCGTACAATAAATTTGAAGAAAACAGACAGAAATATTCAATTAAAACACGCCGATGATTCTCAGTCAAACTATGACTACAGTAAATATTGAAGTAGAAAAAACTATTTTGATGAAATTATCTAGTATCTAAATAATATAGGCATATTAATAATACAGGAGGCCAATCATAACAAATTGACAGACGAAAATGACTTCTTTCTGTTTTCATTTTTTGGAGCGAACTCAATCAGAAAGTTTCGCCTTAAAAGCCAATAATAATACACACATCTAACTTTGAAAGTTACGATAAGCCACACTGTACATGGTTATACAATTCAATAATTATTTTAATCTATCATTTCATTTACAATACCTCTTAAACACAACATACCTTTTTGTGCCTTTCAAACAAACACGACAAACATTTAACGTCTTGGATTTTAACTGAAAATCTTTTTTAAAATAGAATTTTCCGTAAAAGGCTATGTCATTTTGAAATTCGACAAACACTTTTACTAGTTTTTGTTTCTTGATTTTTTAAAATACATATAAGACTTAGTTAGCTTTAAAAAACAATTTTCGTTAACTTTGATTTTCCTATAATTTTGATAGTACAAATAAAACAATAAAAATGCACCAAATGGAATAATTTAATACTGGTTACATATTCTTATTTACAGTCTGGTTTGTACAAATTTTACAAAGTTTTACCAAGATTTTCACGACAGTAAAATGTATGGCATTAAACTTGTTCTTCTGGGTTTTCGTACAACGATCCATATTATGTACCGACGATGGCCATTCCAGTTTGAATTAACTCCGATAGTGTTTGTCATCATAATATATTGGGCTTATGAACAGATAAATATAAACCATATTTTATAGTTAAATTTTCTAAGAATCGCCATTGACGATAACGTATTACAACTATTTAGTGAAGGCCGCAAACACTGCCCACATAATTTCACAAGCATCGGGCCTCATGGCTTCCGCTTCGAAATCTAGATCAAGCAGGGCTCGCACGCGCCGCGTCGCCAACTCGTAGTCTTCATCGGATAAGGGCGCGAAGGCATTCTCTAGCACATCAGCTGAGTGTGCCAACATCAATAACGCTAAAGATCTTTTATCTGCATGTGCTACGTCAGTAATTGAACGACGTAGTGCTGCTTCTTGAACCTAAAAAAAATATTTGTTAATTGCGTAGACGTGGGAACCAGTTGTAATGTGAATTTATACTGTAGCCCATAGATATGACAATTTGAATGTCGCCACACACCGTGACGAGATGTCGAAGCCTCAATCATTGTAGTATAACAGGGCTATACCATTTTTATTTATTTTTTATTGCCCATGTAGGCAGACGAACATACGACCCACCTGATGGTGAGTGGTTACCGTCGCCCATGGACTTCACCAATGCCAGGGGCAGAGCCAAGCCGCTGCCTAACCTATACCATGCTTCAAAACTGTAATGCATCAATGGATTACGGCAGAAATAGGCAGGATCATATTAGTATCTGCCTGAGCGGGTTTTCAATGAACATTGCCACCAATACAAATATGTAATTAAATGCATAATTTTTAAATACTTATGTACGAATACTACATTTATGGGCTAATTCTCAGTGTTCCAAATTAAAAACCATGATTTAAGCATTATGTGTTAATATTAACAAAACTCTCGTAATCCTTGATAATTATAATATGTACTAAGTTACAGTGTACTTAGTTAACATATTCAGGTTTTTTATTTAAGCATGAAAATAAATTCTTTACATATTCATATTATATTAATATAAATATATTAATAATTATATTAATGTTTGTTTGCATTCATAAATCATAGCTTAATGGTAATGACAATATTATTGCAAATTATTTATAAACAATCAGCTTTACTGTTGTTAATTGGCAGGTGTGTATTGAAGTAGCTGGTTTTAATAATAAAGGTTTTTAAATAACTAAATATCAAAACATTATTATTTGACATACCTTTTTAACTAAACGGCACTTAACGACATTATCTGTGAGAGGGTGTGTCGTCATGTCAAATAAAAGAAAATTTTGTTTTTCTGTTGTTAAAACCCCTTTCTCAACCAGATTTTTAGCCAATCTTTCGCGTACGTTCTTTAACTGGTATTTCAGTTTCATTGGATTCCATGTTTCACCTAAAAATATTGTACATCTACATCTTTAAAACTCATTTCCATATATTTTCATATAAATAGGCCACGGCCAAACAGTGAAGTATAATTTCTTTTATGAGGTGGCTATTGATAATAAAGCAAATAAATGTAATATATAAGAATTTAAACACTTTTCCCTACCTATTCGCTGGTAGCCTAAGGTGCCATTCCAGCTTTTGGCAGAAGAGATGTTAAGGTGCCAGAAATTATGCTCGAATTTTGATCAGTAGGCAAACCCTAGTAAATATCCTTGCCTTGGAAAGCAATTGAGCCAAGCCAATTTGTTGTAAAATAAAATTAAATCCGTTATTCTATTTAAAAAGATTTATTGTTTTATTTTGAATAATTTTTAGGAGTTTTAATCTATTCAACATTTAATTTAACCACTTATTGAAATTATACTAAAATCTACTGCCAAGATTCTAAGCCTGCCTAGAGGTAAAATCTCTTAGAAATATTGACCAACATAAACCATAGTTTTTTCTCAAGATTATAACATACTTATTTCCAATTCTCAAAAACTGTGAAATTGGATCCATTGCCCTCCTAAACAACAAAGTTACAATTCCTGATAAAATTGCATAACTTAATTTTCACAACACATAAACTCTAAGCTCTTGGTAAATGTCATATTTGTTGCACAACTATAACATTTGAAATCATAAATATTTACATACCACTCAGATATTCAATCCAGCTTTGTACTGTTTCTGGAGGGTCAGTATCTTTCATATGTTTCAGAGCTTCATCTAGCAGAACATCACCGGTTAAAGTATCTAAAATGTTTTTATTTTATTTTGTTACAATGTAATTTAAGAGCTTGTTGATAGTGAAATAATTCATTTTGTTTGCTTATTAGAATTTGAAATTGCTTTAGAGTATGTTGCACAACAAGTTTCAATAGCCATTATAAATAATTCGCTTCTAAATATAAAAGAAAATTAAATATTGACTATTTCTACTAAAATATTTTATCAATAAAATAATGTTTGCTAATGTATTTTTTAAATGTTATCAAAATTAATTTCAATTCAAGATGATACTTTAGTTCTTTTATAGTTAATTATTGATAGCTTGTTTTTTTAAATAATTAGTAAGATTGTTTATTTTCGTCTGTCACAAAAAATCCCCTGTTAGTTCATCATTATCTGCTCACCATATACTAAGAATACTAGATGGTTTTGAGGTTGTGTAAGTGTGAAAGATTACAATTTTTTTTTAAACATTGAGGACTACTCAACATCCTTATGGCTCATTTGATGTTATGTGGTTGCTATTTAGTCTAAGTCTTATAGCTTATAAATTTTAATTTCTAGAAAATATATTATGTAAACAAAACTTAGGATGTAGTGATTAATTTTTCAGACAATTTTCAAATTTCAATATTTGTAATTTGGATGAAAGAAAATTAAATTGTCAACTTTTTTACTATATTTATACTAGGTTAAAGAAATGCATTTTCTGGAACAAAAAGGATATTCTATGTGAGAAAATATAGCTTTAATCAATTTAGCATTAATAGTACCTTTAGCTTCAGTGTTGATCAGTTGTTAATGAGTACTTAAGAATATTCAAAATTTTATCGTCACTTTTAAAACAGATATATGGGTTTGTTAATTAAACTTGAGCAGTAGTCACCTACCTGACTTTACAATCACTTTTCTAGACAACAAGCCTTTCCTACGCATTCCAGCTCGCTCCAGTTCAAGTCGTCCTCTTAAGCCCAGTTCAATTAGAATGCATCCTCTTAGACCACTGGATATGCAGTCATTCCAAAATGATGTATAACCCTGAAACGGTAGAAGATGAGCATGTCACGATCTTTAGACTGCTGGAATGCCATTGTATTTATCAGATCAGTTAGTCATGTAAATATTCACCTCTTTATCCTTTAACCCTAACAGTAACACTTCTTCCATTAATGTCAATTTAGTTTCCTTGGAATCTCCGTCATCATAATTTTTATCATTTTTCTTATCATCGTTGTCGTGATTTTCTTTCTGTCCGTCTGTGTTACTCTCCTTTATAACATTTCTTCGTTGCACTAAACCCTCAGTACGGTTCATATTCTCATTAAGTTATATTTTAAAATGCTAAAACTAATTAATTTCACAAGAAAGAACTATATTTATATCGAAAAATTGTAAATGAATGGTCAAGTTGACGTTTACGTTGCGACGTGATGTTGTTGTCGAAAACATGGCCGACTATACGTTCCTTTTCACCAGAACCATTCAGTGTGTAATTTTATGCATCTTTGCAAATATTATTCAAATCATTTCGATTGATTGATTTACTAGCAATGTGTCGAATTAAATGAATTTGAATACCTTTTAGAAATTTTCATGTATTTGTATACTGCACTTGCAAGCTACAATACTAAGAAAGAACTCAACTCGGATAGCCAGAAATTGAGTACAATCTCGAGTATCCAAAGAAGTCGAGTACCAAGCTGAGTACTTGGGCTGCGACTTATTTTACTTTATTGTAATTTACATTGAATTTACTTTCAAATCGTCAATACCTAAAGCTTCCTAAAGGGTTCAGAGTGATGCTACTATACTGTTGTACAAACCCCACAGAGAGGTATTATTTTAACGAGTTTTTATGTGCTTGGTGTGTACATATGTATCTTTGAAAGTGACTTTCACTCAGTTTAAAGCTTTGGATTTAATTTAAATTCGTATAGTTATCGAGAATCGATGGCAATAGAGTAAATTAATAAAATTTTCCCATTATCGTGATCAGGTTCTTCAGTATTAACGACAGTACGGACAATTAAAAGACAGTTGTGCCACTTACTATGCATCGCAGCGCCTGCTGTCTTCTTTGGATATTCTAGCAGATTCCTTTTCCGGAATCTAAAATTAATTTCACGTTAAAACCCCAGTAGTCACAGAAACTATCATCAGATAGAAGAACTTGATTTGACAGGAGGTGTGGGACTGTGATGGTGTTGCATTGGATGAAATGGTTAGATTACGAAATATATTGTAGAAGGATATAATAACCTGTTTTCACATAATAATATATTGCACTAAAAAGGTGATGCTTCGTTACTAAAAATAAATGCTTAATAGTTTAAGAAACATTTTATCTCTCCCCAAGATATCTATTTTGATGAAAGACCGATTATGTGGAAGAAATAATCTCATACTATAGTTTATTGGAGAATATATTTGATGTAGTTTCATGTGAATAGATTAATTTAATCTCGGCTAATTCCTCAGAGAATCTGCAGAGACTTTCGTAACTTACATTAAGCGATGCAGTTTATAAATTCAGAGATCGTAACACAGTCCCCGATATCCAAATTTTTTAAATTCTGACACCATCTTCTGCATGTACGCAAACGTACTTAAGCTATATCTGGTGTTTAGAAGTCGCGACCCAGTTACACCCAGTTTAGCCGAGGTTAAACATGTCGATAAAGTACAAATTTTTGACCAGGCGCAAAGTACAGAAAAAAGATAAGATCACTTTGTGGTTCGTCTGTATATTTTTTACCAATGATCAAAATTCGATCATGATCATTGAAATCCAAAAATATTTTTTTTTTTCATTTTTTTTTTTGATATAGTCATTTTGAAAACAAAAAAGAGACTATTTTTAAATATTATACATAAAATTGTGAACACTAAATGTCGTTCATGGCATCTCCACAAAAAACAAAGAAAAAAGCGGAGGAGAAAGGTTAAATATTCTATATTTACACATTTATGTACCTGTATGTTATTAAGTAATGGAAGTACATATACTTATGTATATACATAAATATATGAACGAGGAAGCTCACGGCTCAAGTCATAAGATATTTTTCAGAAATCTTACGTTTGCTATGCCACCCTATACCATAACTAGAACATACGATTCTTTCCCAACACAATTAAGCAGAGCTGTGTTATCGATCCGTGTGTATAGCTCGCCTGACAGCCGTTAATTAGAGCATAAGTTTATTTGAATAAAAACGGTTGAATTACAATGATATATAAAAAATTTCATTCCCTCATTAAAAACGTAATCATAAGTAGAAGTACAAATATATAATTTTTTTCTATTTTTAATTAAAATAAAAAAAAAACGCTCTATGCAAATTGCTATATGAAAATAATAAGGGGTAATGTTTTTTAAACATAAATGGTCTGGTTAGTAAGTAGGCCGTACTACTTGATATTAGCGGCTGTCGGAGTTCGGAGTTGATTAACACCAAATAATTAGTAACATTAAGTAATTAAAACTCGTAAAGGATAAGGCGCGCTGCATTCGTATCAAGTACCTAATGCAATAATGTTTGAATCCCCCAGGCAGGTAGGTACCCGTTTTACTTATGAAATACGTGCCTTAAAACAACTGTCCATGATTGACTTCCACGATGATAGAATAACATCGTGTAATCAAGCCCGTAAAATTATAATTTTTATTGCCCTTTTACGCAGACAATCATACGGCCACCTGGTGGTGAGGGGTTACCGCCGCCCATAGACGTCAGCAATGGCAAGGGCAGAGCCAAGCCGTTCTATCTACTGCTAGTACTCTTCATAAGTCTCGCTTAAAGAAGGATATGTCGTAGTTCTCGGGAAATATATTTACTGCCGTAGGACATCTTGTGAGCCCGCACGGGTAGGCGCCACCACCCTCCCTTTCTTCTGCCGTGAAGAAGTAACACGTTTTAGTCTAAAGGGTGGGGCAACCGTTGTACTCCGGTAACCTCTTAAGACCAGGTGGGCCGTGACCTCTCGTCCACCCATCGAACCAATAAATAAATGTTAAAAAGATGGAATTTTGTGAAAGGCAATGAAGTATAATCATCTAGTCTGAAGATTTACTTGTATTTAAAATTATAATAAACACGTTTCAATGCCGAGAAATGTTATTTTTTACATTAAAGAGAGATTAGATTGTAGTGGGTTGAGGCTATTGTACAATTTTATTATGAAAGAAAATATACGCCAGATTAGGTGTTTTTCTATTTTAGGGTTCCGATCCTCATATTAACCGAATCCTTGATGTGTGCATGGTTAGTGCATGAATTAATAAATTACTTGAAAACAACAAAAATAGCTCGTGAAACTTCAGGTGATTTTGCTGAAATTTTGACTAGATTAGTCATTTCTAACTCAGTTTTGTCGAACCTATGCCTCGAAGACTCCATCAATATTCAAACACAATGAAAGACGACACGACATACGAGTGGAACTAAAATCCACAAGGGGAACGCAAACACAACCGTATTTAGTATTAAATTCCAGATTTCAGATTTAATTTACTGCCACTAGTTTTCGAACGAATGTCTACACGCAGAAAGTCGCGTGCAAGGTTAGTTAAGAAAAATAGTAGAAACAATATTCATCTCCTTTGCTAAGCATGAATAGGTCTTTGTCGTTTTAATAAATTGATTTTTCTAGCCTGTAATGTAAAACGTACAACATTTTAGTGTCAACTGGCAACTCGCCCGCATAGCCACCGACTCAACCCCCCTGATGACCCCACGCGTTATCCGATATTGTGTTTGTCTTACTTTTGCTATTTCAAAAACTTATAAGGTGTGTGTTTCAGGTGTTTTAATCATTGCAAATGGACATAATAACTAGGTTCATCGTAATTTATTGTCCATTGAATTAAAAATGTAATAAATATGTCATTTCTGTAATGTAATGTAATATTATATGTATCTGCATATGTAAAGTATGATTAAATTTAAATTTTATCAAATCGTGTTAAGATAATTATTTAAAGTAGGTATTATGAACTTACAAGGGGAGAAGGCACTCGTACAAACTTATCTCGTGATAATCAAAAGATTAAATGGATTAGATCGTTTTTATTATGTAAAAATAAAAGCGAGCAAAAAAACGCAGCGAAAACCGATTAGCTAAAGCCCAAGCTGTTATCATACAGAGAAGAAAAAAGGTGTACGGTACGTATTCGTCAGTGCGAGCATTCAGTCAACCACGGCCGCTTGCGAGCACGTGTGCTTTGTGATAGTTGAGTGACACTAAGCACTGAACAGACATGGACGCGGTACAGGAACACAAAAACAATACGGTAAGTAATTCTTTATTAAAATATACATAATATTATGTCCACACAAAGACGACGGAAGATAATCTCCCAATGACTGTTTTCAGTTTTTTTGTTTCAAAATTGTGTTAAACTTCGAACCAGGCTGAAGGCGCCAAAAACGAAATGTTTGTAAAGTCTTCGCAAATAGTAAAATGAACTTTACACTTGAGTTGTGCGTGGTAGCGGGCCGGGGCAAGACGCCAGTTGGCCGCATCACTCGCGTCGTCGCGGTCGCAGTAATCCATAATAACATTCTGTCTAGCTTCGACCTACGCGGGGTCAAGCCACGCGAACTGCTGATAGTGACGTTTCTCACAAACTTGTGATTTTAGTTTAACGTGAATGTCAAATTCGTGGAATCCAAAGTGTGCTTATGAAATTACTCGAGTTCCTGAGTATTTTATTAAATTACGATGCTTGAAAAAAGTAATAAAAATAGTGTAAGTACATAAGTTTGTTACTTATTATTATTAGGTAGGTATTTCGATTTTTCCAGATACTAGTTTCCCTGTCATTGTATGATTTTATATATGCTCTATGTAATTAATTCTTAGAGTCGTTTTTGTAATACAACATTTTCAATTTAATTTATATTTAATCTAGCAATTGATTTTACGGAAAATACAACCCAAATAGTGTGATAACGTATAACGATATTTGATAACTGTCATAATCGAAAACATCTGAGTGCGATTATTATTTTCCTCACAATATCGTCGTGATAGAGTTTGTATGCGAGAGGCGAGTTGGTTCGTTGTGCGATGAACTACGTTATCAGGCCGAAAACCCGTTATATGTCCGACTGCCAAAATTAACATAGCTCAAGGAAATATACATAATATCGATTTGTATCATAAATTTGAATTTGTAATTTACTCAGTTTTAAATAATATAAACAGGGCTCATATATATATATATATGCATTGGAAAGTTTTTAATAAGTCCATTTTATTATACAAATTATAATGAAATATTTTTACGGATGCTCGAAAACTGGAGATAGACGATAGTGCTGATATGTAGTTCCTAGCAATTTATCGCGATAAAATATTCTGTTTAATTGAATCACGCAGTGTAACCTAACTCAATACCAAATGTCGCCTGGGAACCTATGCGATGCAACGACACGTGGAACGTATACACTTGCTTCCTTCACTAACGTAGATTGCGAGTTCACAAAAATGTTAACCCGTAATTAATTTTTAACTCAGCACAATATTAAAATTGTTTTCCGTTTGTTATAATGTAGTACATTGCTCTCTTCGACAGGTATCAAAGTATTACCTAGTGGTTGAATCATGCAGTTCCTCACGCTTTACATTCATTATAATATTGCGATCTAATATTTCATCAGGTACCAGTACATAGGAATCAAATGCGACCTTTTTCATGAATGACCTTTTTTGTTTCTTTGATACGGTGATATTTTTCGTTGCTGTGCTAGTATTAGTAAATGATAACAGTACTGTCCCCGTATCGCTATCTTTTAACACACCCATATTATGTAGAAATACTTTGTTGCTTACTGAAATCCCTGATATCGATTAAATTGTGAAGTTTTGAATAACATCCAAATATTAGAGTGTCTGAGTTGTATTTAATATGATCTTTGTGATTCAAAATTTCGCTCGCTAGTACGGGCGAAATTTGCTTTCTAGTTTACACTGTCAAGGTTATTTCTAATTGCCCTTGAATGCCCTATATAGTAATGATTACAAGAGATAAAGAATTTAGCTTTATGCGATTTCTATGCGCACGGTCTCATCAGTTATACTAGTTACAAAATCGTAATATTAATATTAATTAATTTTCGTGCTTATAATCAATTCAACCAAACAATATTTTACTTCAGGTGAATGCTCCGTGTTAATTTCTGATTGAAGAAATCTAAGCAATACAGTTTGTTCACCTTCAAATGTAATTATTAGGTATTGTTCTGAACAAGAACCTGAATGTGCAGTATTTAACAATTAACTACTTATTATAAGCACATTAATCCGATAAGATGATGATAGCGAGACCAAATGACTTTGAAATGTCGTTCATTTATAGATTATAAAGTAAATTTCGAAAGATCGAGATCAATAACTTTAAGGTTTTTTTTTTCAGATAATTACAAATCTGACATAGGTGATATAATGTAATACACTGGTGATTAATATACTGTTTTTCCGCTACCTATTTGCTGGTAGCCTAAGAGGCTAACTGACTGGTATCTATGTGAGCTCACAGGCTCAACCTGAGAGAGTTTTATAGCACTGGCCCCAGCGAGAACAGTGCTTTGCAGAATCTACCTACTCATCAGAATCGCAACCCACTGAGAAAATCCAGCGAGAAACTTAGTGGGTTGTGTCTATAGACTAGTTCGCACATCTAACTCTTCGTCGTAATCGACGAGTACGACAAGGAATGTGACAGAGCGTAACCACCATCTTGTCTATTTCTACAGAAAAGCAATAATGTGTTCCGATTTGAAGAGTGAGACCGAGACAGCGTGTTTGACAAGACAATGGAGATCTGAACACTGATTTTAATTTTAATTGTCGTAGGTACAAACTATTCAAAGCCCGGCTCAATGCGATTTTATTCACGGCTTAAATGTACGAAAAGTAAACTATAGATAATTAATGTTTAATAGCATGTATCGCTAGTGGTAATGACGTACGTATTTTGCTACATAATAATCCCGTAAAATTTAATAGAAGCAGGTAGGTACCTACCTACCTACATCACAAAGGAGTTTTTAATTTTCTTGTAGTTTCATTGTTTAGATTTCTTTGCCAACACAGCTTACATAGGTTTTAATTTGCAATTTAGCTTAAAACAACCATGGGGCATTTTTGCAATATTACAAATTTATACTCACTAACGCTCAATATTTATTATAAATCAAGCGGCATCAAAATAGTCACGATCCTCAGAAATGAAAGAATAATTCAGTTGGAAAGGGCTTCTATACAATGTTATTGAAATGTTTCTAGTAGAATACAAAACGTTTTGTTCGCATAAATTTATTTATTTTATTTATTTAATATATTTGTACACACAGCTGTTAGAAGAAATATGACAATAAGGATACAGAGTACAAGGGCACTACTTATTTCATGTTGAAATCTCTTCCAGTAGGCCCGCAAAAGGAAAGAAGAATTAGGAACACAAACTTAGTGTATACAATAAACATTACATATAATAATATATACATATTACAAGATGCAAAACAATATATATATATATACACATACATATACTTTTATTTAATATGGTAAAGATAAATAGTGTTCTTTAAGAGATTTCTTGAACGCTGCTATAGTTTTGCACGCTCGTATGCCTGGAGGGAAGGAATTCCAAAGTATAACTGCTTGTACAGAAAACGATTTTGCGTAAGCATGTGTTTTATGAACTGGGCATTTGAGGAGAGTTTTAATGTGTGTTCTACAAGGAGCAAGGGAGGGACGGGCATAGGTAAAGCGATCACGTAAATATTGCGGGTAGTTAGGATTATGTAGGATATTCAATAGGAAGCACAATATTCTAGTATTTCTGCGGAAACGGACTGGGAGCCACTTGAGCTTTTTGCGAAATTCAGAAATATGATCATATTTTTTGAGACCAAAAATAAAACGGATGCACAAGGTGGGTGGCGCATTTACGTTAGTAGATGTCTATGGGCTCCAGTAACCACTTAACACCAGGTGGGCTGTGAGCTCGTCCACCAATCTAAGCAATAAAAAAATAAAAAAATAAAAAGAAAGTTTTAAATATACGCTATAAAACATGTGTGAAAAGTCGAAAGAAAAAGGCACTGTATTTGGAGCGAGTCGAGATGGGGAGAGTGTTCTTATTGGATCGTGTTTTATTCTAACTTCGATTTCTTAACTACCATAATTTCAATGTTGAAAATTCGTTGAATTAAAAAACATAAAGACGAATAAAAAGAGACCTTAACCTTAAATGCTCACTGGACTAAGTAAGTAAGAAAATACGAATTATTCTACTATTTTCTTTACTAGGAAAACGTGAGCTGGTTTGAAAATGCGTGTGTTAGTAGGCCAATATAAATTTGTCAAAATGTCTACCCACATTTATTTGATAAACTAAAATTTTAAATGAAACCCAAGCACTTTGAATAATATATACACATAATTACCATACATGTACCGTGAATCCATGATATTATGTAAAAACTTATTATTTTAATTAATAATCTACTATAATTTTTTATTTTTAAATTAATCTGAATTCAAATTACAAAGTTTCTTTTATAAAAACGCAATTAATAATAGCTACCATAATAACAGGTTACCATAGGACCACAGGCCCGACAATGTGAATTGAGTACTAAGTCTCAGTTTTACAAAATATCGTCTAATTAATAAATATCTAATTATAGCAACTGTACGAGAAGAGTTAAATATATACTAAAATGCTAAGAATATTAGGAACGCACGAAGTAGTAGTTCAAAGATACCGGTTCGTATGCCTTGATCTTCTTTCTGATTGTTGGACAGAAAATTATCATAACTTCACTAAATTAATCAGCTCGGAATAAAATTAACTTGCACGTCATAAGAGTAGGCAATATCTTTCACAGAATAGTTACAAAACTCACTCTTGAAGCGTAGTCACTGATTTTCTGCGCTAGCCTACTAATTGCAGTCACCTTGAAGAAACTTGTTATAACTTCAACGTCCGTGAGTACCTGTTTTGTCTAACAATGAACGTCTGATTGCTTTTCTGGATTATTATTATTTTTTAATAGCCTGGATTCTTGTTTTTTAGACATGTTTTCATTTCATTAATGTGTAAATGTTATTTGAAAATGAATTTCAGTAGATTCAAATGAAATTGATTATGGGATGAAATTGAATGAAGTGTAAAGGGATATAACGAGATGAGATTAAATTAAATAGAATCTCAGTAAAACGGTGTGAATTTACTGAGAGTGCAATAGACTTTTAGAAAGTACCCGGAAAGATACGTCTTTTCATTTTCCCACACTAGTGCACTGTCGTAGATGCTAAACGGGTAGAATAAAGCCCCTATCCGTCACGATAGGATTTTTAACGCATACGGTCTCGCAAATCAACGAGATCAGGTTTGTGATTTTTGCGTAACTATCAAATTGTCATTTTTTTAGTGCAGGAGACCCTACTAAAGCCCGCACGCCGCGACCCTAAAATCGCGAACTACAACTTAGTTAGGAATGACAGGCTCACTGCTCGTGGTGGTGACCGTTATTTACTATAGAAGAGCCCTGCACTGCGTCCCGCTCGATCCCCTCGCACTCGCTAACATCGAAGCATCAGTATGCCGAATCTCACTGACGGGACACGCGCCGATCGTTATCGCGTCCGTTTATCTTCCACCTGATAAGATCGTTTTAAGCAGTGCACTACCCGCTAAATATCGCGCATCGCCCGGATATACTCGATATAGCATTACTAAAAAACGTAACTCTGCGCATACGTTCGATCGAAGTAATTTCAAAGTTAGATTCAGACCACCGTCCCGTCGTTATGAAGCTCGGTCGCGCTCCCGATTCCGTTCCCGTCACAAGAACTGTGGTGGATTGGCACACGCTGGGCATCAGCCTGGCTGAATCTGATCCACCATCGCTCCCGTTCAGCCCGAACTCTACCCCATCCCCTCAGGATACCGCTAAAGCCATAGACATCGTAACATTACACATCACCTCGACATTAGATAGGTCATCGAATCAAGTTGTAGCGGAGGACTTCCTTCACCGCTTCAAATTGCCCGACGATGTCAGGGAACTCCTTAGAGCCAAGAACGTCTCAATCCGCGCCTACGATAGGTATCCTACTGAAGAAAACCGTATTCGAATGCGTGCCCTACAACGCGACGTAAAGTCTCGCATCGCCGAAGTCCGCGAGATGCCAGATGGTCTGATTTCTTAGAAGGACTCGCGCCTTCCTATCGTCCTTACTATCGTTTAGCTCGTACTCTCAAATCGGATACGGTAGTAACTATGCCCCCCCCCCCTCGTAGGCCCCTCAGGCTGACTCACGGCGTTCGATGATGACGAAAAAGCAGAGCTGCTAACCGATACATTGCAAACCCAGTGCATGCCCAGCACTCAATCCGCGGACCCTGTTCATGTAGATTTAGTAGACAGTGAAGTCGAACGCAGAGCCTCCTTGCCACCCTCGGGTGCATTACCACCCGTCACTCCGATGGAAGTTAAAGACCTAATATAGACCTACGTCCTCGTAAAGCTACCGGTTCCGACGGTATATCTAACCGTGTTATTAAACTTCTACCCGTCCAACTCATTGTGATGTTGGCATCTATTTTCAATGCCGCTATGGCGAACTGTATCTTTCCCGCGGTGTGAAAAGAAGCGGACGTTATCGGCATACATAAGCCCGGCAAACCCAAAAATCATCCGACGAGTTACCGCCCGATTAGCCTCCTCATGTCTCTAGGCAAACTGTATGAGCGTCTGCTCTACAAACACCTCAGAGGAGCCATATTGGACCATAGGTAATTTTGTTAGGACCATAAGTAATTTAATTTTGTTTGTCATAAGGTTCTTCCATGCTTAAAATAGTTTCGTCTGAAATAAGAGATTCTGGTATTTTTGCTCGCGGAAGTCTAAGAAAACCAAGGACTCTCAAGCTTAAATTTTTAGTGCAGTGGTCCACCGCAAGAAATGTTTTTTTTTAAAGTTGATTAGCGCTATTATTTATTAGCTCAAATATTTATTCCAAATTTCGAAATTATAATAAAATGAAAAATCGAATCGAAAATCGTACCTGGAAATAATCTACGTCATATTATTATATAGTTATATATAAAAATTATCAAGCAACATTTTCCCATCTGTAAAACAATACATAAGAGGAAATATAATACATAGGTACAAAAAAAAATTTAAAAAAAATTTACGAAATATGAATACCAATCGTGGGAAACTCTAGATCGAATAAATGTTTTAAAAGTAAAACAAACGTGCTTATTTTTTGGGTATGGTTTGATTCACATTACAATTTTTATATTAGAAACTAGCTGACCCGGCAGACTTCGTAGTGCCTTAATCGTTAAAAAAAAGAAAATTGTTCTTTTTATTTAATTCCGAGCATTCTCATATTTTTCTACCTTTTAAACCTTCTCTGGACTGCCACAAATAATTCGAGACCAAAATTAGCTAAATCGCTCCAGTCGTTCTCGAGTTTTAGCGAGACTAACGACCAGCAATTGATTTTTATATATAGAGATAACAAGAGTTCAAGGTTTTCTATTTAAACAAGCACAGGAGTGGCTTTTCTCATTATTAGACACTTAAGAAGTATTATGTACATCATATGTATTGGTAATTTATTAGAATTTGATGTTTTTTTTATTTATTGCTTAGATGGGTGGACGAGCTCACAGGCCACCTGGTGTTAAGTGGTTACTGGAGCCCATAGACATCCACAACGTAAATGCGCCACCCACCTTGAGATATAAGTTCTAAGGTCTCAAGTAAGTTACAACGGCTGCCCCACCCTTCAAACCGAAACGCATTACTGCTTCACGGCAGATATAGGCAGGGTGGTGGTACCCACCCGCGCGGACTCACAAGAGGTCCTACCATCAGTAAGTACCATGTAAATGTTTAGGTACAAAAAGAAAATAAATATCATAAAGTAATGTTTATTAACACTTACGAGCATATCCAATAATATATCTAAGAATGTTCCTATCGAGAGTTTGTTCCATACCATTGACAGGTAGTTATGGTCCCTAAGGAACGTGGATCTCCATGATAATCTAGAGCTTGACTCAGTAAGTATCTACAGTCGGCATAATTGTGCCACTTTGAAAATGCATCACGACATATAATCCATCTTGTCGTGGCCACCGGGAATTACATACCCGATCCTGTAGACCGAATGGTAAACAGTGGACGTCGCCCTAAACACGTCATTACGGATTCTCCCGGTTCATTAACGGTGCTTTTTGGTACCACAAGCACCAGTCACAGTCTTCGTCGAACACGTCGCTTGCAACGAAGGGCTGAACGAGTGAATTAGCCCATAGACAGTTTCTCGCCGGATTATCTCAGTGGGTCGGGTTTCCGATCCGGTAGTAGATTCTGCGAATTACGGCTCTGCTAGGGTTCGTGTTAGCAATGTCGTCAAGTTTGAGCCCCGTGGGCTCACCTGAAACTGAAATAGCCTCTCAAGGCTATCAGCATAGGTAGGAAAAAATAAAAATAACAATGTCGGGAAAGTCGTAAAGTTAAGAATATTTCCTTTAGAGCATTGAGACTTAGTAGAATCTAATTATTTTATAATCGTATAAAAGATTTTTGCGATTTATGGTTTTGAACACATTCGTATTTGGAGATTATCATCGCTTAACGACTTTGATTTTTCGTTTTAACGTTTCGTGTTCGTCTAATCCTTTCTTCGCGCTATTAATACTTATAATCTGTAGTTAGTTCGATAAATATTTGGCAACTCGAATGGAATGCAATATAGAAATAAAATTAGGTAATTCTAAGATATCCTCCTCCCTGAGTCGCATTTCCAAGGGTCGTGACCATCTCATTCGCCTTGCATACACCTCCACTCCAGTGGTCGAGAGTTGTCGCATTATATATTCACCGTAGGCATTGAAGAGAATGGACGAGAGAATACAGCCCTGGCGTACCCCTTTTCCGAAATAGAATGACTTGGACATGCTTTGATCTATTCTGATCGTGCCTCCACTCCCAGAATACAGGCCCTGAAGCATGGCAATTAGTTGTTTTGGGACACCTATCTTTTTTTATTATTGCTTAGATGGATGGACGAGCTCACAGCCCACCTGGTATTAAGTGGTTACTGGAGCCCATAGACATCTACAACGTAAATGCGCTACCCACCTTGAGATATAAGTTCTAAGGTCTCAGTATAGTTACAACGGCTGCCCTACCCTTCAAACCGAAACGCATTACTGCTTCACGGCAGATATAGGCGGGGTGGTGGTACCTACCTATGCGGACTCACAAGAGGTCCAACAACCAGTAAGAATTTGTCCTAATTTGTTCATTTATTCACTGATGCAGTTCATTTGTTCACAAGCCACTACAAAATTTCCTCCTCTCCAATAATATTCTTAGCAACTTTCAATCAGGCTTCCGATGGGAACACAGCACGGTGTCTGCGTTGCTGAAAGTCACAGATGACATTCAATGAGCAATTGAAAACCAATCCCTAACCATTCTTGTACTACTTGACTTCAGTAACGCATTTAACTGCGTGGATCTCGATATCCTGCTCGGTATTCTTCGATCCCATAGCATTACTACTTCTGCCCTAAGGTGTTTTGAATTCTAAGGTACATTAAAATAATAAAAAACTGCGACTTGTTCACAAATCGTGTATGACATTTGATTGTCGCTTATATATCCATGTGATCTTTTTAGAATGACGGTACCTTGTGATTATTGTGACTCGTTATTCAGTGCCAGTTTGACTGTAGAATTGAACAGTATTGAAAAATGAAACTAAAAGATCACAGCATTACCATTAAAAGTACCCTTAAAGAAATAAATTAATATTTATTCAAAATGTATTTGCCACTGAAACGTTTTTACTTAAGTACGTACCTACACTGGTAACTTGTCCTTGTTGTCATTATCGATTCATTGTTGCAAATATGGACGGCACTAATTTATTAAGTGCAAAAACAATTTTCTGTGCAGTTATAAAAATGCTAAAGTTAATTATTTATTTTTTTAGTTTTAAAATTTACTTAATATTTAGTGATTACTGAGCACTAAAACTCAAACCTAAAACGTCTGAATATAAATTTTTAAATCACGTTCAGTAGTCATTATTGATTGTTTCAGGAAAACTCAACGGTTACAGTTGAGAACGGTGCTACAGATACCCTTAAAACAAACAACATGCAAGTGGCGAATGGAGTCAGTCAACAAATATACTTAAACGGTGAGTAGTTTTTATCGATTTAAGAACTGCTTATTAAATCTCACGGAGAAATACTAAAGAGATACGATTCATTTATTACTTGACTGGACCCAACTTATAAAATTTTGTGCGACTCAAAACAAGGCAAGTCGTACCCACACACACAGACAGAGAGAATGATGAATTCTTTGAAAAGATAAAATGAAAGGTACCTTAGTATGTTGTTTATTTTATTAAATTTCGTCAAATGAAATTAGTGTATATATCGAATTATAAAAAATAATAATTTTATAAACGGTGTTGCATTGATTGATAAAATCATCCCTAGGTTTATTTCAAAAACAAAACAAAACTTAAAATATTATGGCTCTTTTTAAATGAAGTACGTATTCCAAAAATTAAGAATTAAAAAAAAAAACCTTTTTTAAACTTTAAAAATGACAAGAAAATAAGCTACCATTTTTTACCTTAGCGCAATGAATGTTTTTTTGGCTTAGCAGCTATTAACGAGTTTTATTGAGAAGTTTAGAAATAGTGAGTTTTTTATATAAACGTTAATAGCAAAACGATATATAAGAGTAATAAATTAATAAACTAAACGTAAAATTATTAATTTATATTTAAAAATATTTTTTATAAGATTATTTTGTGATTCTGGTCTAATTTCGATCATTGGCAACACTAGATTAAGTTAAGCTTTCAAAGTCTTTCCTTCCTGTTTATTATATTATGTAATACCTATACTCTACTTAATTAATTAAATGGTACCGTATATTAAATCTAAGATTTAGATAATATACGATTGTGTTACGAATATCTGTAATCCACATTCAATATTATTAATTCGAAAGTGAGTTTATTTTTTTGTTACGTCCTACACATCCGGTCACTATGAAATTTTGCATAGTCTTTATCGGTGGGACATAGGGCATTTTCCATCTAGCAAGAAAGTACTGCACGCGAGTGAAGTCAAGGGTAGAAACTCTATATATAGTTCAAATTACTTTAATAATATAAGACTTTTTAATAGACTTAGAAATATTCCCTTCATTGCGCTTTACCGATTGGTGTGCAGGGTATTTATTATTCGTAGTCCTACAATAGATTTGCCCAACGAATTCAGAATGCATTAAATTAATAAAAACGATCTGTAGGTAATTAAAGTTATAAAAAAGGTGAAACTAGAATGAATGTTGTCGATTCTATCATACAATACATATAAGTCTGAGCATATAAATGAATACCGAGTAGTAATTGTTTCCAAAATTTCCACTTCTATCACGACATTTAATTATGACATCAGCTGAATTTGATAACACAATTTCAGTAGGTATTCGCAGGTGTTCGTAAATCATAGCATTAACGTTAAGATTCTGAAGATGGATGATCGATCGATGGATAAGTATATCGGGCATGCTATTCTTATTTTAAGTATATTTAATAGATAACTGTAATTGGTGTGTTGCACTCGCTAAGTGCATTGTTTATCAAGAAAATGAGGACGATAATCTGGCCTCATCCACGTCATTTACAAAGATAATTTTGAATGACAACAGAACTGCGAGTAGAGTTGATTTATGATAAAGAAAAGTATTATGTAATATGAACAGAAAAATTACAGTATTAGTAAACTAGTTGTTTTCTGTACACCTTGCATAAAAACGATAATTTTTCAGGTACATTATGAGTGCTACCATACAGATGTGTTGTGATGTGATTACACGCATGACTCACATTGATAAAGAAATGTCTTTTTTTTTCATGAATACGGGTATTTTTTTAGTGATTCCTAAAATACGTGGAAGAACATAATCACATCTATTTCTACGTCTTAATCTCTTGATTATTATTATCAAGTTTTTTATATTCACCGTTATTAGGTTTTTCTTGGATTTTTAAATTTCCAGTCATTCATAACCATATGAATAGTAAACTATTTAAGCGTAGGTTGCAACTTGGATGTGCCTCTGGCATTTTTGGCGTCTTTGAGCAAGGGTACCCATTCACCATCAGGTGAGCTGTATGCCCTATCTATATTCGTATATATATATATATATATTAATTTGTTCCAAAAGCAGTTAAAAATTACAACTCTATAGAGCATTTGAAGTAAGCACATATTATTATGTCATCATAATGTACAACACATTAACTAACGTCTTTGGGTTGTTTTGTGGGATATGATTCAATTATACGTGAAAAACAATCCGTTCACATTATTAAATGAAATGAGTTGTAAAATTTTAAAGTAACAGATAACAGTAAAATTTATGTTATTACATAATGAGTGCTCTCACATGTTCGTTTATATAAGGTTGGTTTATATCTAATCGAAATACGAAAATAAAGCGAATTGTTTCACACATTAATTTATAGTATAAAAATTGTGTTTGTTATTTTAAATCGGTCGGGTTATGTAGCGTATGTATTTAATCTCTCAGGACCGGATCAAGTAGTGCCCGCAGAAAATTACACAACAGCAATTCCTGGATGTCACGTCAAACTTCGCATCGCCCCCCGCGGCTTAGCAGCGGAGCCTCCTATATCAGTGCCTGGATTACTAAGTCGAACTACCGCCAGATATCCTAACGCTACAGCACTGGCCACAAAAAAGGCTGATGGGAAATGGCACAAAATCACCTACAAGTAAGGCCCACGCCTAATATAAAGTTCATTTCATAAAAATGCTATGAGTATTTGTATCTATAAATATTATGTATGTTATATATACACATATGTTTAAGTAATATCACCTTCACACTACACCTACCAAGCTTCATCTCTGCACTCCCCTAAGGTAGACTGTTAGAGAATGCCTATGGCACTAAGTCCGCCTTTATACTTTCCAGTATAAGAAGTTATAAATAAATAAATAAAACCCACTCCTAATAGGTATAAAGATCATTTCGTAAGAATTCCTGGAATGACAAAAATGCTAATGCTAAAATCTATAAAGCATGGATGTTAAACATATGATACAGTAGATACCTATAGCTAATTCAATGAGGTACAAAACATTCAGAAATTCATTTTAAATACGTGACAATGACTATTATTATTTTGAAATATATTTACGTAAATGTTTCGTCATTATCATCAACTTTTTATAAATATGCATGTTGGTTTTACCTATGTAAAGGACTAAGTTGGTGCTGGATTTAAAGATAAGATAGCATAAGTACTGATGCGGTATAAGATTAGTACGAAAATGGAAGAATAAATGCGAAAAACTTAAAATTCAATGAGCTCGTTTATTAAATAAGTATTTATATTATATATTAGTGACAATAATATTTGTTTGCTTACTGTCACGATATCCGCAAAATTTAGATATTTGGTACGTTTTACTTGATTTATGTATGCAATACTTTTGTTTTTTATTTACTTGGTTTTTTGTTTACAAGCAAAAATTTTAATACAGCTCCACCCCTATAGATACTCCCTAATTTAGATTCCGGCAGAATTACATCAGATATTGTTTAGATTAAAATCGTTTTATGTACTCTCATTTTAAATAAAATTTTATAAATGTTATGAGGCTCAATAAAACATTAAGTACATATTATTATTAACGTAATAGAAAAAGAAAACAGAGTAGTAATTGTTTATCTTTTCCAGGCAATACCAGGATCGTGTCAGAATAATAGCAAAAGCTTTCTTGAAACTGGGTCTAGACAGGTACCATTCAGTCGGTATCCTCGGTTTCAACTCTGAACAATGGTTCATCGCCGATCTTGCAGCTATCCACGCTGGGTAATTGTTTATATTTTTAGCTGTGTACATATACAAACAAAATGCTATTTTAATGGTCTCAGTGGAATCAAATGCGGGTCTCAAGTGGAATTCGATGTCATTTCAACTTACCTCTCATAACAACTTATCCCCTGTTTTTTACTTTTTTTATTGTCCCCAAAGCATTTGGAATTTCATCTTTTTACCTAGGCCCTTCACTGGTGGTAGGACCCCTTGTGAGTCCGCACGGGTAGGGACCACCACCTCGCCTATTTCTACCGTGAAGCAGTAATGCGTTTCGGTTTGAAGGGTGAGGCAGCCGTTGTAACTATACTGAGACCTTAGAACTTATATCTCAAGGTGGGTGGCGCATTTTCGTTGTAGATGTCTATGGGCTCCAGTAACCACTTAACACCAGGTGGGCTGTGAGCTCGTCCACCCATCTAAGCAATAAAAAAAAACCTAGGTATAGTTAATTCGTATGACGCATTATACTCTGTCCTTAGTGGGTATGCGGCGGGAATATATACAACCAACTCGGCCGACGCATGCTTCCACTGCCTCGAATCGTCGCGGGCTAACATCTGTGCTGTACAAGACAAGAAACAGCTGGACAAGATCCTTTCTGTGAAGCACAAGCTTCCCTTGTTGAAAGCCATCGTGCAATGGGAAGGACCTGTTGATACCTCCATACCTGGAATATATAGTGTGAGTGAAAAATATATTTAATTACGAAGTTCGAACTCGGAAGTTTTTTTTAATGTTTTGTACATACTTTTAATTTCATACTTTTTAGCAAAAGTCAATGCAGGTCGTGACCGGGTCGTATAAAAAAATAATAATAGAAAAAAAACAATAAAACACATTCGTATTTACCGGTGTTGTATTTTATAATTATTCTATTTAATTATAAATAGAATTCATTTAATCATCAGAGGATCTACCCAGTATATAGGTATCTGTAATAATCAGGACCATAAGGTGGGAAAGGCAAAACCGATTTATACGGTAGCAAATATCACTGACCGGGTACGAATCATACACACAACTATCCACACATTTGGTGATAATTATTGACATCCATAATCCACTTCCTTGTGACCATTAATCACAAAAAAGTGTACTATTACAGCTTATTAATTACTGTATATACCGCTAAACACCAATATTGTGACGATCAAAGGCCAAGACCCAGCGATAGTGAACATCATGCATTCTATTATAATAATTAAATAACCCCAGATCATATCACGATACGCGTATGATTCTGTCACGATCGTGAAGTAAAAGAATTAACGTAGTCCATTTGTTTTCATTTTAGTGGGACCAGCTACTAGAGATAGGAGCGAAGGAGCCAGACACGCAACTGAACGAAATTCTGAAAAGTATTGCCGTTAACGAATGCTGCACGTTGGTTTATACTGTAAGTTTCATATAATATTTATATATACATAATATAATTCTCGTTCTTTAGGGGCTGCACAAATGTTGGCATCTTTTGCCAATAAGCTATGAATTAATCACAAGATTAGAATACATAATAAAATATGTCGAACAAAATGATTCAGCCATATTTGGCTGCGACCGCGGGGAATTGTTTCGTTATTAACCTTATTTTCTGTTTCCACATGATACCGATCACAGCGATGTTATCATGATCACACCTGTTTGCCCGATCCCAATAATCATAATGATAACATTTATTATTACTAATACTTCAAGATAATACATAATTAATACTGAATGTACCTATTAACTTTTCGAAATTAAGAAGAGCGAACTAAAGTAATTTTAATTGTATTTTACTGTATATCGGAGTCGTTATTTGGGACTTTAGAATTTAATAATATATATTTAGAACACATAAGTACCAAATTGATGTTAAAAAATATTTCCAATTTAGTTGTTTTATTTTGATCGCATTATTTAATATAACATAATTTTTAGTATTGCATAACTCCACCAAAAATTCTGGATAGATTTGGAAAAAAAAAAGCAAATGTCAATTGTTTTTTTTTTTGCATGACAGTCAGGAACGGTGGGCCCGCCTAAGGCCGTGATGCTGTCTCACGATAACCTGACATGGGACGCGTTCAGCATCGGCGAGAGATGTCAGAATCTACAACCCACAAGAGACAGGCTCGTTTCATTCTTACCGCTCAGCCACGTTGCCGCTCAGGTACCTACCTACTAATCACATTCACAAATACAACAAACAAACAGAAAGTAACTTCTAGAAATGAAATTACGTCACTGTCAGATTTTCCAATGGAAAAAAACTAAGATCTTAAGAGTCGTGCAGGCGATTAAAATATTATAATATGATTAATCGATGGAACCAAGAATTTCATATTATTTAAAACTACTACCCGCCTTATTTGCAAAACGAAAACAAATATGAATAGCTAATCCACTCCTTTACACATCACTATAGTTGTACGAATAAATCAAAATGCATTACTACTACGTTTAAAAATTGTTTAAATGAAAATATTGAAAATTATATGACTATCCAGATCTAGTGGTGAAAAACTATTTAGTTTGATATTTTTGTATTTGGTTTGATATTTTTGCAATTTCAAAGTTTAAATTTGGAAAAAATATCACAACAAAAAGCTTCTTCAGCTATTTAAAGTAAATTAATGGAAGTTCAATTAAAAACATGGAACTGTTGATGCTAATACCAAATAAAACGCCCCTTCGCGCCATTTTAAACAGAAATGTCGCGCATAAAGCTACATGTCGCTTAAACCAAATAGTTTTTCACTTCTCGAGATGAACTCGCTAGTTTTAAATTTAATGTTTAAATAGGTAGCAAGTGGCACTGGAAGTTTTGGCTATGCTCCTAGTATTGTTGGCGTTCACGAGTGACAGTGATTGTTAGGTGGACCGCTCGTTTGCCGAGAGCACACTTTTTTCTAAATAAAGTTATTTTCTTAAAGGTAGTGGACATTTATACAACCTTGTCTAACGCTGTGACAGTGTACTTTGCACAACCAGACGCTTTGAAAGGCAGCCTCGTTGAAACCCTCAAAGAAGTCAGGCCAACAAGGTAAGTTACGAACATAGTGCAGTGTCTTATGTAGGTACCTATGTAACTAATTAGGATTTATGTACCTACAAAAATCTAAATTTTGATCTATGTCTTGATGGTATTTAAATTATGAAATTTTACACACGTCTAATACAAATTAAAATGACTTCTTGAAATAAAGGTAAAATCGTATTCAGTAGATGGTAATTTTATTCGGTAATTATAGTAAATCTTGATAATTATTTCATATCCATTAATTTTTTTCTCAACATCGACCTATTTCAACGTGATAATAAACAAAACTAAATCTATCTAATCTAATTAGTTGTTGATTAATAAACTAAACAATAATAATGACAAAAAACAAGGGCACGCGTCGTTTGAAATAAAAAACAAAAATACATTTTAGTGTTGTTTTGCAAAAAACAAACAAAAGGTTTTGATCTCAATCTTTTGTTTGTTTTTATAACAACATATAGGTACCTGTATTTATTACCGATATTCTCATTTTGTAAATCAAAATCTCGCGGATATCTTTAAATTAATGCATAGCTTAAAAAAAATGATTCTCTAACATCACAATTTTGTTAAGCCGTCAGAGATTCGCTCGGGCTTATGTTATAAAAAACACAAATAACGAAAAATCTTTTTTGTAGCCAAAATTGAACCTCATTGCAACATTGCCCCGTAGTAACCACCATTTACGGTACCTAACATAATGATTCTGATATGAATTCGAGTTAATACCAATATACTTGGCGCAGAATTCATGACAAAATTATAATTATAAAAATTTGTATAATTATATTGAATACTTCAGAATGAATAAACAATAAAAGACTTAATTGCGTTTTTCGTGATTTAATAAGATCAGAAAGAAATCAATAATTTACACGGTAATAATAAACTACAAAACTGAACTTTTTTCACTGAACTAGAGGTCCCGCAGTAGTCGAAATTCGACTATAATTAATTGGAATTGTAAGTTTGCACACTATTAAGATTGTATTTCACACTTCTATAATCACAAATTTCGCCAAGATTACACTATAAAAATATTAACAAAGGCAAACAATATTTAATCTATTCTCAATTTGACAACAAACGCCAAGAACAAAAGTTTGACAATAAATAGTAGGTATGCATGCGTGTGTGCGTCAAATACATGGTATGTAGTGTGTGTAAGTTTTTCTTTATTGATTTAATGTATCTTTTATGCATTATTTTAAAAAAATATTAGCATTGTGCCCTTCTTCTCTATATTTAATTAAGGGCTATTTAAAAACACAACTGCTTCATTGTAATTATATTGCAGATAGCTTGAACACTTACACCATTATAAAATTATTATCTTTATATTTTTTTTTTTATAAAACTATTACATGTTTCTCTTGCCGTGTCTAGATGAGAAGTATATACGCACGTTTATTGATCCTGCCTTGAGAAAATAAAACTTAAGAAATTGATTTATTACATAATTAACATAACGCCATTTTATTTATATTTTATATGCTTCGTATTGTGTTTACTATTTACATCATAGGATTTACTTATCGTTTTTATTTTTTTATTTTTACAAATAATTAAAGGACTCTGTTGAACAGTTAAATTTGAGGTGATTGGGTTCTTTAGGTGATAAGGGGCTATTTAAAAACACAACTGCTTCATTGTAATTATATTGCAGATAGCTTGAACACTTACACCATTATAAAATTATTATCTTTATATTTTTTTTTTTATAAAACTATTACATGTTTCTCTTGCCGTGTCTAGATGAGAAGTACTGTGACTTTCTTACGAGAATACAATCATCTGTTTTTTAAACATTTAAAATAATTCTAATATTCGAAATCTGTAATCATGTGTCAAGTGTTGCCTGCCATTACATTTATATTCAAACTCCAACAAACTCTTATAGCTAGCTATACTTAGTCTGGCCATAAATACTGTTACAATTAAAAATAAACAAAATATTACATTTGAATTTGGAATCTGTCATTTTTATATGATTGCTCATTGAGTTTTCTCATTTTGGCGCCAATACATTGTACAATATTTTGCGACATTAAAATCGAGTGGGGCGATAAAGAGAACCGAATCGCTGTGATTGCATTACACAAAGTAGGTATGGAGCCAAATGCAATTTTTAAAACTCTCCATACGCGTGGTATTAGTAAAATGTTTGTGTACCGGGCTATTAATAGGTGCAATGAGACCTTCTCTGTTTGTGACAGAAAAAGATCTGGCCGTCCACGTAGTGTTCGTACGAAAAAGGTGGTCAAAACAGTAAGGGAAAGAATTCGAAGAAACCCTGTCCGAAATCAAAGGATTTTATCTCCGGAGATGAAGATAGCACCTAGAACCATGTCGCGTATTTTAAAAGATGACTTAGGACTTGCAGCCTATAAGAGACGTACTGGTCATTTCTTAACTGATAATTTAAAAGAGAATAGGGTGTTAAAATCTAAACAACTACTGAAGCGGTACGCAAAGGGAGGTCATAAAGAAATTTTGTTTACGGATGAGAATTTTTTTACAATTGAGCAACATTTTAACAAACAAAATGACCGTATTTATGCTCAAAGCTCTAAGGAAGCTTCCCAATTAGTCGACAGAGTGCAACGTGGGCACTATCCGACTTCAGTGATGGTTTGGTGGGGTATTAGCTGTGAAGGAGTGACTGAGCCATACTTTTGTGAAAAAGGTATCAAATCATCGGCACAAGTGTATCAAGATACCATTCTTGGGAAGGTAATGAAGCCCCTTAACAACACCATGTTCAATAATCAAGAATGGTCATTCCAGCAAGACTCGGCTACAAGGTCATAAAGCTCGGTCTGCGCAGTCTTGGTTGGAAACGAACGTTTCGGACTTCATCAGAGCTGAAGACTGGCTGTCGTCTAGTCCCGATCTTAATCCGCTGGATTATGATTTATGGTCAGTTTTAGAGAGTACGGCTTGCTCTAAACGCCATGATAATTTGAGTCCCTAAAACAATCCGTACGATTGGCAGTGAAAAAATTTCCCATGGAAAGAGTGCGTGCTTCAATTGATAACTGGCCTCAACGTTTAAAGGACTGTATTGCAGCCAATGGAGACCACTTCGAATTAGCTTTTTATACTTTAAATTGTATTATATTTATGCATTAAACTAACACACTGTAAAAGTAATAAAATATGTTATTTGCCATAGAATTTTTTTTGTTTTCCTTTGTAACAGTATTTATGGCCAGGCTAAGTATAATAATTAAGATAGATCGCTTAAATAAATACATCATACCTACAGATAATGAGCAGTTGTAAACGTTTCATAACCGGATTACTTTATCGAACATTGTAAAATAATCAGTGATTATATTCTATGCTATGTGCATTGCATATTCAATTATACAAATGGATTTACACTAATTTTTCAATCTCTATTAATTACGTTGTTTCTATTTAGTCAAAACTCATTATTTTCTCATCATTATCTCACGTTTTTTGGTCTCACTGTTATGTTACATGAGCTATAACTGAATATCAATTCCGTTTGAAGGTTGTGTTTTTTGGTAGATAGCGGCTTGACGGGGCCTCTGGCATTACTGATGTTCATTTACAACGATGACCACTTCTAATCAGGTGGAGCGATTGTCTGCCTACAATGCCAATAAAAAAGTCTCTAATGAGATTAGACATTTTTCGAAGATTAGAGATTAGAGATTCGAGATTTTTTTGAGAGACATTTTTTCGTATGTAGGTGTACTTTCTATTTTATAAGGGTTAAAGTTTTAAAGCAATTTAGAGAAAACGCCAAAGTAAACATCTTCTACTTGACGAATGAAATTGATCGCTAGACCGACGGTTCAGATTCAAATGTGATTTTTCGCATATCCAAACATTTATGTTGAAAATGTTAGCGTTTAAATATCATTTAAAGACTTGTTCTATGATAGCTACCGCCACAGTACCTACTGTGATATTTTAATTTAATGGTCAAGGTATAATAAGATACTTTTATGATTATTAGTACTTATATTACAGCATGCTATGTACAAAATGAATATTACTAACTCATAAATGATTACAATGTTTCACCGATGTTAACTAAACAAATAAATTTATTTCGTGAAAATTTAACTAGATCTAATTAGTTGTTGTTTAAATTTAATATGAATGAATTATTAAAGTCTATTGCTACTTAGACATTCTTCATTCATTTTTCCTCTGTGGAAAAAATGTAATCTATATTTTAATCAAAGGTTGGTATTTTCCAAGCTACTCCGATAAAATAGGTTTACCAAATACCGTGCCACTAATAATTATATCATTATAGATAAATTCAACATTGATAATGATGCAAAACGGATCTAGATACCCAAAAAGAGACATACTATAGATATACCACACGGATTTAAATGAGACAAACTAGGAAAACTACGTTTTGCAAATTTATAATCGGTCAATGTTCGATTGGACACTATAAATATTTTTAATTATGAAAACACAGACACAATTCGCATTTTCTAATCTGTTTAGCTAATCGATTAGACGTCTAATCGATTATGTAAACAGCTNATCTAGATACCCAAAAAGAGACATACTATAGATATACCACACGGATTTAAATGAGACAAACTAGGAAAACTACGTTTTGCAAATTTATAATCGGTCAATGTTCGATTGGACACTATAAATATTTTTAATTATGAAAACACAGACACAATTCGCATTTTCTAATCTGTTTAGCTAATCGATTAGACGTCTAATCGATTATGTAAACAGCTAAACTAATAACAATGATTGTACTACATTTACTAAGATGACAATTTTTATTTTTTTCTACCTATTTTGGTAGCCTCAAGGTGTTATGCCCGCTTATCCGAGCATGCTCTAACGGGGCTTTAACCTGACGAAGTTGCTAACTTCAGCCCTAGCGACGGCAGTGTTTCGCAGAATCTACCACCTAATCGGATACGCGACCCACTGAGAAGATCCGGCGAGAAACTCAGTGGGCTGTGCCTGAGGGTGATTCTGGCCCTAAAGCGCTACTAGTACTGTATTTTATTTTTGCATACCATTCGATCCAACTTCTAATGGTTGCTGAAAAGCTTTCGAAGGCCGATGCAGTCTATAGTAGTTTCAAGGGCGGGGGAATCACTATAATAATAATGTTAATAATAATTGTGTCGTAGACACCGCCATCAGCGACAATCTATGTTTAAATAGTGTTTTTAAAAAAATTGTATTTTAATATCTTTTAAAAAAAATTGTGTATAGTTAATAACATTTTAAATAAATATAGATTATAATGATAATTGTATAATACCTGTAATAATTCAATACCTATAATAATCGTGGTTTCGATCTTTGCCTCAAGGTGAGTGACAGAAATAACTTTTGCGATATCTTGGGGTCCAGTAACCATTGAGTACCAAATGAGCGCTTCTCATATAGGGGAAAAAGGCGGACCGTGAGCATACCTGCATCTTTCACACGAATAATAAGTATTCATCAAAAATGATACTCATTTAATAAACGTAGAAGTCGTGGTTTTAAAACTTATTTAGCATATGTCAACGGCCGTCTGGTGTAGTGGTAAGTGACATGGTCACTACATACGGGGTCGCGGGTTCGAATCCCGCCAAGGGAAGATATTTGTATGATAAATATAAATGTCTTTTCCAGGGTTATGGATGTATATTAAATATATGTATGTGTATAATAAAAATCTTACATTTATTTCCGTTATCTGGTACTTGTAACACAAGTTCTTTACGAACTTATCACGGGACCAGTTAATGTGGCGTGATTGTTAGTAAATATTTATTTATTTAAAAGAAGAAATAAAAAAAAAGAAGAAATATGTTCACGTCTGAACTCCACGATGAAGCAATAACATCTTGCAATAAAAAAAACAACCAGCTAGCATGAGAACTGATAATTCTTCAATAGGTACATTAAATTTAAGTACCATTACAATAAACTACTGATAAACTGTAAAACCCAAGAAGTGTAGTGAAAATACATTCACAAGGGCTGCTTACCATCAGCATTACTGAATACACTTAGCGTTGCGTAAAATTTCAGAACTTCAGAAGAAATATATACGTAGTATCATGTGCTTAATCCCCAGATTGCCACCTCTTGAATTAGAAAGATGCGAACTTGGCCATTTTATTTTAAAACCAATATTGATAAAATAATGATTGCGTATTTTTTTTGGTTACAGATTCCTGGGGGTCCCTCGGGTATGGGAAAAAATGTACGAGAAAATTATGGCCGTAGGTGCATCTAGTGGTCCACTTAAAAAGCAGATTGCTTTATGGGCCAAAGAGAAAGGGCTGCAATATCACCTCTCCAGGATTAACGGGTAAGATTTTTAACTTTCGAATTTTTATTTTTTCAGAACCTTTAATAATGTGAATATGACTGGGAAAAGTAGGTCTGTCAAGAAACTATTCAATACTGACTTAGTAGTTATTACGCTGGCCAAGCGACCCGAAGTTCTTGACCCCCGACAACAGGGCGGTAATGTGCAATCTTACACCAGTCGGACGTGTTTTGTCCATATTGTACACACATATATATCAGAACATTATAAATTACGTTTAAATAAACAATTTCATTATTCAGTTCTTTAGTGAGGCTAAGACTGTTGAAAATTGTAAGAAGTAGTATTTTCTTCTAAAGGATTAATATTACATTATAATACTTCTAAATATAGAATTACAAAGTTAACGCATATAGCAGCTCGAAAGTTGTGTTTTACGATGCGTCTTGGCACTAAAACAAATGGGTTGAGGCCATTACCAAGGTTTGTGGACGCGTACTCTTGAACTACTATTCAATTTCGATATCGCAGTGAATGATCCACATTAAAATATATCAGAAAAAAAAAACTTGAAAGAACTAAATATTGTACTTACAATATGATAGCCGAGTTTGAATCTTCAAAAAAAAAAAAACACGGATAATACATTTATAAATTTTAGTAACAGCTGATTACAAAATATATTTTTAAAGATATAAAAAAAAACTGGTCTTTGATATTGACATAATATTAAATTATACAGTCGACGCTTTTAAAGTATAATATCCAGGCAGCGTCTTGGCTGTGCCTCCAGCGTAGCTAACGTCCATGAACAACCATGATTACTTTGCTTCGCGTCGTTTGCTGGTTGCCTGCGATGGCAATTAAGAAACGTATAGTGACTAAATTAAAAACAAATAAACGTATTTATTTTAATAGTGCCTTATCAGCTGGAATGTACGGCCTGCCGATAGATCTCACCACATCGGAAATGTTGTGGTTTTGGTATGTAAAACGACCCCCAGTAGAACAGTTACTGCATGGATGTTACATACACTTACTTCATAACTGTAGTAAAATTATATGTGCATGCTTAAGATTAAAAACTGGTAGACATTTAATGTAGAGCATTGTAGAATACCTAACAAGGCATGATACGTTTTCATTACAAGCGTAGTGATTTAAATAAATGTTAAATAATATAGTTATAATTGTTCGCATTACTTACCAAAATAAATGAGCTCATACAAATAAATATATTTATACACTATACAAACAGTTGAATCAATACTATATTAATTAATAGCTTTAGTATTCATATGCAAACCTGTTTGTTATGTTAACAGGACATAAAATTACATACATAACATAAAATTAGATGTTTTTTTATTTAGTTTTATTTTAAGTACCTATTGGGTTAATTGGTAGGTACAGAGTTCAGATAGTATTGCTCCAACATTTACCTTAAACATAATGTATTTACAGACAAGTTTATGAAAAATGAGGAGTTTAAAAGTGCATATTGTGGATTTGTTATTTTAATTTCATTAATTTTTTTTTTGTTATTTTATAAAACCTAATCAAATACCTACGTTTTTCTGGTATTTTTTTAGCACGAACTAATCATGACAAGTATAAACCATTTTTATATAAATAGTTTGATCTGGAGCCTTATTTTTAAGTAATACATAGTTATTTTATATTTGTGTTATTCGGGTTGTTCAGTATTTCTCTCTGCCTAAACCTTCATATAGAGCCTGAAATAATCCAAAACACAACACATTATACTAACTTTTAACAAAAAAAAAACCAACTGCATTTGCATTCGTGTTGAGCGATGCACCGGTGTTCGAATCTCAGGCGGGTACCAATTTTTCTAATGAAATACGTACTCAACAAATGTTCACGATTGATTTCCACGGTGAAGGAATAACATCGTGTAATAAATATGAAACCCGCAAAATTATAATTTGCGTAATTACTGGTGGTAGGACCTGAGTCCGCGCGGGTGGGTACCACCACCCTCCCTATTTCTGCCGTGAAGCAGTAATGCGTTTCGGTTTGAAGGGTGGGGCAGCCGTTGTAACTATACGTGAGACCTTAGAACTTATATCTCAAGGTGGGTGGCTCATTTACGTTGTGGATGTCTATGGGCTCCAGTAACCACTTAACAACAGGTGGGCTGTGAGTTAGCAATAAAAAAAAGTGAGAATATCATCATCATCAATAGTTAATTCTATATACTTACATTTTTAAAGAATTTAATTCTATTATTTAATTTAAATATTAAATTTAAAATTCAAGAACTAATGGTGGGATCTTGGTAAGATTTGAACGGGACCACATGAGAACCGCAAGATTTCAAATAAGAAAAAGTTGTCATCTAAATTCATTCGAGAAAAAAATATCTGAGATAGCACACAAGAAAATAGTTGAATTGATAACTTCTTTTTTTAAATCGTTGGGAAATAACGAAATACTACATACATATGTGTTGCCTATGAGATCCAATTGTCGCTTTACAGAAGATCGACCGTAAACTGGTCTATTTAATTATATCAATAAGAAAAACCCAACATCAGCACCGTATCGTGTTTTGAAGTTTACAAAAAATTAATTTGAAGTTGAAAACCTTTTGAAACACGACACAAAGTCTGTGACCATGACTAATGTTTTAATTTTTGGAAGTTAACAAAATTTATCAAGAAAACGCAAGATAAAACCTTATACTATTTTAATCATAGATTAGACAATCGAGCATCGAAGTATCTTTGTAATTTAGATAGGTACTTTTTTTAAACTAAAAAAAATACGCTAGTGTATGTACTCGTTTAGAGATAACAGGTACTTTTTTTATGTAAACAAAGATAAAATAGGCTAGTGTAATTCCTATGTCATTTAAATAAATGTAGAACAAATATAATATTATGCAGTAGTTTTGTAATAATTCATGTGTAAAAGGAAAAAATATGCGACATCCAAAGGGGTAGCCCTTTGGATAACTTGGATACTAAAATTATGACTTTAAAATTTTCAGGTACGAGGGTTCGTCAGTTGGGTACAAGCTCGCTAAGTCTTTAGTGTTCAGCAAGATTCATGAGTCACTTGGCTTGGACAAGTGCAGCACTTTCGTAACGGCAGCCGCGCCACTGTCTCCCGACATCAAGAAATTCTTCCTTTCGTTGGATATCCCCCTTGTCGATGCTTTCGGAATGAGCGAGGCGGCCGGAGCCCACACCCTAAGTATTTATCCTAAGTGAGTATACGGTATTTCAAAACAGTACCTACCGTAGTAAATTTTATTCAGAACCGAACAACTTTAATTCAAGAAATATTGAGCCAGTAGAACGTCAAATAAATGAGTCGAGTAGGTACCACCACCCGGCCTATTTCTGCCGTGAAGCAGTAATGCGTTTCGGATTGAAGAGTGGGGTAGCCGTTGTTCTGTTAAAAGTGAGACCTTACAACTCATGTCACAAGGTGGGTGGCGGCATTGACGTTTTAGACGTCTATGGGCTCCGGTAACCACTTGACATCAGATGGGTCGTGAGCTCGTCCACCCATCTAAGCAATAAAAAAAAGACATGTCGTCTTCTCGCCTTAAAATTGTATAATCAAACCTTACTAATTTTACAGGAAAGTGTTTTAAAGGTTTAACATGCTATATTTTTAATATTAATAATATTTGCAACATTTTTTTTTACCAGTTACATTATCTGTATTTTAAAGTAAAATAAAATTATGTATTAAATTTGTTAATAGTAGGTATAGTATCCGGCAAACTTCTTGAGCAAATGACCTTGACTGCGCAGAACCGAATTTTAGATCACTTTGGTGGTGAGGGTGAGGCGCGACGGCAGGGGAAATCGTATCGAGCGCGTTATTCGTAGATCAGTCGAACCTTGCGCCCCGCACCGCGCCCTCGTTCCGCTTGCTCCCAAAAGTACGCTTGCGTACAGTAAAAAGTCTATCGTTATTAATCGTTAAGTTATTTGTTATAATTGCTTGTTGACTTTGTTGCCATTGCTATATGTTGAGTGTTTGTTGATTTTTTATAAAAAATACACTATGCCGCGACAAACTGGTGTGGTATTCAAAAGAAAGGGTAGAAAAATTGTGTACGACGTATATTGCTTCATTATAAAACAGGGGAAGAATGATATGGAAAAAGTAAAACAGACTTCGGAAGCAAGAAAAATATCAGTGAGTACTGTTAGGTGCATTATTAACGAAGCTAAAGGCTCTAGCTTGCTCGCCGTGTTTCGGCCTCCGGGTAAGAAAATATCAGGGAAGAAGAAAGTTACCGGAATGGATAGTTTCGTTCAATCTGTAATAAAAAGATGTAATCATAATAACTACTTATCAAGCAGCGAAACTCCGTATCGTAGAAAGGCTTCGAAAAATCTAAAGAAGATATAAATTTTAATGGCTCGGAATGAAGCTTACGACGAATTATGAAAGAGCTAGGCTTCAGATGGAAAAAAAAACAAAGTAATCGGAAGCTGGTAATTGAAAAAAGTAACATTCGATTACTACGAATCGAATATCTCCAAAAAATAATTAATTATAGACAAAAAAGAAGACCGAACCGACCGAGTTGTAAGCTACACCAATGAGCCCTATGTCGACTCATCACGATGATAGCGACTCGGGTGATGAAAGCAGTGATGATGATGATGGTCGAATGATAGGATAACGAAAAAAAAATTACAAATACCAGCTTCGCTTCAACTGAACCAAGACCTGGCAACAGCTCTAGTTTTGACTTAATAGAAGGAATACTAATTTACCCCAAGATTAAATTATTACAATTATTAACCTATATTTTTTGTTGATGTTCTAATAAATATATAAATAAATACATAATATGTTGATTTTCATAATTTAATAGCATTATGACGCAGAGTAAATAATGTTTTTGCACGTGAGTGTACCATGCGCGAACTTACCCCCACTACGTCGACAAATGCTCAGGAAGTTTGCCGGCTATTATAGTCAATGTAATAATTGTTAATAGTAGAAGGAAAACTAAAAAAAAAATTTAACTAAACTACGTTCTTTTGTCAGTATTTATGAATATTTCGAATATTTTTAGAAATTGTACACTTTTAATGCGAAAAAGCGATGTGTTCAAAACTACCATTACGTTAGAATAATGAGGAATCTTATCGTTAAATTTCGACTTACATCATTAATGTATGACGGAATGCGACACGACGGCGGTACCAAGTACAAACTCGTGTGTTGCGATTCGATGAAATTTCCTACAAAAGTATTAACAACACATGTACATGAGGTCGATGGTAATTTACATGAAAAATAGCTAATTTATTCTAATTTAATGTTTCATAAGGTTTTCTCTTGACTCTGCTGGTGAGATTTTGGAGGGAACCGAGACGAAATTCGGCGGCTCCATGAGTCCCAACGGTCCCGGTGAGATCATGATGAGAGGACGACACGTCTTTATGGGTTATTTGAACGACGCGGAAAAGACTAAAGGTGCTATCGACGATGATGGCTGGTTACTCTCCGGGGATGTTGGCAGAGTCGATTCGAACAATCTACTCTATATTACTGGTAGGATAAAGGTGAGTTTATATGAGAAATAACAATTGTTACTTACTGTATTCGTTGTTACTGGTGGTAGAACCTCTTGTGAGTACGCACGGGTGGGTACCGTCACCCTGCCTGTTTCAACCGTGAAGCAGTAATGCGTTTCGGTTTGAAGGGTGGGGCAGCCGTTGTAACTATAGCTACTGAGACCTTAGAACTCATATCTCAAGGTGGGTGGCAGAATTTACGTTGTAGATGTCTATGGGCTCCGGTAACCACTTAACACCAAGTGGGCTCGTCCACCCATCGATGCAATAAATAAAAATTACAAACATCTAAGTATGTAAGACTTTAATAATATCAGTCGAATACTAAATTATCTTATCGTCCATATTCTAATGTTTTATCATATTTTTAGGAGCTGTTAATTACGGCCGGCGGCGAGAATGTGGCTCCAGTGCTGATCGAGCAAGCTATTCAAGCTGAACTCCTGCATGTAGGCTACGCTGTACTCATTGGAGACCGACGAAAGTTCCTCTCGGTCTTGTTGACTCTGAAGGTATAATCTATTTTAAATATTCATCTATTACTAGTTCCTTAATAGTTTAATTAATATTGTTAATATTTTACAGACTAAGGTGAGTCCGGAGACGGGCGAGCCTTTAGATGAATTGGAAAGTGAAGCGAGGAAGTGGGTTGCTAGTTTGGGCAGTTCGGCAACTAAACTCAGTGAAATCGTTAACAGTAAAGACCCAGCGGTATGTGTGCTTAATAGTTTATTAGTGATTAAGCCCTTATTCGCACGGGCGTTTTAAAAACGTTGCGTTAAAACTCGGCGTTGGCGCTTTTATAACGTTCTTGATGTAAGGTAATCTGTAACGCCCAACGCTTAGAGCTCAAAATGCAACACTGCGCAATAAAAAAGCGTCGCGTTTTAAAAGCGCTGACGTATGAACATATACTAGGAAATGCATCTGTTCTATTTGAATCCTTTTTTATCGCGCGCTAAAAAACTCCCGTGCGAATGAGGCCTAAGATTATTTATGCAGGCTTTTAATTTAAATAATATTACCCGTTTACCTTTTGTTTACTATTGTTTATTTACCCTTTGTTTTACTTATACGTATTGTTGCCTGACTTAATGTACTGTGGACAAATTAATTGGTATATTTTAACTTAATAATTTCATGAATTCACAGTGCATTTCTGGTTGTCCACAGGTCCACAAAGCTATAGAGGCGGGTATCACACGCGCAAATAAACATGCCATCTCTAACGCTCAAAAAGTACAAAAGTTTGCGATCCTGCCCTCAGACTTCTCTGTGTACACCGGGGAATTGGGTACGTTATTGTTATATTATTTATTACTTTGATTTAAATATTTGCATTGAAATTTGCATCAATATTTATGAACATTCGTTAACGATATTGACAACTTGAACAATGACCGTCAGGAAAACGGTAAATCGATCTTGTGCTCACATATTATAGATTAACCAAACTCGGCATTATTATGTTTGGCATAATACTCAACACATTTGTTTTAAACAAAATACAAATGTGATTTGAAAATTTACACACATACGACCTAATTAATATATACCAGCTGCACAAGTGTTTGTCAATTCAAAACAAACAGTTTTATTTAATTTAATATAAAATACCATACAGCTAAAGCGACTAAAATATTTATAGGTTAACAAATCTGAGAATTACTCACTGAATGAATAGAATTGAAATAATGGTTATTGTTCATATGAAACCAGGAGACATCAATGCTTTTGCAGCAATTCATAAGCTCACATCGATACAAATGTAATTCTAGAAGTATGCGGTAGGCAGCGGCTTGGCTCTGCCAAAAATAAAAATGACGCTATAAATATCAATAGACAAGTATTTTGATAGTAACAATTTTAATTTAATTTCAGGGCCAACATTAAAAATTAAGAGGAACGTCGTCTATGAGAAGTACAAAGACATAATTGAAGACTTTTACAAAGAGTGATTTTAGACTAAGTCTAGGACTAGGGAAAGGGATACGTTAAAATTTTATAATTAATATTTTGTTGTTGCTCAACTAGGGACTAGAGCGGAAACATTGTGATCGCAACTAATTAAAATGTATATAAGTTATATTTTTGTTACAATAAATTAAATATTTTTCGTTACATAATCTTGTTCTTTATTCATATAATCAATAGTGTTAAGAACTTTTCCCTGATTATAAAAATAATAGTAATGAAAATAAATCTATAATAATAATAACAATTAGGTACAAGTTACATATCGACGCTTGAAAGGCAATCCTGACTAAGCGACAAAAGTAGGTAAAATGAGTTAGATACACCATTGGAATCATCTGATTTTTCTACGTCGTTTAGTATAGGTTTCATCACCCTGTGACGTGTTTTATGTCGCTTAGATATGGTGTGATTTTCATAAAAATGCAGTTTTTTCCTACCAAACGACAAAAAAAAAGTTATTTTAGAGACATCCTGCAGTTAGGACATTTTAATAATAAGGTATTATTTACTTACTCAGTTATTCATGTTTTTAAATTTTCATTTGTTTGTATTTATTTATTTTTACTTGTTATGAAATTTTTCTTTGAAACACTTAGTAGATTGTACCTATACAAAGTAGTCATAATTGGTACAGTTATACAATTTAACTTGAAACAAAATGGAATAATATTGAATCTTAGATAGTTTTACTTGTTTAACATAATATCCCTTTCCATCCGTAAATATTTGTACATGACAACATTTCTAATAACTACGTCGCCTAGATAATTTTACTTGATTAATTTCAATGGTTACTTTTGGCACTTAGTTATGTTTACCCGTAAACAAAATATATTTTTTTGTCGCTAAGGAACTGCGCGAGTTTACGTCGCGTGGGTATGCGCAACTAGTCGCGTACCACGTTTTGGCGGGCTGGTAAAAGGTGACATTCGTAAGCTGGGCGTCGCTTAGTAAAGTCGTTTGTCACATTATTTTGCATTTTGTTCCCACGAGGGAGATGTGAACCACCAAATAAGACCAAAGAAACTACTATAGATTCCGTAAAAAGATTTATCAAAAGTTTACAAAGTCGTCGTGGCCTAATGCCGAGTTTACATTACGAAATTAGTGTCATGCATGTTGAGCTCAGTTTCACGAAAGTAGTTTCGATATATGCGAAAGTAATTTCGTTAAAAAATTAGTGTCGCGAAATCAACAGTATCGCAGTAACCATGGCGCCGTCAGCATCAAAGCTATAATTTGCTATATTCCATGTAGCTAAAGAAATGCTTATATACCTATAAACTTAAAAAAAGACTATCAAGAGAAAAAAAAAGTTGGTAGATTCGAGGATGGTCAACAAGAAGGCATTTAGGTGCAATGAAGTTAGTCTCTGAATTAGCAGATGAAGATCCTGAGAGTTATAAAAACTATTTTCGAATGAGTGAAGATAATTTTGATTTTTTACTATAGGTGTTTCGGGACCCTTGTCATTGATATTCATTAATAATAAGATCTATATTTTTTTCTGTACTCCATCATTGGTTTGCCATTTTCAACGCTTGAAGCGCGTCCGCCACTAACAATACACACGTCCGCACCGCGCAGGCCCTTTCGCGACATTAGTTTCACGTCGCGTCTACACTATGAAATTAGTTGCATGACACTAATTTCACCAAAAAATCGCGCAGGGCACGAAACTAATTTGCATGCATGAAATTAATGCATGCATTACGAAAGTATTAAATTACACGTGAAACTGTTGGTAAAACTAATGTCACGAAATTAATTTCACGCCACTAATTTCGTAATGTAAATTCGNACGCCAGGGAACAATGGATTGACGTGACAGGTAGAGGAAACTGGAGACAAAGACGAGTACTATTTGCTCTAAACATTTTACTGAAAATGATTTTATCATAAAAAAAATCAGAATACACTTAGTTTTGAAAAATTCATTCGCAATTAATAGCAAGCGCCAACTGCTTAACAAATACGTTTTATTCCAGCGACAGTGACTATTTGTAATTAATAAAAGTAAAATAGTTTTTTTTTTCAATATTTATTTCATGTTTCATTTTCTCCATTCATTCATCAGATAATTTATCGATAAAGAATATCGATTTTATCAAGCACTAGCGTGTATGAACATTTTTATTGCCTTTTTGCGTGTGTGAGTGTGTATGCCTACGGGTGTTTTGTGCTAGTTTGCGAACGAATATCTGTCCTGAGATTTATGTGTGGGTGTTTTTGTTGTGTGCGAAATACTTGTAATCACAGTGTGTGTATGTGTAGAATTTAAAATAGTGGGGATGAAGCGGCGACACTGGTTCTAATACAAAATTAGAGCAAAGGCCTTTCCAACCTTATTTATCTATTCCGTGATTAGAATATTTTAAATGCCAAATAAAAACAATTTTGTGAATATGATAAGATAAACAATTGTTTAGATAGTCGTCGATTGATAGATTTGAAGTCGTCGTGGCCTAACAGATAAGACGTCTGGTGCATTCGTGTTGAAGCGATGCACCGGTGTTCGAATCCCGCAGGCGGGTAAAACCCAAGTATACCAATACCAGTATACCAATTTTTCTGATGAAATACGTACTCAACAAATGTTCACGATTGACTTCCACGGTGAAGGAATAACATCGTGTAATAAAAATGAAACCCGCAAAATTATAATTTGCGTAATTACTGGTGGTAGGACGTGTTGTCAGTCCGCGCGGGTGGGTACCACCGCCCCGCCTATTTCTGCCGTGAAGCAGTAATGCGTTTCGGTTTGAAGGGTGGGGCAGCCGTTGTAACTATACTTGAAATCTTAGAACTTGTATCTCAAGGTGGGTGGCGCATTTACGTTGTGGATGTCTATGGGCTCCAGTAACCACTTAACACCAGGTGGGCTGTGAGATCCACATGTGAGATGGGTGGACACCCATCTAAGCAAAAAAAAAAAGATATTCTTTTTGTGTTTGTATGAACCAATCTTTATGTAACTCTACGTTGATTCTAGATTACTTTCGAATTAAATAGAAAAACAGGAGTCGGCTCAGTAATTATTCATGCACAATTCAAATTAGCGATATAATACCAAGCTCGTCGAAAAAATTTGGCTAAAAATTTTATACGTTTTAGTGATCTTTTTGCATTTAACCTACTATATAATGTACAAAAAATAAGAATGTATAATACATTTTTAAATAAACTTTATTTCGGAAACTTAATAAACAATAAATTCTCACTAATTATAATTTACATCTAATAATACCTTATCCTCATTAATAAACAGGTTGTTATTTCAGTTTGTCATTTACAATAACGGCCCGTTCTAAAATCGTTCAGAAAAGACTCATATTATATAGTAGGTAAGCTAAGATTTATTAACCGCATTTATTAATAAGGCCGTTTATTTTTATTTATTTCATAAACGATATTAATATTAATCCTAACTCTGTTATCGATATACTCTCACTATGATATTAATGTATCGCTTTTAAATTTTACTTACCATATTCGCGTACTCATAACATTAGATTAGTATAGATACATAATATTAAGGTTAATACTTTAGTGTTTATCAATATAATATGTTCCAATGCTCTTAACTTTATTTACAATCGTGGAATGATTTTAAATTAATTAAGTATAGAATATCACAATGAGTAAAAATATTTTTATTTTATTTTATCTGATTGTCATAAAGGATAATATTTAATCACTTGGATTAAACCCTACAAGGCACCCAGTTCCATATGTGGAATACTGTCTTTAATCGTTCCTATAGCTATAAAACAAGCTACAGACATTTAGTTATGTTGTAAAACAAAACTTTACTTATACGAAGTGTGAAATTTGAATGAAAGTGGAACGTTTCTCGTTTGTTTGAATTCAAAAATATTTACAAAATATGTAGTAATTGAACAGTTTTGACTCGAAAAAAAAACACACTGTGTGATGTACGAGTCTGTAAGGAAGTGTATATTTTGCAGAGGTAAGTTGTTTGATATTACAATAGTAAACGTATTAGTAAATCATATTTTTATGCATGTTCCACATACGGTACGTTGAGCTTTAGTGTCTGTTTTCACTTATAAAGGGGCTTTCAAATAGGGCGGGTCGATGTTGACCGTTTGTGGAGGCCTTGTTGTTTTGGCGGCTTCTGTCAAATGCGTTGTTATTTCTTCAGTTACTGATGCCAAATCACCATGGCAAGTTACACGATTGAGCAGCACGTCCAGATAATAACATGTTATTATCAAAATGAGTGTTCGTTAGTGCAAACGTTGCGCGCATTACGTCCATTTTACGGCACACGCGGTGGCCCTTCAAAGTCGACTTTCCAACGTTTGGTGTTCAAATTCGAGAAGACTGGTTCGGTAAACAACCAACACCTTTACCATCGCTGCTGTCCGTGAGAGTGTGCAGGAGACTCCGAGGCAGTCGATTTCTCGCCTTGCGCAAGAACTCAGCCTTTCGCAGACTTCAACTTGGCGAATTTTGCGTCAGGACTTGGGCCTACACCCATACAAGATCCAACGCCGTCTGTTCGCTGACCCGGCTACAGAACGTTTGGAAGAGGACCCCGAATTTGGTTGAAAAATCATCTGTTCGAAACATAGCAACCCTATTTTCCTCATCGCGGCGGAAGCGGGGGAGAGGCGTGGACTTACAAAATAAAACGACGTGCATCAACGAAAAAACACACAATCATTGTCGGTCCCGTAAAATTGTACTAGCTTTGATCCGATTTAATAAACCAGCTATAAATACAGTCCACTGTTATTTGAATAAGTCTTGCACCCAACATCTCATCGCAACGGCGCCAACACATCTTTACCGACGATGCGCACTTTTGGATGAATGGTTTTGTTAATAAGCAAAAGTGCCGTATATGGGAGGACCACAACCTAAATGAGGTTCACCAGGTGGTAATGCATCCACAAAGTCATTGTTTGGTGCCGATTTAGGGTCGGCGGCGTCATTGGTCCGTACTTCTTCGAAAACGATGATAGCGAGGGCATTACTGTCAACGGCGAGCGCTACAGATCAATGATTAACAATTTATTTTGGCCTGAACTGAACGATATGGACATGGACAACATGTGGTTCCAACAAGACGGCGCTACGTGCCACACAGCGAGCGACACAATGGACATCCTGCATGAACGGTTCGAGGGCAGGATTATCTCTCGTAGAGGTAACGTGAATTGGACACCAAGATCATGCGATTTTTTCCGTTTTCGGCATCCGAACTGTCAACACCGTAGTGATTAACTCCGAGTAAAATTAAGTGAAATAAAATACCAAACGTAATTTCTGGTTGCTAGTATACGTTGATACAGTGCTGGGACCTCTCGGAAGTGACTAAAAACATACAGTGAAGTGCGGTTACTGAAATCCATCGCGGATCTACAACCACAATATCAACTATTGGTTTAGAGGCTAGAAAACACGAAAACAACAAATCGTTCACTCAATGACACTTGTCGTGTACGTCAATAAATCTGACATATTAAACAGTGTTGCTAATTGAGAAAAATATTTCTACCATATTCTACTATTGCGTTTCGTTACACGTAGATAATATAATATAAGATGGAAGGTCAATTTCAAATATTATTTGAAAAAATTAAAATGGAGATGCAAAGTCAAAATGCTGAATTGAAGGACTCTATAACAAATAGTATTATGGAAAAGATGGATGAAAAACTAATCCCTATTATAGAAGAAAATAAGAACTTGAAAACTAAAGTAGAAAAACTGGAATAAGAAATAGATTATTTCAAGAGGGCTGAGAAAAACAATAATATTATAGCATTCGGCTTAGAAGAAAACGAAAAATCCTCTTATGAACTATTACAAAAGCTCAAAGAAACCTTCAACCAAGATTTGAATATTAAAATGGAAGAATACGATATCAATAAAATTTATCGCTTAGGAAAAAGAAAGAGAGAGAACAACAAACCGAGACCGGTACTGTGTTCGTTTATAAGCAACTGGAAAAATACCGAAATTATCAAAAGTAAAAAGAACCTAAAATCTATATACATTGCGGAGGACTACTCGAAGGATGTGTTAGAAAAAAGAAAAGAGCTACAAGCCAAGTTAATTGAAGAGAGACAAAAAGGCAATATAGCATACCTAAAATATGATAAATTGATTGTTAAAAAGAACAACTACAGCCAAGAAAAAAGGAAAATGGAAATATCCGCTTCACCTTCTTCAGATAATAATCAACCAAAAAAGCAACAAACCGTAAACACAATAAAGACAAACAGGTCAAATGCTTTTGATTTAATGCGATATAGATCCAGCTCCCTTTCGAATATGCCTAATACTAATAAAAACCAATAGCAACTAAAGAACGGCAAACGGAAACCAAAACCAACCAAAGAAACTGTTAATAAAGAAACAAAAAAGGAACGAACTCCCCCAAGCCGACTGGTCCTCGAGGGGGAAAGCGACCACAACCCTCCAACGTCTAAAGACAATGAATGGAAAAGGTTGGAAGAGGCCTCTGCCGACTGGCAATCAGATCTAGGAAAGATAACCAAGCAACAAATATTAGTTTACATTTATTCATATCTATTAAGTTTAAGATTTTAATGCTAGTATTTTTAAGTTTAAAAATTCATTGTACTAAAAGATCTAAATAAAAGGCTATATTATTATTATTATTATTTATCATGCGATTTGACTTTTTCTTGTAGGGTTTTCTCAAGTCCCAGGTCTATGCCAATAATGCGCAATCAACCGATGGCCTGAAAGTCAACATAACGCAAGCCATCGCTCAGATTCAGCTGGATCTATGTAGTAGAGTAATTAAAAATTGGACCTCTCGGATCCGTGCCACCGTTCTAAGCAGCGGTGGACATTTAAACGTTGTCATATTTCATAAATAATGGCATAAATGGGCCTTTCAAATAAAATAAAAAAAATCTTTAATATCTCACATACAGCTTGTTTTATTTAATTTCAAGATCAACTCGCCCTTGTTGAAAGACCCTTTACAATAACTTTCCTTAAGAAATCTTTAATTTTATTGCAAATAATGTCGCGAAGAAGATTGCGTGATGAAGATCTTGAAGGTTTCTTGGATATTCCTTCTGGGAGTGAATATGGTCAAGATATTTCTGATGCTAAAAATGATGATGACATCGAAAAGGTTCAGTCCATCCAAAACTTTTTATCAGAACCACTCAGCAACGTGGAAACTTCCTTCTCTCCGCAGATATATCTGTGTTCGTCTTCCGTCAACGAAGATGTTACGAATATTGAAAATCGTCAGTCAGAAATATCAAACCCTCAGCCTAGTACATCAGGAATGACTTCAGAGACAACTACAGGTACCATTACACAATCTCAGGTACCGAGACGATCATCGACTATGAGTAACACAATCGGTCATGGATCTAGAATCTCTAGCGCTGTAACTGTCACTCAAAGAAAAAAGATTTATTTCGAAGAAAACATATTTTCGATTAATTTCAATAATAACCTCCTTTTTCATTTACTGGAAACACAAATTTATAGTCACCGACACCGATATAGACCTTGAAACTCCCCTTCAATATTTTTTATGTTTTTTCGGTGATAAGTTACTTCAGCATAATAAAGAAGTAATGCACAAAATTAGTTTCCAAAAAAATTCTTCAAAGCCATTTACAATAACAACTAATGAATTGAAAAAGTTTATAGGTGTCTGTCTGTGTGATTATGAGTTTGGCGCCACTGCCAACTATTCGAAGGTATTGGGCAGCTGAATTGGGTGTTCCTTTGATTATGCAGACAATGTCGCNGGTGATAAGTTACTTCAGCATAATAAAGAAGTAATGCACAAAATTAGTTTCCAAAAAAATTCTTCAAAGCCATTTACAATAACAACTAATGAATTGAAAAAGTTTATAGGTGTCTGTCTGTGTGATTATGAGTTTGGCGCCACTGCCAACTATTCGAAGGTATTGGGCAGCTGAATTGGGTGTTCCTTTGATTATGCAGACAATGTCGCTAAATCATTTCTAAAACATATGTCAATTTCTACATTTCCACGATAACTCCACGCAACCGCCATCAGGGAGTCCAGGGTATGATCGTTTGCATAAAATTAGGCCAATATTGGAAACATCGAGAAGAAAATTCCAAAGCGTGCCTAACAGAGAAGCGCTATCCGTCGACGAGCAAATGTGGGCGACAAAAACATCTAATCTGCTTGGACAGTATCTGCCTAATAAGTCACACAAATAGGGCTATAAGTTTCTAGTTCTTTGTTATGTTCGTGGCTTAGCTCACGATTTTGAAATTTACCCTGGAATGGAGAACAATCCTGACCTAAGCTATTCTAGTGAGCCCGACTTAAGAGCAAGTTCAAATATCGTAGTACGCTTAGTTAGGTCCATACCAATGAATCAAAATTACAAATAATTTTTTGACAATTATTATACGTCACCAAAGTTTGCTTATTTGGCCAAAGAGGGAATAGTCTCTGGGAATGGTCAATAAAGGTCGTTTAAGAAAAGGCCTCAAATTACCTTCTGTAAGCGACCTGAAAAAGGATAAGGTTCAGAGAGGCTATTCCGGGCAATGGGTGGAAAATTGTAATGATACGGATATTATCACCGTCATGTGATACGATAACAAACCCGTCGTTTTACCATCGTCATTTGTGGGCCAAGAGCCCATAGAAACGGCGAGAAGATACTGCAAGAAACAGAAAGAACATATACAAGTGGATTTCTCCCAAACAATCAAAACATAACCTGAATATGAGTGGTGTGGACCTCCTAGATTCGTTCCTAGGGAAATGTAAATAAAAAATTAGAACTAGAAAATGGTACTTGAACCTATTTTATCATCTTCTTGAGGTAACCCTCATCAATTGCTGGTTATTGTACAGAAGAGTCGGAGAGCAGCAACATACACCAACCCCAATGAAACAGAAGGACTTCAAATTTCGAAGTAGAGAAAAGTTTATGCATATGTGGGCTATCAATAAACAAAAAGAGAGGTAGACCAAGTTTATCTGATGAAGTTGAAAATAAAAGACAGAAACCAAATACATCAATCCTACCTCCTTGTGATGTCAGGCGCGATTGGTTTAGCCATTTTCCTTTTTGGGGTCAAAAAAGACAACGATGCAAATATCCTGGTTGCAAGGGAAAAACATTCATATCTTGCGACAAATGTCGCGTACAACTTTGCCTCAATAAATGTAATATTTGTTTTAGATCTTTTCATCAATAAACAATTTTATATTAGTTGGACAGCTATGAGAACTAATGTCTCCATCTTCGAAGAGCTGAAGGTCACCAAGCGCCTGCTGACTATGTGCCAGGAAAGGATCCGGAGTTTCTTTGGGAACATAATGCGATCCTCATTGCACAGCCTGGAGAAACTCATAATTCTCGGACAAATGGAGGGGAAACGCGCTAGAGGAAGAGCGCCAGCTAGATGGGTGGACCAACTCAAGGAGGTGACTGGAGGCCAGATACAAGGAGCGGTACATATGGCGCAGAACCGGACTGAGTGGAGAAGATTGACATACAGTCACGATCCTCAACATTGAGGGAACGACCAGAAAGAAAGAAAAAATAAGTATGATTTTGCAATATATAAAAAAGTTAAATATAAGTATAGGTAATACTTAGTCATTTCATTTTGAATAATTGACAATTGGAAAAAAGTTCATAGGAAACTTCCAAAACAATTCAATTGTACTAGTTTAGTATACCAAAAAGTATAGTTAAGGCTCAGTGTACCATATGTGGAACTGAAGTTGATTTTTTCGTAAAATATGGTTTTATTTCTATTTTTTATAAGATAGAGAAAACCCTATCTTCTGATGATTAAATACAAACTAAATTTTTTTCAAGCACAAAAAAGATTGAGCCTTGCAGGGTTAAAATTTTGTTACATTAATGGGAATCAGAAAGACAATCATGCCTTGCTACTACTAGTTTTATTGGTCAATAAAACTTGCGGTTTGGTTACCATTATTTGATTGAAAAACAATACACATTTTCTATTGCTTAGATGGGTAGACAAGCTCACGGCCCATATGGTGTTAAATGGTTAAAAAGCCCCTAGAACATCATCAATGTAAACACCGCCACGCACCTTTAGACTTGAGTTCTATGTCGCAGTTTTACAGTAGCAACGCATTACTGCTTCACGAGAGAAATAGGCATTTAATCTGTAAGTTTGCATAGTGCCAATTAAAGAGACCTCGCAATTTATTAACACATTTTTCCTGTAGACTAAAAATGTATCTTGTTCATAGTAAATATTTGATAGCTGATAAAGGTTAGTTCATAAAATTTATAGTAACATAGTTTTCAGTAACGCTAGTAGTTATCATTTTAAAGGAAAATGTAGTTACATATGTGCTGCTACTCATTGCGGTTTTTTTTCTCTGCCTATGCTGGAAGCCTTGAGAGGCTATATCAGCGTTACCCTAGCGTGTAGGTGAGCTCTCGGGGCTTAAACCGGGGGTGTTGACAACACTGGTCCTGGCAAGAGCAGTGCTTCGCAGAATCTACCATCGGATCGGAAACGCGACCAACTAAGAAGATCCGGCGAGAAACTCAGTGGGCTGTGTAATCGCAGTACTGCCGGTGATATGTGGTTATCCGTTGAAGTGAGTTGTTTAAGAGGAGGACCTCAAGGTGTTGGGGGGCGGCGTGGTGGGCAGCGGCGGCGGCGCGTCGGCCAGCGGTAGAGGCTTGGCCACCCCGATGCGGACCACTCCTCGGGGCGCGCCCTTCAGCGCCGCCACCGCTTGCTCTAGACTCGCATTTTCAAGATTCTGCGGACAATAACTTGTTTTATTTTNTGGTTATCCGTTGAAGTGAGTTGTTTAAGAGGAGGACCTCAAGGTGTTGGGGGGCGGCGTGGTGGGCAGCGGCGGCGGCGCGTCGGCCAGCGGTAGAGGCTTGGCCACCCCGATGCGGACCACTCCTCGGGGCGCGCCCTTCAGCGCCGCCACCGCTTGCTCTAGACTCGCATTTTCAAGATTCTGCGGACAATAACTTGTTTTATTTTATTGGATTAATTATTACCTAAAGTTGTAGACTTTTTTATTTATTGCTTAGATGGATGGACGAGCCCACCTGGTGTTAAATAGTTACTGGAGCCCAGACATCTACGACGTAAATGCAACACCCATCTTGAGATATCAGTTCTAATGTGTCAAGTATAGTTACAACGGCTACCCCACCCTTCAAACCGAAACGCATTACTGCTTCACGGCAGAAATTGGTAGGATGGAGGTACCTACCCGAGCGGACTCACAACAGTAATTACGCAAATTATAATTTTGCGGGTTTGATTCTTATTACACGATGTTATTCCTTTACCGTAGAAGTCAATCGTGAACATTTGTTGAGTACGTATTACATTAGAAAAATTGGTACCCGCCTGGGATTCGAACACCGGTGCATCGCTCGACACGAATGCACCGGACGTCTTTATCCTTTAGGCCACGACGACTGACCGAGTCATGATAAATTTTATTTTAATATCAAATATCGTTCATCAAGTTAATTAAATTCACAAATCAAGAACTTGCAAATTGCAATTATACTACATTCGTATTTGAATAAATAAAAGCTTTCTAGATCTTATTCTTAGTTAATCTGAACGAACGCAGCTGATAAATTCAGTGTTGTATAATGATGGTCCTCCTTGGGTCGATAATCCTCAGTGCTGAGGGTCGTGGCCTCCTCTAACAACTTTCTTCTGTATTATCATGCGCCAATCCTGCCTGTCCTCGGCTGTGTCGATAGCAACGTGGACTGAAGTATTAACAGTGGAGCATATCTGGTCCTACCAACGCATTGGACATGGATAATGTTGATAGACTGCGACAAAGGTAGGCAGCGGCTTGGCTCTGCCTCTGGCATTGCTGAAGTCCATGAGCGACGGTAACCACTCACCATTAGGTGGGCAGTATGCTCGTCCGCCTATAAGGGCAATAAAAAAAAATAAAAATAAAAACCTGATCGTTAACGAAGAGCAGCCTGTCCCCGGGTATGAGGCGGCCGTCCTGCTGCGCCACGCCGCCCGGCACCAGCGAGCGGATGACAACGAGCGTGTGCGCGGGCCGCAGCGGGTCCTGGTAGTCCAGGATCGAGAACCCCAGACCACGCTCGCCTTTCACTAGCTCTGTTAATCACAATGAAATTCCTGTGCAATTTGATGTAAACTCGTTCAGATCAACAGAGGATGAAAAACCTCAGTGATGTTAAGTGGTCACTGGAGCCCATAGACATCCACAACGTAAATGCGCCACCCACCTTGAGATATAAGTTCTAAGGTCTAAAGTATAGTAACAACGGCTGCCCCACCTTTCAAAACGAAACGCATTACTGCTTCACAGCAGAAATAGGCAGAGTGGTGGTACCCACCCACGCCTACTCACAAGAGGTCCTACCATCAGTAATTACGCAAATTATAATTTTGCGGGTTTGCGTTATTTCAGACGGCCAAATTTTTTCTGTAGAAAATTTGTTAGTAGTTACCACGATACTCAAATATCAACGAATAAAACCTGGGTCATCGTGAAAACTATAGAATATTTGAAAGGTTGAAAATAATTTAATGAAAATAATAAGAGTGAAATTAAACGGCCAATGTAGTGATGACGTACGACCGGCAAAAAGCGAAAAATTATTCTTCAGTCTCATCAATCTAATACTTCAGTTTCGGCTAAGTTTCCAATGAACTTTTAATGAATGGTTTTTTTTTAATTAATTGTAAAACGCGCACATCCCTATTTGTTCTCCTCGTGGGTCTTGGAGGGGCATGCATGCGGGCGGGCCGACCACGAAGCTTCGAGAAAGGAGGCAGCCCTACAGTCGATATAGCACCATCGAGCTATACCTTACATCGAAATCATTAAAAACTATAAACCTTAAACTGGGATAGTTTTAATTCGTTATAATTGTTAATTAAACTTTTAATAAAATGTTCATTGGAAACTTTTGCCACAGGGACATTGATAAAACTATATAACACTTTAAACTGGTCTTAATTTACATTTGTTAAGACAAAAAATGTTTGGTACCTATTATCTGGGGCTCAGAAGACCACATAGCAAGTCCGGTTAGTGGTTCGAGACTCCGGGAACGAACTTTCCCAGCGGCGGACAGCGACCCGCCTTCCTCAGCACCCGCACCCGCCAGGCTACCGTCCGATTTCGCCTAAAGTATTAATAAAAATGATGAATTTCTACATTAAAATAAATGCCACTGAATAGTCGAGGTTAGGTGCGCCTTACGGTGTCACAGAGATTTTTGAAGAAGAAATATATTTTATCTTTTAAACACAGAATCAAATAACTACTCTATCAACATAGATACAGATAAGTTACCAAGGCTACGTCAAAGATACAAATCTACAATGAATGCAACGAGAAATTAACTGCCTACCGCCGATTCAGAAGAACGTGCATTTTGTAAATTTCAGCTTTATATCTATGGAAATTACATCTGTTCTTACAATACATAGATTAGGATAAGGATTTTTATTTTAACAAGACACAAGTATTGTTTCGATACCATAATGTCGGAAATGCCTTTTACTTATTACTTTATAGGGAACTTCTTACTAGAATCTCGATTACACAAATTAAATATGAATCATTCATGCAAACAAACATATTTTACCGTTCTCGGCACCTTGTAAGAGTTAATGGGCACTTTACTAACAACCCCAAACATCATGGATACCGATTTTGGTCACTGAAAAAAGACATCAGACCTGTTTATTTTGTTTTTTTTTAAACCTTTGTTTTTGTCTTATGCAAATACACAACAACAATGAACGCATTGAAGAATGAATGCCATTTTAAATAAAAGGTACCTTATGTCAATGAACAACAAACGCGGTTACTTAAACATACAATTGTCAATCTGGATCTTAAAACAACTACATTTCTTTCTGATTGACAGACAGACTGACTCCTTAATTTATGTAGGTGTCTGCGATAACGTGTACAGCCTCCGCGTAATAGAGATAACATCATATTAATTAATCAAGCCTATTTATTATATTAATTATAATAATTATATTACTTTATCAATGCCTATTACTATTGACGCAATCGAATTTTTTAGTTTAAAAAATAGGTTAACCAATATTCTAGCGCAATTGAAACTTCTACCTAATTTTGCTTGCTAAAATGTCGACTTCGGAAGTATTAGCTGTAGGCTCTGTTAATTCCTAAAAACCAGGTCAAAATAAATCAAATCAAATCAAATCAGTTGAGCGGTGTCCTAATTTTTTTCTCTAAGCATTAACATTCTATTTTAGGAATGATCATACGAATAATTAATCCGAGTGTAATACTGTACTAATCAAATAATCGCCATTGTAAAATATGTGAGCCCGTACGGACAGGTTAAACAATTCTATCTTGTTGCAGCACGAAGCTATCATACCTTCCAGTTTGGAACGTAGAACAATCATTATACAAATCAATTAAATCAATTGAGACTCTGACCTACTTTTACAGAGGGGGTAGCTATGTGCCAGCATTTGACACCAAGTGTAATTTGAGTTTGTTTATTCACTAATAAAATAAAATAGTTTTGGATTCATCTAATACAAATGTTTTTTTTTCTTCTGGTAAGTATATAATAGTTATAAAACGAATTTAACCTTCACTAATGTTGTGGCCGGCGGCGCTAGGTCGAGAGGGGGAGCAGGTCGAGGTCTCGCACACACCATGCAGACTTCACTCGATAATTCCTTCAGGATTGACACTACTTCTAAGTGGTTCATGCCCAGAAGCCGATGACCGTTCACTTCTGTAATTTGTTTATTTAATAATAAGCGCATGTAAACAACGGCAATTTTCTCATTTTCATTATTCTTGGAGGAGTCGGACACGAATCACGTTTTCAACATTTCTAACTTACGTCGCGTGTTAAGGGGCTGCTTGGGGCGATTCGCAAAATGTTTAATAAATCGGAAAAATGGTCGTAGGAACTAGTAATTCGACACTGAATACTCTGATAACATTTGGAATGTGGAATCTTTTTTTATTTTATTTTATTGCTATATGGATGGACGAGCTCACAGCCCACCTGGTGTTAAGTGGTTACTGGAGCCCATAGACATTTACGACGTAAATGCGCCACCCACCTCAAGATATAAGTTCTAAGGTCTCAAGTATAGTTACAACGGCTGACCCACCCTCCAAACCAAAACGCATTACTGTTTCACGGCAGAAATAGGCAGGGTGGTGGTACCCACCGGCGCGGAGTCTTCGAGCAAGATAATTGTTTGTGCTGATGATGGTTGCTTCGAATGTTTAAGCATCTCAGACCTGCATATCGTTATTCCCAACCCCTTTTATTGCGCCATAAACTGGACAGACAGTTGAGGAACAGACGTATGAGACAGTATAGTGCGAGTACCGAGCAGCTCGTCGCCGGGGCGATGCACGGCGGCGCGGCCCACGGGCCCCTCGGGCAGCACGGAGCGCACGTAGTGATGCGGCCTCACCTCGCGCCCCCCCTCTACGTCCACGGTGCCTTCTAGCGAGATGCCCAGACCACCCCCACCGCGCACCACCACGCCCACCACTATCTCCACGTCCTCGCCTGCAACCGTCAAACATATACATTACTAACATTATAAATCTGGAGAGTTTGTTTGTTTGTTCCGATTTAAAAATTTGAAAATAAAAATTTTGAAATATTGTTTCAGTGAGAATTATCAGAATCGGTTCAAGCATTCTCGAGAAATCGGTGAACATACACAAATAAAAAATGGTGGTCGAATTGATAGCCTCCTCATTTGAAATCGGTTAAAATGCATGATTTTGGTACTTAAAATACTCTTTAACATTCTATTATTCTAAAATATTTACACTTTCTACGTAAATGAAGTCGCGGGTAAAATTTAGCGTTATGCCAAAGTAACTATTCCACGCGGACGAAGTCGCGGGCAAAAGCAAGTACATTATAAATACATATTTGGATGTTTTCTCTTGATGTGGTACTAACTTCAATTTTTGTCTACACTCAACTTTAAGCAAAGTGGTGTTTAATCTTAATATCTGGAACCTCATACATCACGTGCGCCATGTTTCCCAGTGGTGACATTTTGAAACACGCTCATCCTCCAGTGTTTTCTTAGTACTATGACTTACAAAAAAAACGAGAATGTTTTCCACAAATTGATTAATGTTTATAAAGACTATTTAGGATAGCGCTAGTAGAGACGATGGTTTGTATTAAAAATCTATATATATAAAAATGAATTGCTGTTCGTTAGTCTCGCTAAAACTCGAGAACGGCTGGACCGATTTAGCTAATTTTGGTCTTGAATTATTTGTGGAAGTCCAGAGAAGGTTTAAAAGGTAGATAAATATGAAAATCCTCGGAATTAAATAAAAATAACAATTTTGTTTTCCCTTTGATGTGTCCCCCGTCGGACGAATTCCTTTTGTTTGTTTTAAGTTTATTTTATACAAAAGTTTAGGTCTTTTATTTATAGATTGAGGCACTACGAAGTCTGCCGGGTCAACTATTTTACCTAATATAGCCTGCCATTTCCTTCTTATCGCTTCTTTTTGTTCAGGAGTCCGTGGCATCTCGAACGCTGGTGCCGGACGCAGTGCAGTCGCCGGAGGACTGCTGCGAGTTAGAGGCACAGCGTCATCTGTGCCGTTATCCGTACTGTAAGAGTCGTATGTAAATTTTTAATGTTTAATTTCAATTGATATACTAATATTTTGCATACAGAATTAACCGTAAAGTTAATATTAGATACGATGCACTCCATTATTAGCGCCATACTGGAGTTTATAGTAAGTTTGAGACATATCATTCAAATATTAATTGCATTAGTATAGATACTGTCCAATCGGAACCCACGATTACTTTTCTGTAAAAACGGGTGCGATGATGTCGCGATTTACGAAGCAACAGATTTTACCCCTGATTTTACGATTTCTCACCATTTTATTTGTGTGTATATTTATATTTTGGCTTCACGTGTGATCCACTGATATTCAGTATATTCATTGTACGGCCTGCGGTCTATGCAACGGTATCTTTCAAGCTAATTTTTACAAACTTCAAAACGCCGATGAATTTGAATTTATATGCATACCAAGAACTGATGAAAATGCAATATTTTTATTAATTTGGCCTAATATCCCGACCGGGATAATCAGAATAAAAAAATGTTATTTGCCTTTTTAGTTTCCGTTTGCTATTTAAGCGTGTTTTAAAATACATATATGTTGCAAGCCAAATTAAGTTTTTTTTTTACTTGTGTTTTTTATGTACCTTTTTAGCTTGTGATGTGTATTGTGTGACTAATCTATGCTAATTTATAAATCTACAGTGATTTTTACGGATGTTCAGTTATAACTACTGAACCATGCATCCGATTGACTTCAAACCTGGTATCCATTAGAAAATACATGTACTTAATGGATAGGCTAATATTTATATGAGTGTTGGCCTCCCTACACCAGTTGCGGGGGCGTTAATGATGAGAATCTTTGTGGGGGTGAGAAATGATAAGGTTAATTTTAAATGGCCAGCGAAGCGGACTGGTACAGCTAGTAAATAAAAAAAACATATACTTACATTTGGAGGTTGGAGAGCTGTATTTCTATTTCAGGAGAAGGTGCGTCGGGACGGTGCATGTGCAGGAACGGGTTGGGCGGGGGAGGGGGGGCGGCCGCCTCGCCCGCCGCTATCGCTTGCTGCAGTTGCTCATATTTCGGACCACGCAGGTATCTAAAATGTTATTATTAATCGCTTAACATTGGCACTACTCTTCTGTAGCTTCCCGTTTTCTTGATATAGAATGTACATTCGAATACATATTATGAAATTAATATTATGTACGAAAATAATTTCTTCCAAAAAAAATTATCAATGAGTAAAACGACATTATAATAATTTACTTCTATCAGAGAGAATTTAGTTTCAAAAGTATAGTACATTGTGCACCAAGGGAGAAAAGTTGGACATTTCCTCCCGCGTGTAAAATTGTCAAAAATGGCAAACACGCGGGATGAGATGTCCTACTTTTTTCCCGCGGTGCACATACTATTTTTTCTCCTACCAGGCCGAAAGTTCGACATTGTAAAAAACTTAGCACCCATGGAGTACCGAGCCGGGGTTCAGAGGCCAAGCACTGGCCGGGGGTTGGGGGGGCGGTGCCCCCCCCACTCATAAAAAAAACAATTTCACTGTTTTATAATTTTTAAATATACTACTACTAATTGAATAAGAACTGTCTAATGAACTCATCTTCGTTTAATATTTCACTATTAAATTTTATTGCCTTTTGTTTATCTCACTTTTACACTAAGCACAATATTGCAAATTACCCGAGCACAACAATGACGGAAAATTTTAGGTAAGTGAGAGCAGACGTAGACATTAACGCGCATGCGCACTTGTCAGTACCCAGGGAGAAAAAGTCTTTCTTCCTTGTACAGCGAACCGAACTGAAAACCGAACTTTCGGCGTAAGTAGGAGAAAAAATATTTACTAAAACACGTTAAATTTTGCTGTTCAATGATTATGAATGATATAATATATGTTTTAATGTTTTATGTTAACAATAACCTTTCTAGTTCTAGCGTGACAACGTTGCGACTCTGTTTCAAGGCGTCCACAGCGCGCTGGTTGGATTTCCCTGCGAGGGAGACGCCATCGACGGCAACGATGCGGTCATTGACCCTCACCATTCCGCTCAACGCTGCAGCGCTCCCCGGAGTCACCGACTTCACAAATATACCTGACAGCTCCTCCTTTTCGCAAACATAACCTGGTCCATGAACAACCAATACAATTGTGATGTGATGAATTAAATATAGGCATTTATAGGTTGCATCAAGTTTGTTGTTCCGAAGTTCATGGATAATATTTTACAATTATTTAATACCATCAAAAACAGCATTCGTACAATCCTATTAGTTATATATTAAACATATATCATAATGGTTATGTACTAGTTTAATTTTTAATAATTTTGATTACTCTGTAATATTCCATTATTAGTCTAATCCGAGTTCATAGCTTTGCCATCGAATATTAGCGTTCATGTTGTTATATCTATGGGCGCTAGGAGCTTAACAAGTAAACCGTGACTTCTAATCGATGTACCAAGTTCAAAAATCGAACTTATTGGCGGTAACATCGTAAGCAAATTTTTATTAACCGTTTTTATTTTGTTAATAGTGTTTATTTTGTTCTCCAGAAGTCTCAGTCGGATCCCACCGTTTTCCTGGAACATCTCATAATATCTCATGAAAAAAAAAAAGTAAAAGAATCGCCATTACCTGCAATAGTAATCCCTAAGCCGTTCTCGTCTTTCTTCAGCTGAACTGTGAATCTATCAACTTCTGGTGATTCAGCATCTGTGGGAGTATTATTTAGTTCTTCAATAAACATCTATTATATTCGATATTCTATGTAATCGATTATGTTCGAACTTATTGTACGTGTGCAATTTACCTGAATCTGGAGGGGGTGTTATGGGATTGTCAAATACAAATCTCGTCGAAGTGGAGCTGACAGGCACAGGCTGCGTATGGAACACTTGCTCAAAACCAGCTTCCATGAGATAGCGATCCAGCGATTCGGGGTCTGACAAAAGCCTGAAATTATTTTATTATTATTACCCTTGTAGGCACACGGCCCACCTTTTTTTTTATTGCTTAGATTAGTAAACGAGCTCACAGCCCACCTGGTGTTAAGCGGTTACTGGAGCCCATAGACATCTACGACGTAAATGCGCCACCCACCTTGAGATATAAGTTCTAAGGTCTCAAGTAAAGTTACAACGACTGCCCCAACCTTCAAACCGAAACGCATTACCGCTTGACGGCAGAAATAGGCGGGGTGGTGTTACCTACCCGCGCGGACTCACAAGAGTTCCTACCACCAGTGATTACTCAAATTAAAATTTGCGGGTTTGATTTTATGTGAGTGGGTATCATCGTTCAATGCCAGGGGCACAGTCAAACCGCTGCCAACGAGTACTCTTCTCCAGCCTGGTTCGAAGAAAGACATGTCATAGAGCTAAAATTTACACTATAACAGTAATACATTAGAAAATGTATCGAGTATGAAACACGTCTTCCAAAACTGTCTATACGGCTCGGTGAGTTAAAGTAGACATGAATTCACTAAGGCCCCGGTATGGCTGGTATACACAGGTGGCGCTGACCACTGTTTGTCTTTGACACAGCTTTTTTATAAAAAAAGAGACAGGCATCGAGTGAAAGACTTCAGGTTTATTGCTTCTTGTTTTATTTTTCCGATGCACACAATATCAGAATTAAAACGTACAATGTGGTACGAGTGTGGTATAATGAAGTACCTGGCAGGCACGACGGGAGCGGGTGACGCATGCAAGGCCGCCGGATCCACTGCTCGCGCCACGACGAGCCTCACACGACTACCGGACGCACGTAGCACACCAGCTACTTGCTCGGAACCCATCTCCATAAGGCTTACCTGAGCGGATAATTCGAATGCATTTTAATGGATTGTTGATATTAAGTGGATACTGGAACCCGTAGACATTATTACGTGAATGCCATTTACGTTGTAGATGTATATGTGCTCCAGTAACTACTTAACACCAGGTGGACTGTGAGATCATCCACCCATCTAAGCAATATAAAAAAAAAAGCCCACACCTCGAGACATATTATTATGGTCCAAGTCTTACTTGTATCATACAATCGTTGTGTCATGTGACATCCTTCAAATCTGAACGAATTACTGCTTCGCGGCAGAAATAGGCGGAGTGGTTACCTACCCGTGCCGGCTCACCAATCGCCCAACCAATATTAAACTTTTAGTAAAGCGAATGGTGTGTGCAAAAGATAGTAAAATACAACATAAGTAGATACTTTCAACTGTTTGTAACACCAAACCTCTTCAAACTAAACCATTGCTTTGTTTTCTTTCATTTTCAAGAGTCATAGAGAATATTAGAACGACTTTTACGGTTTATTCCAAAATGACCATGAAAATTGTACATAAGTCCATACGTCGGAAATAATAAACCCAAAATTAAACTGTAAAAGTAATTTATACTACATATATAGTTTAAACAACTTAGGCAAATATTTTTTCCTTAGTAATGTTTTTTAAATGTACTAATGTTCTTTTGTTTTGAGTATTTACATCTCCAATCTGTAGAATGTGATCTCCAGATTTTAGTCGGCCATCGCGATCAGCTACACCACCTGCTAGTATCGTCTTTACGATGACACCACTTGTTCTAGCACCTATAATACCTGTGTAAAATTAAATGAATTGTGAGTGGCATAAAAAATCTCCTCAATTTAATTAAGTATAACAAAATTGAATTTGATGCATGGTAGTAACATTAACTTGAATGTTATTGACAACAAAAAAACATTTCAAGGCACTCATTAACCTCTCGGTCGAATAAGTTTTGAACATAACTAATGCTCACCAAATCCAAGGCCAGTTCCATCATTTACAAGATTTATAATTTCAACTTGTGCCCAGTCCCCTGCTACTACATTGTGATTGGTAGATGCTAAAGAATCATCATTACGAGACAAATCTAATAAGCCACGACTCTGAAAAACAAATTGAAATGAATTTATTGCTTTATTATTGAATCATAATGCTCTCATGCTCTGTTTAGTACATTTTAGAAAAAGTAATAATAATAAATATTTACTAACAATCACGCCACGTTAACTGGTCCTGTGGTAAGTTCGTAAAAACTTGGAAAACCATAAAAACTTGGAAAACCATATTCACATTTTAAGAATATTTGAAGAATTAGAAAAACATGTGACTTTTGTAAAACATAGCGTAAATAACAATTTAATCTTTACATACTTGTTTAGGAGACATGTTAGAGTCAACAGAGCCACTATCAAGTCCAAGAATATGTTCATTATCAGATCCAAACTCCATACTATGTGGAGGTGAGACCTGTGGCACCCTTTGCTCCTCTTCACCCTCTTGATTTCCATACAAATTTCTTGTTTGTAATGCCAAGTCACCTTTAGAGCAAATATAGTTATTTAGGAAAATTGGTTAGGTATAATAAGTTCCATATACAAAAAATGGGCAATATTTTAATCAGGATATTTTTTTGGTTAAAAACTTACCAGCAGGAGTAATATCAAAATCTCCAGGTAAAATTGATGGGTGATGTGCAACCTGAGTTGCAAGCATGCCCACAGAGTCATGAAGTGTTGTAATACTTCGTAATATGGGACTCTCTAATAAACTTATTAGCATGTTCAAATCATCACTGGTTGCAGCCTAAAATTTGTAATGAAAATATATTACATATTTGTGTCTATTATTTTTAAACTTTTATAATACCAAAAGAATAATCAAATATATCAAAGAATATTAGACATGAGGCTACATAATAAGGAACTGAACAGTTAAGGAAAAAGGCAACTAAATACTTTTAATATTTTCATACAAAGTTTCCATAACTTTGGTAAGCTTAACTTCATTATATTACGAGATGTTATTTGTGGTCAAATAAATGTTACCCAAACATAAACTATACATAGGTATGAAGGGTAGTTAATATTTTTTATTTAAAATTTGTAATTAAGCCTTTTTTTCCATAAAACACAAGTTCATTTATATCACAATAGGACTACAAAGGTAAATGTTTAAGTATGTTTTTTATAAATTTTAATGGTCTAAGGTTCTTCAATGATCATACTATGTAGCCCTGAAGGAGGCAGTTTTGATGCATCTTACCAAATAAAAATACAATACTTAATTTTTTTTTTTCTTGCACTAATCATTAGCAAATAAAATATTTAGAAACCAAAAATTCAAAGAACTAAAAGAATAACTTCTTAAATTTTAATAAAAAATTACTCAAGCCAAAATTCTTGTTAGAAAATCTGAGAAATTTTCCTATCAAATAAAAAGAGAATTTTCAGAGAATTCAATTAAAAGAGAAATTTTGCAGAAATCAAGTATATGTAAAATACAGGCAAGTTAAGAGCTTTAAAGTCTGTTAGATGATCTACAATCAGTAATCTGAACTATAATCTATAAGTATAATCTATATTTTTTCAGAAATATAATTTTTAAAAATAATCCTAGTTTAGCTACTTTTTCATATCGAATCTTTGCAAATGTAAGCAAATGTAAAAAAAAATCACTCTGAAACAAATTAATGCTTAATGTTAATCAACCTTGGGTCTTTGTTTATATTAAATAAATCATTTCAACAATGGTCACAAGCACAACAATGATTAGCATTGTATGATTTTAGTTATTTTCCAAAGCAGTAAGTTAATGAAAAACACTTTATTGCAAAACTACTTAGTGTACTATATTAAATGCTACGACTCAATTTGGCATAGAAAGCATATACTTTTACGCCTTGTGTGATGAATAGCTTTGAAGAGATTAAAAATATATTAAGTTTCAAGACCTTTTAAAAAGAGGGAATGTTCAGTCTAATATCTATTAAGTTTTTAGTATTTATATGGAAAATCTCAGTTTAAAACAAAAACCTCCATATTTGAATTGGGGTGTAACATAATTGATATCATGATTAAATTGTGAATTACTCACTTTAAGCTTGGGATCATTGCTCTGGTCCACAGCAGCTTTCACACTTTCCAATTGCTGTAATGCATTTGAGACGTTCACGCCCAAATGCATCTTGAAAGCTATAGATAACGTCCGTATGTTAAATATCCATATTGCAATGCATCCTAAATTACAAAACATTAGTTAAATACTCACATAAATTTCCAGAAAACAAAATCGAACCTTTGAAAAGTTTAGAGGTAAATCAAGATAAACTTATTTCGTTTTATACGTCGTGCAACTAAAAGTTGGTTTAACGTTTAGTTTAATATTGCTTAAAACAAAATTAAATTAATAACCAGGTAATCCAAGTGCCTCCCAAAAAACAATAAACTAATTTTTAGTCCAGACTAGCTATTCACTCTCAAATAGGTATTAAGTGTATAATCTGTGCTTTTGTTTTAATGGATTTTATGACCTGGTAACTAAGATCTTTAAGTCATATCTTATTTTAATTTATATTCTTATTGTTATGAAAAATGATAAAATGGAGTGAAATGAAATGAAAAGAAATGAAGATGATTAATTTAAGACATTAATCAACTGGGATGAAATTAAATGAAATAAGATGATATGGGATGAAATATAATCGCAATAAAATGGTGGTCATTTACTGAGATTTTTTCAGTGACTTTTTGGAGGAATCTGAGAAGTTACGTCCAGCAGCTTTGTTTCATTTTCCCATATTTGTGCACTTTCACAGATATTAAACAGTTAATAAACCACCGCTATTACACATTTAAACATGTAAATGATGTACAAAGGCACTGCTTATTTCTTTAAGAAATCTCTTCCAGCAGACCTGCGAGAGGATAATGAGAATAATAATAAAAAGTGATGAGTGTGTGTAGAACAAATAACACATTACTAAAATAACAAATATAACATGAGAATTGTAGTAATGCACATACACATAGCAAATATTTTAAGTAACACAGTAACACTCGTATATACGAAGAGTATAGAACCATGATCATTCGGTTGATGAGAGATAAAATTGTTTGACCTTGTATTTAAAAACAGAAACAGACTTGCAAACTCGGATGTCATCCGGCAACGAATTCCACAGTCTGACCGCGTGCACAGTAAAGGAGTGAGAATAGAAATTGGTTTTGTGGGAAGGGAATAACAAAACAGAACGTTGGTTGGACCTGCAGGGAGCATCAGGAGAACGAATGAAAGAGAATCGCTCACGTAAATATAAGGGAGAAGTGGGCTTATGTAGGATATTGAATAGGAGACATAATATTCGAGTATTCCTACGAAGGCGTATAGGGAGCCATTTAAGTTCTTTGCGAAAATGAGAAACATGATCGAATTTTCTGAGATTGTATATAAAACGGATACATAGATTTTGCATCCTCTCAAGCTTGTTTGAGAGCTCCTCAGTGGCATCCAAGTAGCAGGCATCGGCGTAATCAATTATGGGTAGAATGAGAGCTTGGACGAGAGATATTTTTGTATGCTGAGGTAAGAAGCCCTGCAGACATCTCAACGAGTGCAAGGCAAAGTGCACCTTCCTACTAATCTCAGCAACGTGAGAACTCCACGAAAGATGTCGATCTACAATAACACCCAGGTTTTTAACTGAATCGGTTAGAGTTATTTGAGTCCCATCCAAATAAATTGGGGGGAGTATAGGATCGCTGAGTCTACTGCGCAATTGTTTACCCCCTATAATGATAGCCTGTGATTTTCCCGGATTAATGTGCAGACCGTAGGCTTTTGCCCATTCACTGATAGACTTCAGATCACTGTTCATCGCAGCAATAGCCGATTCAACGTCAGGCTCCGAGAAGTGGCGATATAGCTGGAGATCGTCTGCGTAGAGGTGGAATTTAGAAGATATAAGCCTAGTGACAGAGTTTATAAACACAGAAAACAGAAGAGGAGAAAGAACACCACCTTGGGGAACGCCCGCACTGACGTTCTGCCAATCCGAGAAAGTCTCGTCAAGACGGACACGTTGCGTGCGCCCCCGAAGGTAGCTATCAAACCAATTAATAGCAGACGAGGAGATATTGTTTGATTTGAGTATTTCGATCAGAACATCGAAGTCAACAGAGTTAAAAGCGCTGCTGAAATCTAACAACACTAATAAAGTTAGTTGTTTGTTTTCCATAACCCAGCGAATGTCATCGGTCACTTTTAGAAGAGCTGTAACCGTGCTGTGGCCCTTGCGAAAACAAGATTGGAAGGAGCTAAGAAGATTGTGGGAGAGGAGAAAAGACGACAGCTGACGGTGGACAATGTGCTCAAGGACTTTGGAAAGAAAAAGAAGTATAGATATAGGACGGAACTGAGATGCCAAAATATGATTGGGGCTTTTTGGGATAGGAACAACGTAGGCTTGTTTCCAAGAATCAGGAAAGTTGCTAGAGGTAAAGGAAAAGTTGAAAATATGGGTAAGTATAGGTGCTACCGTTGGAAGGATTAGAGCAATCATTTTAGAGCATACGTTATCAATTCCAACAGCCGTGGATGAAATGGAGAAAAAGGAATTACGGACATCAGCAACCGAGATTGGACTTAAGTCAAAAATAGGGATCGGGGTACGGATAGACTTGAAATCTTAAGCAACGTGGCCGTCTTTGAAGAATCACTAAGTGACACAGGAGGGAGAGAAAAATGCTTATTGAGGGCGCACAAGTCAGTATCCTTGACAGAAGAGACGGGAGTTTTGCCAATGCCGACAGATTTAAGGAATCTCTAAGTATGAGCAGGGCTGCGATTTTCAAGTGATTTGTGAAAGTAAAGTCTTTTAGCATCTCTGCACAAATGGTTGCACCGGTTGCGCAGTGCTTTGTACATGGCCAGGCTGTGTTCAGTGGGTTCAGTTCAGTTAATATAAAACAATTTAAAGTTTAAAAAGCTTATTCGAAGTGGTCTCCATTGGCTGCAATACAGTCCTTTAAACGTTGAGGCCAGTTATCAATAGAAGCACGCACTCTTTCCATGAGAAATTTTTTCACTGCCAATCGTACGGATTGTTTTAGGGACTCCAAATTATCATGACGTTTAGAGCAAGCTGTTCTCTCTAAAACTTACCATAAATCATAATCCAGCGGATTAAGATCGAGACTAGACGACGGCCAGTCTTCAGCTCTGATGAAGTCCGAAACGTTCGATTCCAACCAAGACTGGGTAGACCAAGCTTTATGACCTGGCGCTGAGTCTTAGGGGAAAGACCATTCTTGATTATTGAACATGGTGTTGTAAAGGGGCTTCACTACCTTCTCAAGAATGGTTTCTTGATACACTTGTGCCGATGTTTTGATACCTTTTTCACAAAAGTATGGCTCAGTCACTCCTTCATAGCTAATACCCCACCAAACCATCACTGAAGTAGGATAGTGCCCACGTTGCACTATGTCGACTAATTGGGAAGCTTCCTTAGAGCTTTGAGCATAAATACGGTCATTTTGTTTGATAAAATGTTGCTCAATTGTAAAAAAATTCTCATCCGTAAACAAAATTTTTCTATGACCTCCCTTTGCGTACCGCTTCAGTAGTTGTTTCGATTTTACCACCCTATTCTCTTTTAAATTATCGATAAAGAAATGACCAGTACGTCTCTTATAGGCTGCAAGTCCTAAGCCATCTTTTAAAATACGCGACATGGCTCTAGGTGCTATGAAATAAAATCTTTTGCTTTCGGACAGGATTTCTTCGAATTCTTTCCCTTACTGCTTTGACCACCTTTTTCGTACGAACACTACGTGGACGGCCAGATCTTTTTCTGTCACAAACAAAGGAGGTCTCATTGCATCTATTAATAGCCCGGTACACAATTATTTTACTAATACCAAGCGTATGGAGAGTTTTAAAAATTGGATTTGGCTCCATACCTACTTTGTGTAATGCAATCACAGCGATTCGGTTCTCTTTATCACCCCACTCCATTTTTAATATCGCAAAATATTGTACAATGTATTGGCGTCAAAATGAGAACTCAATGAGCAATCATATAAAAATGACAGATTCCAAATTCAAATTTAATATTTTGTTTATTTTTAATTGTAACAGTATTTATGGCCAGACTAAGTATATTATTATACTCTATAAGCATGATTTTATTTTAAAAAAAAAATTTATTTACGTCTATATTAACTTTATTATTATTATCAAGAAGTATCTTGACTGATATATATACAAGGCTTCATTTTTTTCTTTTTTTAATTTAATTGTTTTTATGATCGATCAATCACCAATAGTCGTCGAACAAACGATAATAATAATTGATCCAAATTAATTAATCTGAGTGATAAAAATAAAGATATCTAGTAAGGGGAGCCCACTTAAGGGTTATCATTTGTTTAATTAATTATAAATAAATGAAAGACGAACAAACAATTTTTACATTCGAACATTAACGAAAATTAAAAAAAGGGGGCCAAATTCAGTAAGCCATTATTTACATATATTCAAACTCCAACAGGTCACAGTCGGTGTAAATCGGTCAAAGCAAAATGGCGGGAACACGAAGCGGCCGAAGCGCATAGGTACCTACCCAAAGAAATAATTACCTTCGGTTCTTTGCTTGCTTGCTTAATTCATGTTTCATTGCTAATGTATATTGTATAGCCAGCGAGATAACGAGTCCAACTCGAGTTATGGTGATTTCCACTCGAGCTTACTCGAGTTAGTCGTGTTGACCCCAGTTGACCCCATAGATAATAAATATGTACATTTTATCTAAAACTACCATGGCTTTTTCTAGTTTGTAAAAAGCACAGAACACTGCACACTTCTAGCGAAGGTAAAAAGCAAGGAGTTATTTTATAATAAGTAGTTTGGTAAAAAGTATGTTAAAATGAAGTTACTAATTAGAGAAATAATAATTGTCTTAATGTCGTTAATTGTTATCAATGAATCTGTTAAATTGTCGGCGGTAAAAAATAAATATCATAAAGGCGTGAAAGCATATACTGATGAGAGGTGGACTGAATGTATCGCTCAGTTCGAAGAATCTATCAGTTTATATAGAGTTTATAGAAAACGCATAATTAACTGTAGACTTAAATGTAACAGAAATCAATACAATTCAGAAATACAAAATAATATTGAAGATTTAAAAATTTATGAACTGCTTTTGAAGAAAACAGTGTGCCTTAAACAATGCATAGAGTCTGTTGCCGATACACATCTCCAAGAAGAATTTCAAGATATCATTCCAATAATGTCAGCTAGAAAACCTTTTGAGTATCTCCATGTTTGTTATTTCCAAATGAATGCTTTACCAAAAGCTGCCTCAGCAGCATATACATTTCATGTTGGACATCCAGATGATATCACGATGCTAAATAATGTCAAATATTACAGTCAACAACCAGAAGTAGATGTAAATGAGATAGAAGACTTGCTGATTGAAAATTTCATGATATATTACAAAAACGGTAAAGATGCTTACAATAAAAATGATTGGGAAAAAACAATAACTAATTTTGAAGAAGCTATCAAGGATTACTTTTCAGTGGAAAACAATTGCCGTGCAGAATGTGAATTGCAACCAGACCAACAGATATCTTCAGAGTTTATCATAACAATTGCAAATAACGTAGCATCTCTTTTACACTGCCAACAGCAATGCCAAGATATACTGAAAAAATTTAGCTATCAATCAGGAATAGAATTCCTTACTGATGTACTAGATTATCTACAGATCTCTTACTATTATACAAAAGATTATGAGGGTGCAGCTGAAGCGGTCTCCACTTATATGGTTATGATACCTGATGCTGAAGATATGATAGAAAACAAAAAATTCTATAGTTCGCTTGTAGATAAAGAAGCTTTTGTTAACAGATCTGATATTGTTTACTACTTTAAACGGGATACTTATGAAAAAATGATTTTGAATCTGTTTCACAAGGACAGTGATGAAGGTAGTTTTAAGATTAAAGATGAATTATAATGATTTATCTTTTTGTCAAACTAAAGCTATAAGAAAAATAGTGCCTTAGATAGTATATATTTTTCGACATTATTTACCAAAGATGTTAGACCAGAGTGAAAGTGTCATATTTTTAATTTTATAATTTTTAAACAAATGAATAAAGAATTGCTTATTTCATTATCTTTTAAAATTTAAGATACTATCAGTTAAGGCAGGTGTTGGAGTATCGGTTTGTTAACTTTAACAATTAAGAAGAAGAGTACTTTTACTCTCACTCCCTTACTCTTACTCTCCTGTGGGTAAATTTTACTTTCTTTAAAAGTTGCCTAAAATAACAAAAACTTATTTTATTTTAAAATGAACAAGGTGTTATAGATAATTTTATCTAAAATTTTTTTTTGCTTTCTTATATAAAAAGATTAAATATGAAGAAGGATGGGGCAGCTGTTGTAACTATACGAGACCTTAGAACTATTATCTCAAGGTAGGTGGCGGCATTTACGTCGTAGATTTCTATGAGCTCCGGTATCCGCTTATCATCAGGTGGACCGTGAACTCGTCCACCCGAATAAGCAATAAAAAAATTATATTTATAATAAATGAACATCATTACAATTACAATAATTTATAAGGCTAATACTAATTCTACAGAAAAGAATTTTCAAACGTGGTGGTTAGGTATTTATTTAGTTCATACAATAAATGTAAATAATTCATACGCAAAAACGGTTACATACATCACGCAGCTCATAGCTGTCATTTTATTTTATACTTTTTTTAAGAATTTCATCCTAATTGACCACAGTGTCAAATAAATAAACTGCATTTAATCCGCTCTATTTTATTTTTATTAATTTAATTTATCGTTAATTGAAGATTTAATATATTCGGCGCTGTTATGAACGGTATCGCAAGAACCCAATTGCCATAATGAAAAAAAGGAAGAAGTATAAAAAATAAGTTGACGTCATACATTTTTTCATCTTCTTTCTAATCTGTATATAATGTTGCTAGCGTACATAATTTCAATGATTAATGTATTTCTTTCCATAGCACTGAGTAGAGCTCTATAAAATATCCAGTGCAAAAGCTTTCCGTGTAAATCAAATATTTTTAATACATCATTAAATCTACTGCTACCAAGTATCCATATTTTCCCTTTATATCATTTATATAATTCGAGAATATGGAGCGTTTTTAAGTATTTACTTACTTTCGATAGCTAATAACTTTATTAATACGCCCTTATTTATTCTGAACGAACCTACCAGTTCCTATTCCTATCTTCAAACTCGTATTCATCATCATCATCAACAGCCCACAGTCGTCCACTGCTGGACATAGGCCTGTCCCAATCCACACCACTGAGCCCGGTCTACGGCTCTCCTCATCCACTTCTTGCCGGCCACCGTGCGGGGATCATCGCACCACCTAGTCGGGGGGCGTCCCACGTTACGTCTTCCGCTGCGCGGTCTCCACTCGAGAACCCGTCTGCTCCAGCGATCGTCAGTCCTACGGCATATATGGCCAGCCCACTGCCATTTCAGCTTGCTGACTCTTTGTACTATGTCGATGACTTTAGTTCTCGGTCGAATAATCTCATTCCGGATTTTATCCTTCAGAGAAACTCCGAGCATGGCCCTTTCCATGGCTCGCTGAGCGACTTTGAGCTGACGGACCAACCGTACTGTGAGTTTCCACGTTTCAGCTCCGTAAGTCATTACCGGTAGGACGCACTGGTTAAAAACTTTCGTTTTCAGGCACTGTGGGATGTGTGATGAAAAGACTCCAGTAAAGTAAAGACTTCGTATTCATGCACAGCTCAATTTCTAATGCTGCTATCCACCTGAATATTTTATAAATTTTGTTGATTTCATGTTTAAACGATGTTATTCCTTTATTGAGGAAATCGAAGTGACCGTGTGCTAACCAGTAACGAGCCGGCAGGGTTTAAGCCCCGGCTTAGTCTTAAAACTTACCCCTAAACTACGAATTTCGAAACGACCTAACAGATTTTATTGGAATTAGCGTGTGTCAAGTGGCGAATTGACTGTATTCCTAGCTGGGGAAGGCCGGTGCCATTCATGCTATTTATAAACAGGTTAGTACGTGTGAACATAAAAATCTTAATCTGTTAAGATATGTTACTAGGTTAAAAAGTACTTGTACTAAATTTATCTTAAGGTTTAAATCAAATAACAACTTAAAACATAACAAAATCAAATATACTTAGGGCGGACGTTAATTTAAAAAAAAAGCTTTACTAGTAGTTTTGTAGAGATTTACTAGTTTTACATTTCATGTGTGCTTAATATTTTGCTTTCATGTGTAGTCCTCTTAAGTAAATAGAAAACGTACTTAAAAAATGGTTTAATTTATCATTAATACTAAACAATATATTTTTATCTTGGCAATTAAATGATTTTTACTTCTGGCGATACTACAAGGAGGTAAATTTTGTCATCAGAGGTCGCTCCAAATCAATTTCAAAAGAAATTGTTTATTAGTAAAGCGTATTTTTGTCTAAATTAAGGTAAGAATCAATCATAATAATAACATTCTTTCATAATTTAGAATTATACTCAAGGTGAAGCGATTAATTACTTGAGGTCGTAGATTTTGATTAATGACTTCAAATCCACGTGAACATTGTCCCTTTTCATGGAGTAACAAGTGAAGTAATAAACAATGCAGGCTAATGAACTATATCAAATTAGATTTGAACAAATCAACGGATATTATAGTGAAAAGAAACGTAACTGAAAGTATTCTGATATTTTTTTGGCGCATAAATCTTGTTAGCAGTAGGCGGCTAGTTGTAAATAATGATAAAATGAATTCAAGATTGCGATTTATTACTCAAAATTAAAAAATCTATATTCAAGACTTAAAAAAATGCATTAACGATAAATTTTGATGAATGTCTTTAAATGTATGAATTAAGTTGGTAAATACCAATTTAATTATACTACCAAACAAAAATAATAAACTCACCAAAATATGTGCATATAATTATAATATAGTAATATGATTAAACTAGTATTTTTTTATTAAATCATATCCGTTTTTTACCTGAAACAAAAAGCTCTGAGACAGGAAATATGTCCAACTTGATCATTTGGGAAGCAGGGACGCTAATATTGACGTTTGAAATATAGTACAATGATCATTATGATGTACAATTTCAACCTTTTGTCTCACAGTGGGTGGTGGCATTCTTGAGATGATATCTATAGATTCTAGAAAAAAACTTAGACAGCCCATGATTAGACTTATCTCCTAATAATTCTAAAAATTAAGGTTTTATTAAGATCCTGCATTGGAGTATTTATAATTATACTATTAAAACCTTTATATTACAGATATCGATTAATATGGGTACTACAGATTCTCACAATGATAGACTGAGTATAAAAAACATGATTTTCACAAAAGCTTTACCAAATTACACAATCCCAGTACCAATAACTGGCCACAAAGTATTTGGGTGTACTGATTGTGGAGACAAGTAAGTGTGTTTTAGCCAAAATCTGTATTAATATAAAATGTGTTCAACCATAATATATAATAAATACTTATTACCCTGTGTTAATTGATGCAATATAAAAATGAAAGAACAAAAACATTGGTTTTAGAGGTACCGGTGTGAAGCGGTTACTGGAGCCCAAAAATACATCACAGCATAAATATCTGCATCTGCTTAAATGAGGTTGAGATCTCAGTTATATTGTATAACAGTTGTCTCATATTTCAAACCTGAATGCATCACTGCCCCGTGACCAATTTCAGCATTACTTTACTTCCTATCTTTACTGGTTCGCAATAAATGATATTAACAGTATGATGATCGACTTACTCTATAAAAATCTTTTAATAGTATCAGTTCAAACTAACCTAATTATGGGGATTCATTGGAATCTTGAAAAGACATTACTTTACAATCAGTGTGCACTAGTGGTAAAGACTGTTGCTACTACTGGTTTCATTTTAAAATCATAAATGGTATAATAGACAAGACATAGTCACATTTATGAGTTACATGTTTAATTAGCTAGGGTGAAGTTATGTCTATGTGTACTTANAATAGTATCAGTTCAAACTAACCTAATTATGGGGATTCATTGGAATCTTGAAAAGACATTACTTTACAATCAGTGTGCACTAGTGGTAAAGACTGTTGCTACTACTGGTTTCATTTTAAAATCATAAATGGTATAATAGACAAGACATAGTCACATTTATGAGTTACATGTTTAATTAGCTAGGGTGAAGTTATGTCTATGTGTACTTAAACTTTGAGCCAGGAAGCCAACCTAAACTGCTTGTGTAAAGTTTGTTCAAGGCTTTCTGGACTCCGGCTTACTTTGAACATAAATTAACCATTTACTGCTGCTGACATAATTTATCTTAAAAACGTGTTTTTGTGTTCTGGCTCTTAATGTTACATCATATCCAAGTATTGTAATAATTTAATATACATATATATGCATGCTAAATTTATTTTATTACTTTTACTTATTTATTACTTTTTAATCTATCTGATACTTGTTTTATATCAATTTTCAAATCATATAAAGACAAGTCATAACATTACATTTTTCTAGTAGATAGTATGTTTTCTATAGTCTTTTGTGTTTCAAGGTGAGTGTGACATGCATTGCACATGTTTAAGTTTTTTTTTTTTAAGTGAGCTGCCATTTGTGACATATATACTGGTAACCACTCAACATCAGATGGGCCGTGAGCTTTTTTTTTCTACCTAAACTGATGGTCTTGAGATGAGAGCCCATATCAGCGTCACCGGGCGAGTAGGTGAGCTCACGGGGCTCAAATCTGACGTTGTTGCTAATACGAACCCTAGCAAGAGCCGTGCTTCGCAGAATCTACCACCGGATCGGAAACGCGACCCACTGAGAAGATCCGGCAAGAAACTCAGTGGGCTGTGTCTGTGGGTTAATTTACTCGCCGAGCTCATCGTCGCTTTTTTTTTAATCCTACCTATGCTGATAGCCTTGAGAGGCTATTTCAGCTTCACTCTAACGTGTGTAGGTGAGCTCACGGGGCTCAAACCGGAGTGTTGCTAACACTAACCCTAGCAAGAGCAGTGCTTCGCAGAATCTACCACCGGATCGGAAACGCGACCCACTGAGAAGATCTGGCGAAAAACTCAGTGGGCTGTCTTTATGGGCTAATTCGCTCGTCGAGCCCTTCGTCGCAAGCGACGGGTTGGACGAGGACGGTGACCAGTGCTTGTGGTGCCTAAAAGCACCGTTAATGGATCGGGAGGATCCGTAATAACGTGAACTTCGTCGCAAGCGACGGGTTTGACGAGAACGATGACCGGCGCTTGGGGTACCTAAAAGCACCGTTAGTGGATCGGGAGGATCCGAAATGATGCGTAAATGAGCTCTTTCACTCACCCAATCCAATCAAAAAAGTAAATTGACACGGATAGTAAAAAAAAGACTGCTCTGCTTTTTGTTTAGTTCAGTCATAACTATAAATTGTTAGAAAAGCCTATAGCTATTAGAGATTTTGATTTTTTTAACGGACATTTACGGATATCCGGCCGATGGTGGATCGGATGATGCTATGTCGAACTTCGGCGCCAAAGAGATTACGTCTTGAGGAAGGCGCGCGGGACAGCGTGAACTGTACGACTGCCCCGCAGAATGACTACCGACTAAACCCCAAAGAATACTCTCGGCCGACGCCCGATTCTCGCCCAAAAAGTCACTGAATCTATATTAAATATATATCTTTAATAAAATATAAATGTATAATATATGTAAATGAAATTAATCATTAATGCCATACTGGACTGATGATAAGTGATCAATTATGTTATGACAGCTAATCTCCTAGTTCATAAGTTCATAAAATGTATAACATCGACGTTATTTTTTGCTGAGATGGTCTATAGGTCAGTGGAGAGTGACATCGGCTAATTTTATATATTCGATTGAAAATTGGTCATCATTTTATGAATTTTTTTTATAGGTAGGTACTGAATATATCAAAATTTATCACAATATTTGATAAGTTAAACTAGAGGAGTACGCACTTTTAACGTATTTTTAAAAATCAAATATTGCCGTAGGTTCATAAAACCATTAAGTTTTTTTTTCTATTTTTTTTTGCCGCACTTTCGGTACTTTTGTATTAGGACCTTGTCGTAGAATTAAAATAGTTTTTAATTTAATAGATGAACAACTCACTTGGCTACTTGGTGTTATGTGCATAAAGGAGTCCATATACATCAGGTCGTTATGCCACCACTTACCTTGAGACACGAAGTAGAAGTTTCATTTAATTTTGCTATTAATAATAAGGCAATATAATTGAGAGAAATATACGGTTCGCCAAATAGCATTTAATATATTTTATTAGATTGACTTTTATTTCTATCTCTGTAACGGTATATTTTAATGTAATTTTCACCAACTTTAGACGTCCAATTAACTAACTGTAACAATCTTCACAGGCATCAAGGATCAATGACTGACCGACAATGAATGATCAATAATATTTATATGATGTACCTGTCTAAGTTTTTAAAATTAGAATTACTTTTTTTGTTTCAGATTCGTCTTTGAATCCAGCTATAATGATCACATCAATCGAAGATCTGTCCAAATCAGTTACATGTGTCGTCATTGTGGTTTTCCCAAAATATTCTACAATAGATGCAATTTACTATTTCATATACGTTCGCATTCATTTAAAACAGCTACGATAAATGTAACAGACTTGAGAATCGATCCGTTACCCCTTTCTTTTTATAATATGGATCTGATTAAAACACAAGGGAGTGACAAGCCCGACCAAGTTACACAACCAAACCCACGTAAACAATGTGTCGTACTAAATACATGTTTTGAATGCAAGAAGAATATTTCCATGGCGAATTCCGCGTATAAAGACCGCGCCAAACATTTTATGGAATTTACTAATGAAACTTACACTTGTCCAATTTGCCTTTTCACTTTGCCAACTGTTTGTGGCCTTAAAGCACATCTACGTCTGCATTTAAAAAGTCCTCCCTTTTACTGTCCAGAATGCGGTATTCATATCTCAAACAAAAACGTGAACTATCCTTACAACCATGACTGCGAGGGATTTAAAATGATGAGAGCCACCGCTAGACTGCAGTGTCCAGTGACCAAATGTAATCTTTTTCATCCAAACGACTTTAAACAACACATGAAACAAACTCATTTAAAAAAGGTTTATAAATGTCAATTTTGTGTTGTGGCATGCTTTAATGAAGTAACTATGGCCAAACATCTAAAGATCCACAACATGGATAATAAGGCATTAATATTTTATCAATGTGAACTGTGTCCAGGTAGACTGGTACTTCATAATCTAATAGAAAGTCATTTAGGGAATCACATTCAGAACAATGTCTATCCATGTTGGACTTGTGGCGCTGTTTGCAATGACGCAATTGCTTTAATTAATCACTACACAAGGAAACATAATGATAAGGCACCGAATATTGCAAAAATAGTAGCTTCAGTCATTAATGAAACTAGAACACAACTAGGAAGTCATCGAATATATCGCGTAGTAAAAAAATGTGACCATTGCCACAGAAGTTTCATTTACAAATGTCAATATGATGAAATACCGATTCTACCAAATTTGTGTCCATATAAATGCACTAAAAGCTTAAAGATGCAATCGCAAAATACTGATTCAGACAATGATGGTAATTTAATCTGCTACATGTGCAAAATGGTTATATCTGAAGATTGGAAGCAAATTAAAAAACATTACTCGATTCATCACAATAACATTAGATGCTTGGATCTTAAAATAGATCTGCCTCGCATAGATTTAGGCAAGTATTTAAAGAAAAGGAGCTTGAAGCAGACGTCTAATAAAGAAAAGTCAAACCCCAGGATTAAAAGAAGCAAACGCCTAGGAATGAAAATGACCAAAAAAAGAGTTTTCAAAAGCAGTTATGGATGTAACATGTGTAGTGACAAGTTTGAAAATAAAAACCTCTTAGAAAATCACCTAAAACTTCATAGAGATACTCTTATGGCATACCAATGTATGGAATGTGGACAAAGTTTTGCCATGAAACCATCTTTCTCAACACATTTGTTACTGGAACACAAAATAATGAATGTTGACGATTATATTCAAAACAAAAAGTGCTTTAATGGAGATGCATTAGTAACACAGCAAATGAACGTCTCCTACGAAGAGCCATTTTCAGAAAACCAGTGCAAAATTTGCAAAACTCTGTTTGAAAGTAAAGAAATTTTGGAGAAACATCAATGCTCACAGTCTGGTAGTNTCTCAACACATTTGTTACTGGAACACAAAATAATGAATGTTGACGATTATATTCAAAACAAAAAGTGCTTTAATGGAGATGCATTAGTAACACAGCAAATGAACGTCTCCTACGAAGAGCCATTTTCAGAAAACCAGTGCAAAATTTGCAAAACTCTGTTTGAAAGTAAAGAAATTTTGGAGAAACATCAATGCTCACAATCTGGTAGTCTTAGTCAAAGATAATATTATGTGGAAGACGAAACCAATTTAGGCAAGCCCTTATCGAGAATCACGAAGCTGGGAAATCATAATAGACCATTATGCAATAAGCTATCATTATCGGTTTAAAAATAGCCAGTATTTTGAAAAAGAATCTGGTGTAGGTATGATAGGTACTATTTTGCATGTTGTTAATAAAGTTTTCTTTATCACATCATAGGGGATTCATTATCCTAAAGTGCTCGCCAATAGACTATAGACAGCCCTGAATGTATATAGAATCAATTTATTTTTATCTTTGATTATTGAATGTCCATACAGGTTGTAGTTCCTGAAATCATAAATGGTAGTTACAAGATGTGATTGTTAGGAAATCATTTCACTGAAACTACAGTGAAGTTAATTAAAAACTATTGTACATATAATAGTCAAGGTGCAAGAAAGGGAAGTGTTCATAAATAAAATAACATGAAACTAAACAGAAAATTAGAATATCTTGAAAATGTTTATAGATTGCCCCTATTACGAAGTTCATGTCAAACTTATGACTGAAACAGACGTAATCTATCTTTGTAAATAAAAATACTTAAATGTTTATATGTGTGCGTTCCTAAATTGTTCATGAAAACTCATAATTGTTATGGATACTCCAGGTAAGGTTTCTGTCATAGTACCATTAACGTACGAAAGGTGCCGAGTAGTTATGAAATCTATCTTTTTAATACAATTAGCGATAGTCACAGCGCTGCAGCGTAGCGTGATCGGGTGTCGGTATTATAATATGATATGCGTGTTATCAACTTGCAGACATTCACTGCTATATCTTATGCTTTCCTTGCTAAGGTTCGCTACTATGACCGGTCCTGCGCTGTCCGCACCCAGCGCATACTTGTGACATCCAACTGATCGCCAATCTATGTTCTGCGAGGCCTATCTACGGTTCTGGTACGCGATTGCCATTCGAAAACTTTTTGGCCACAATGACTATCAGTTCTACGAGAAATGTGCCTTACACAACACTTACTTCAATTACCTCGGTTTTACCGCCAATTTTCTTATTCTTCATTCGATCGCGCAAAGTAACTTCATGGTTGTGCGGTCTGGAAAAAGGTAACGCCTTCCCGTCTCCGGCTTTGGGCGTAATAAGAGGCAAATATGGAAAAAGGGCATTTTTCTCTTTTTGTGCTTTTAACGTGACCAATAAGTTAGTTCATAGGTTTATAACCACATTTTGGGTTTGGGTACCCTTTACACGTTGTATTATTTCATTATTTTTCTGTATCTCCACTATTACTGATGTCTTCGGTGGTAACAAAATAGAATACATATTAGTACATAGTAAGACCTCATAGGACAATACTTTAAAAAAATTACTTTGGTTAATCTACTTTTAAAAAAACGGGAAAGTTGATTAAAATCATCATTCGTACATATTCGTTGTTAAATTAAATTTTTATGTCATTTTACGTTTTCATTGCAACGTTAATAGTAGGTAATTTGATATTGTCATAAGTTTTCTATTTTGAAATTATATTTAGTTTCTCATAAGAATATGTGCGTTCAAAAATAATGAACAGGAAAAATGAGCAAAATTCTTGTAGATTCGGTTTAAAATGAAAATCTTATTAATCTTATATCGTTCTTCTTTACCATACCCACTGAGTTTCTCGTCGAATCTTCTCAGTGGGTCGCGATTCCGATATGGCGGTAGACTGCGAAGCACTGTTCTTGCCAGAGCAGATGAGTTCATATGCCAGTTCATGGAAATTAGAATAGCCCATCGAAGGTCCCGGTAATTAGGTAGGTAAACAATAAATACCACAAGAATCTCTTTGTTGTGGCTGTCGCGTTGTTAAGTAGATCATTTCTTCATCTGCACCATGATTGACAAGGTAGGTGGTACTCATGTCGTTTCTTGTATTTGTAATTTTTGGATTGCTTCCGGTAACTGTCTTTTTATGAAAATATAGCTGCAATCATTTTAGAAAAATCACATGTTGCAAATACTTATTTCCTTTAAAATGTGTTGGTACAGGTTTGTGTACGTAAAAAAATTGCGGGGCTATCTATCAAGAATGTTGTTGTACTACTGTAATGCCGGCCACTCACATGCGCGCAAATATTCATTGTACGAATGTTTGCGCGCATGTGAAGGGCTGTCAAAACATTCATTCGCAAACTTAGCGGCTGTGCAAATGGGTTCGGTACTCAATTTGCGAACCCGTTTGCGCTTCCTCCTACATTTGTTTACGAATGTCTCACGAATTTCTCCTCCTTTTTAATTCGTCAATAGAACATTGAAGAGAAAAAGAGTTTTGAATTCTTTCCCAGACATCATTAACAGCCATACTGTTTTTATGGGATTTCTTTTGATGAAGATACGCTACACAGTAGACGTCACGATTTATGAAAATAGCGAAACGTCCGTTGCCTTCGCAATTGGTCACACGAATGTGTGGGAGACTACGCGAAGAATCGCGGTTCGCGCGCTTTGATGTCTGTTAAAAAACCGACACAGCTTGGAAAACCACGAATGCAGCGAAAACTTTGCATTGTCGTCCCGAATACGCAAACCCGCAAATGTCGTCCTACACTTGCGGGTTTGCGTATTCGTGCGAATGTCAGTGACCGGTATAACAATAAAAGTTAATTGTAATAAATAGTTATTAATTTCATCATGTACTTTTCAATGCCTAGCTGTAGTTGTGTGTTTGACATAGGTAGGTATATTTTGTTGAATTAAAAAAAATCCTGTAGTCCTTACTTTTGATCGAAGTTCGTTAATATAAAAACAATGTCAATTTGGGTCAAAGAGTAAACTGTGTTATTACTGATACATAGTTTAGAGATGCCTACTGACTAGAACTGAAAAATAAAATTTTTAGTGTCGTTTAATGGACAATTCTGATATTTTATTTACATTTTACAAATATTTTTGTATACTAACCGCAATCCATAAAAACCTATTATTCTTTTTATTATATTAACCATTTCGCTACGGCAGTGTGTTTTGTCTGAGTGAAACTGCTGGACGGGTCACTGTACCGATAGAGTAGCGAGTAGGTTTGCTAACGGTTGGATTTCTTTATAAAACCAGATATTACCAGTATTTTATAACATGGAATAATTCTGACATAATAAGATATATTTTAGAAAAACATCTTCAATCTGTGTCGTAAATAATGATCTTCCAATGGCGATCGAGTTTGACTAGTAATTGCAGATTAATGTACACCTTATTAAATAGTCATGCAAGAATCGGGAGCAATTAGGGAGTGCAAGTGCAAAAGGGGTTGTAATTCATGTTGCCATAAGATCGCTAAACAGAGCTACAATACTTGAAATCTGTGGTTTCCTGTGTTATTTTATATGTAATAGCAAAATGTTTAAAAAACAGTCATTGGAAAAATATCACTAAAAAATTAACATAAGAATATTTGTTTCAAGGTTTGGCATCTACATTTAAAACGTAATAACTATCTAACGGGCTATAAATCACGGGCATTGAATAATAAATACATTGTTATTATTTACATCAAATATATTAAAATGGTACATGTGGTCTCAACAAAGAAAACAGCTAACCTTTAAGATCATTGTCTAATTATAAAAGAATGTGTTTTCCAAAAATGAAAATATATTAAGTAATTTTATTGTTTTAATTTATTTTTATTGATTTAATATAAGCTATGTTATATGTTGTGCACATAGCTTAAATTGTCAACTGAAAATATGAGTTGTAACTTATCACAAGTGAGAAGCTACTGTCAATTTTTTATCACCTTCATATTCTTATTGAATTATCTTCATTTTTATTATGTGAGCACTATAAATTAAGTTACTATTTTAGACTATTATAATATTACGAATTTCCCAAAAATAGAGGATGATATGCATAATTCCCTTTCAATATTCTTCTACAGGTAGGACATTTTTTTTCTGTTTTGAGACAGCGTTCAAGGCATTTCAGACAATATACATGTCCACATTTTGTAGAAGCCAAAGGGTTTGTACCAAGTTCTTCACAACAAATTGGACAGTCACCAAATTTTATTGATGATTCAATAATTGGTTTTCTTAAAGATGTACTATGACTCTGAAACAAAATTATTTATTAACAAATTCAAAATAACACCAACCAGATCTTTATTCTTTGTATCAACTTTTGTTTAAATCTTACATTTTGTTTTTTAGTAGATGTGGATTTTTTCTTTTTGTTTCCTTTTTTTTCCAAAGTATGACTATTATCTATGCTGTAAATATTATTTATTGATGTTGTTTCTAATGAAGAATCTACATTTAAAAGAGATGTTTCATTTTGAACTGTAAAAATAACAAGAAAAGTGAATACATTAAAATTCATTCATAAAAACAATTAATTCAAAATGTTGATTTACTTTTATCACAAAAAAGATATTTTTTGGCATATTTTATTTTATATGGCCATATACAAAACATGATGTAGTTACTAACGTTAATATTATTTTGAAAAAAAAAAATGAGTTTTCATGGCAATAATCGCCTACTTTTCTAAACGAACATATGTTTAATGAGAAAAATGCCCTCTCAGGAATCACCTAAGTATGGTGACTTTTGATTTTTTTAGTTCAAAAAGTCAATATGCAGTTCTCATTGGTAGAGAGAAGCTTGCTTGTACCCCTAACATTGGAGATAACAGACGATTAAGTGAATGCCCTCTGCCTTCAACAAAGAACAAGAGGCAGAACGATTGTACAAGCCTGTGTGGGCTTGCGACGCACTATAGGATATGGTTTAGGCAAGAAAAGATAGAAAAGGTATCAATACTATGCATGAATAATAGGGGAATACTAGTAGAAGCCCGAAAAGGTGCAGGTTGAATTTTTTGAACAGTTGTATCGACTATTTGCATAATAGCCCTCGGGATCGATTTTAAATTAAAATAATTTACGTTTTCTACTCTAAATGAGTACAATGTGTATCTAGACAATTTAGATTTTATTACTCCGATTACTATTTTGCTACGCAAGGTAATAATCACATTGGTGGGTACCTACTTAAGCAGATTGGAATATTTTGAATTGTTTTAAATTGAATTTAAATTGCTTTAAATTGAATTTAAATTGTTTTAAATTGATTGATTGATTGAAATTGAAATAAATTGTTTTAAATTGAATTTGAATTTAAATTGAAATTCAACTGAAAAATGAACTTACTGTAAGATTCTTCATCTAATTCAATAATGAAATCCGCTAGAGCACAGTGGTTTGCTAATGTAAATGAATCTGTCAAATCAATTATTTCGTCTCTAAAAGACATTGTACTTTGTTTTTTCATAAAATACAAACTTCGTTTAGTAGAAAATAGTCAAACGTCTTTCAAAATAACAGACATTGATTTTTTTATTGGCTTGGACTCTGGGCTTTTAATCCAAAGTGGAACTATATAATATTATTTGTATTATCTGGGCATGAGTGGAATGGAACGAATTTTATGAAGATTAGAATAACAAATTTATTAGGGAGTTCATTTAAATGACCAAGATGTAAACCTAAAAATATTTTATTTTATTATTACGTACCTACGTTTTAACTATTTGAATTTTTCTGTTTTTGATTTTTTAGAAGAAAACTTACTATGTAATAACTTAAGATTGTTTCTGTGCGTGCTTTATACGTTGTTGTTTTTTTGGTGTAAAAAAATTAAAAAATAAATAACTGTATGAAATGGTCAAAACAAATCCAGTATTTTTTGTGTAGTTCGCGCACAATAATTATTAATTACTACAGACCTCTAGAATTTTATACCGATTTGTAAAGATTGCAGTGATCTATCTCCACCAGGAAAGAAGCAGTTCCGTTTAACAATTCATATCTAATTTGCTACTTTGTGTGTAATAAATCACAAAAAATATCAGTTTAGATTGCCATTTACCATTATCGAGGCATATCCTTAATTTTAGATAGGTGCCTGCACATTAACTAAAAGATTAAATGAAATGGTAGTACTCCACTAAAGTGGTTGACAGTCGGTATGGAGGGTAGAGGTAAGGAGAACAGTCTCATTTGGGAGTAGTTTGAAAAAGTGTCCCACTTTCAGCACTGAGCTTTTAGGACTTTCAACAATGAGCGGTCAAGAGTTGTCCGCATTCGGTGGATCCTCGCGACCTGTGTGCTTAGTGCGAGTTTCTTAACGTTCTCGATAGCGTAAAAGTTAAGCCATTTTTGTATTGCAGTTGGAACAGCGCCCCTACCAGCAAACGTACGCAAACGATCCCATTCCATACAAATATGAGCTAATTTTTACGCTATCGAGAACGTTAAAAAACCCGCACTAAGCACACTGATGGATAGAGAGGGCTATGCTCACCCATAGCCGGAAAAAAGTAATACTTTACGTAAGTTAAGTAATTCTTTACGCAATATTATCCGAAAACTGGACGCAATTTACCAAAAAACAATATATTTTTCGGAGATATATATATTCAATATATTTTCAATGATCGGAGAAACAATGTTCAGCGGTTTTGCGGTCGTGTACTTTTGGAAATACTAAACGATTAATACTTAGTTATATCTTTAGATGTTTATATGTGTATTAATCGTTTAGCAAACAAACACAAGATATCTGTTGGTAGAATAAAATAATTCAAAAGCACGTAATTTTACGTGGCTGTCATAAAGCTCTGTAGGTGTTTGTTGTGGATGTTTCAGTCATTGTTTTGATTATAATAAAACTATAATTGAATACTTAAATCACTCATTTTAATTTTCTTCAGCGTCCATTTTTTACGTTACATTTTTATCTGTGTTGCCAGTCCTATAAACAGTAGGTTTGTCATAAGTTGTTAGCACTGAAGGTAGATGTGTAATAGAGGTAGGCAGGCGGCTGTTTATCAATAATAAATAAATAATCTAGTTCGTTATTGTTTCAAGCATGATTCATAGAAAATACACCTTTTGTTTATTAGCATGTATGTACATATGCGCAATTACCCTGATCCGTAACGAAAGCCATAAACACACATGAAAATCGGTGTCCGACGAGATTTAATTTTTATTTTTATTTTATAGGCTTGAATAAACAATAATAAATTTAAATGTAACAACAATAAAAACTTGTCTCAGTCCATGTTTGTTAAAATATTGAAAAAACAAATGAAAAATAGGAGATGTTGCTTTGACAAACTGAGTGACATATAGAACTCAAATAGTTGTTAACAACAACAAATAACCAAATTAGAAAAAAGTATATTTGTTTAAACACGTTTAACATAAAATTAAATCGAATAAAACGTCATTTTATAATGAATTACAGTAATTCGGTTCTCATTGGAAATTGGAGCGAGGAAAGACTGAAGAATGAGGTTTAGTATCTATTTTACAAAGTTGGTTTTTTAAAGGCCAAATGCTCTTTATGATATGATGATCTTATTACTATCATCAATATTTAATATAGAAGATATGGTTTACAAACCACACCTCATCGTGCGTTTACCTATTTCTCTGTTATCCGTCCGCGAAGTGATATCCTCACTTTTCATTTTTTGTAGCAAGCTTCCTATAGGTATGTACACCTTTATCCACTTTGTACCATTATCCTTATCCTGTCTAAGTATGGTTGTGCGCCAGTGCAATTAAGACTTCAATACTGTCTTGAGGTGTGCAGTAGTATTCACGTTTTGGTAATTACTTAAAGTAGGCAAAAATAAGATGACTACTTTAGTATTTCATCTAGGTCGTTATCAAATTGTAACAAATTAAATAATTGCTAGTTACGAACAGATTATATACTTGTGAAAATCTATCGCTCTGTTGTTTGTGTTGATGAAAAAAGATAATAGGCAATTCCTGAAGTATCTTGAAGATCGCTGATCAGTGACCAACAGTACAGTTTCCATCACGGTTGCTCAGCTGGCGATCCTCTTGTATACCTTACCCACAGGTGGGCTGAAGACTTGGAGAGCATGGGCGACGCTCCCGCTGTAAGTCTTGATATCGCGAAGCTCTATACAGGGTTTGGCATAGGCCACCCCTATCGAAGTTACCATCTTACCGAATCCCCGAGGGACTGCAAGTGGATCTCTAGGTTTTTGGATGGGGAGAGCATCACAGTCGCCTTAGAAAAAACATGCAATAAGATCTTATGATTCTTGTTCGCAAAGGGCGATTTCTGCTTTGCTCTTAGTTGAAGGCTAAGCTTCGTTGGGAAGGCAATGAAAGAGTTGCGAGTATTTCTTAAAGGCATAAGGTTAAGCGAGAGATAGATCAAATCAAAGTCCGATAAAAAAATATAAGAACTTATTTTTACTCTAGTTTTGTAACATTTTCCAGTACGAATTCAAGTTGTTTCTACGAAAGCGCGAGAGAAAGGAATTGTTGTTGCAAAGGTCCAGAACATTATTTAGCAATTTATTGAAGGAGGTGAATGCTTATCTTTCTGTTGTTGTTTTTCTCTCATACTTTCACTCAAATACTTGTTAGTCAGTTTTCAACAGAATAATTTCCAAGTAGATCAAGGATAAATATTATTTAAAGTTAAAGTCAATAAAGTAACAGGGGCAAAGTCATTCAACCATATATCTAATCATATTTAAACCAATCTCAAGCTAGCACCAAGACGAAAAGCGATGATTTTTAGTTCAAAAAATTTCTGGCGATATTTTTAAATAACGTTATACCACAACGGAAGCTCTCACACCAGATATTCAGTACTGGACATAGGTCTCTCTGAAGATTTACTACAATGACGGGTTTTGCGGCATTCGCAACTAATGGATTCTTATTTAACCGCTTTTAAGTTTTTTATGTTTATATACTCGTAAAAGATTGACATGCTTAATGAATAGGAATCGGAAGCCTAATCTTGTGTCAGCAGTAAGTCTAACATAGCGTTTAACTAATTCAAAAACCTTTTTACTAATGCTAAATTTTTACGACCCGCTAATATTTAATTTATTTCTCAATAACTTTATTTTTATAGCGACCACTTGCAATAAGCGGAACTTTCGTATTGTATGGTTTTAACGTACAAGTTGTCGCTTCGGATATGCTAGGTATTGTTATTGTTTACTATCATAACTAATAATTTATTTCAATAATCAAAAGCCATTTAATTATATTTAATCTATCTAATTATATATACAAACAATATTTTGGGCCGTAATATTTTGTTTAAAAATGAATTTTCAGTTAAAACCAAGTCCGCCACCGGAAAGCCTCAGTATGGATTAGCATTATCAAGCTTAGTGTCTGAACGACAAGTCGATTGCTTGCAGAACATCAATGATGGATGCCTAATGACTCTTTCACCCATAACTACACCTTGCTGTCGGAATACTTTTGTTATACTTAGGTTAGAATAGCAAGTAATGTCTAGGACTGACATGTTTTTTAAAAATATTTAGAGAAGGAAAGATGTTCTGCGGTGAACGTAAACATAAAATAGCTGATTTTAGGAAACACCAATGGGCAGTGCGTTTTACTTCCAGCTACCTCATTCTGTCAGCTGGTGGCCTCGCAGAAGTCGGGCAGTATCTTTCGGGTCTTTGACTGACGTCTACCATTCTTTTATTGCGGGTTTATTCTCAGATCATAGATAGATCCTTAAACATTATCCCGCTGCAATTATTTTATTTGTTAATTTTTTTTTATCTGTAATCTAAATATTAATATTAATCTATCCATATATCTAAATCAAGTTTATTTATTGTAAATACAAATGCAGATAAATATATGAAGTTTATTTATTTTATGACAGTGCAGCTGATGAAAGTCTCCACGGAGAAAAATTAAATTATGGCGATGAATTCTTGCTCAGGGCTGAAAACTACGGTGATCCAGATGTTATTATTTTTTGTAATTTAAAATGTCGATACATTTTACTACCTACCCACCTACTTTAAAAACTTGACTATAATTGTTTGTGGGAATCTCACAAACGAATAGTTTGAAATTTGCCCCATTAATTCACAGTAGAGAACGAGTATGCAACTGTTTCAATTACCTATTTCGTATCTGCAATACTGGCGATTGAGACTTGGCTCCCTTTGGTTTGTATAGCCACGTTGCCTATTTCTACTGGAATGCTTTCCAGTCTGAAAGGTAGGAAAGCCATTGTTTAAATTCAACTGCGAATTTATGTCCTTCTTCAAACGAGGCTTGTGGAGAGTATTAAGCGGCAGGCAGCGGCTTGGCTCTGCCCCTGGCATTGCTGAAGTCCATGGGCGACGGTGACCACTCACCATCAGGTGGGCCGTATGCTCGTCAGCCTACAAGGGCAATAAAAAAAAAAAAAATTGGCATTATATCGTAAGAACTTAGGATTTCGGTGACCGCTTAACAATCAATGCGCCTTGAGTGCTTTTTCACAATGACGACAATTAAAAAAATCTTTATTTAGGCACCACCACTATATGTGCGGTATACGCCTGAAGGAACTCCAGGACCAGCGGATCGGATGCCTATACGATTAAGTACTAGCAAAGATAGTAGTTGTCGTTGGACTACCATGCCACTACTGCCTCGTGATCGGCTTGAAGGGTTAGGGAGTCCAGTGAAGGTAAAATCTTGTGTTCTATGTTAAACACAATTAACTGATTAGAACGAATATTTAATTGGATTGAAGCCATGGGCGTTGAGTTCTACTGAAATGCATGAGTGCCTTACAGCAAAAAGGGATGATTTGTGCTACATTGATTTGACGTAATACACTCTTTTTTGGTCATAAATTTTGAAGAAAATCGTTCATCAAACGGCCAATAATTATATAACCTTTGTGTATCTGTAGGATAATTTTCAGGAAATTTTAACTATTATATTTATGGAAACAAATAAAATTGGAATTCAACATTTATGCTTTATAATGACAACTACTTTTATGATTTAATATTATTCGCGTTTCCTGTAAAATATTCGAAGCGTCGGAAAAAATATTATGACAATAAAAAACGCGATATAAAGCCGTTAAAATTGTTTGAATTATGTCTATGAATCGCAAACATGGCTGATTTTTGTTTTCATTTTAGACGGGAGCTAAGTTAGTCCTGAAGAACTGTGTTGCAGATAAGAGTTTATGTGTTATGAATCAAAATTGGATGCAAACTTTTTTTGGATCTGTTAGTGTTCAATATAATATACTTAGCATTGCTTTCATTTTTTGATAAAGGTATGACAATTTAGAAACTTAAAGACGACTTAAAGACGACTGTTTCGTGCCTTTTAGTGAGAAATGGGAAAGCGGTAGATAGCGACTTGGCTCTGGCCTTGGCATTGTTGAAGTCCATGGGCGACGGTAACCACTCAGCATCAGGTGGGCTGTATGCTCGTCTGCTTACAAGGGCAATAAAAAAAAGCTGTTGTTTTGTTAAAAATATTCAATAATACAAATTATTTTCTTTACTTAGATTCGATTTGTGTTATTTATTTTAACATTTAAAAATTTCGTTTTGTGGCAGTCGAATTTGCGTATTAATCATGAACAATAAAAGTAATATGCATAAAATAAAACTTGGATTCGTTACAATACTTTAAGACACCTGCTATATTGTACTGGTGGTAGAACGTCTTGTGAGTCCGCACGGGTATGTATCACCACCCTGCCTATTTCTGCCGTGAAGCAGTAATACGTTTCAGTTTGAAGGGCGGGTAGCTTTTGTACTGTACTGTAAAACTAATACTTTAGAACTCAGGTCTCACGGTGAGTGGCGGCATTTACTTTGTATTTTTTTTTTGTCATATTCATGTCTATGGGGTCTGGTAACCACTTAATATCAAGTGGGCCGTGAGCTCGTACACCCATCTAAGCAATAAAAAAATTATCAAATGTTGGCGAATAACACCTTAATTGTTCGTCCTAAGATGGTCCTAAGCATTAAAAAATAATAATAATAAATATTAAATTCATTTTCAAATACACTATGGCGCTGATAGCGCAAAATTTTCAAATTGAATGAAAATGAAGTACATAACTTTGTTTCATCTTTTATAATATATCAGTATATGCAATCAAACTTAATCCTGAAATATGACATCATTTAATGATTCTGGGGGAAGTTAACAGGGGAAGTTGAAAGGGGGCTCAAGTGCTCTTTAGATTATCTCAAAGCTTTCGTTATGACGTCGGTGCGTTTGTGGAATTTGTTATAAATATATTAAGAGCAAGGGTCGGGAACAAAAAAATTGTCGTGAAGAAAAATCTAAACGAAGAGAACGATGTTTTCTTTGAACTTCATAAATTCAAATAGTGATTCGTTTTTAATTTATTTTATTTAAATTTATTTTATAATCAAGACAGTGTAGATAATAACAATTCTTAGCGTAGTTCTATAAACTGCAAATACACTGGAAAGGCACAAATCACTTATATAAACAAAGTTGAAATAATTTGATTCATAAATTTATCAGTAAATAAAAATACAGTAAATCACATAAATAATGATATTATTTTATATAATTATTATATTTATGTGATTTACTGTATTTTAGCGGTTTAACGGTTTGACTTTAATATATTAGTAAGCCTAAATGCTTACTTTAGGTGCTACAGCGCCTGATTTTTGCATTGCACTTCGGCTTTGTAGCTTTATTTGACAATTATTTTCATTATCATAGCTTGCGGCAATGATATGAACTTTTAATAATGTAAACAGAATAGGCTTCGATACTGAGTAGGGATCAAACTTTATATTTTTATTTCATTACAGGAGTGTGGCGTGACATGCCGCAATTACATAGATGTTCATAAAAGGTACACGGCGGAGAACATTTTCACTCTGGTCAGCGATGTGGAAACTAAAAAGAAAAATTAAATTCATACAGTGACTTGTGTCTCGTTTTATTCTCAATTATGTTTTAGACGAAATTTTCAATGTTTGTTTTTTTAATCGTGTCTAATTCTTTGATTAATCAATAATTTGCTAGAAATTTGAACATCGTAACGCTTTGGTGATAAAGAAGTTATCAAATTGGTGTAATCTGTTTGGCTCGATCTAAGCCCACCTATTTATTATATAGCTGATTCAACCATAGCGAATGTTATTAACGTAAATATTAGATAAATTTTCTGCTCTCCGCTTATTGTATGTTCGGCAATATTCTGTTTATGTGCGTAGTTAACATTCTTCGGGTGTCCCGAATTCTCGAAACGGCCTTGGGCCTTGGCCTTTACTAAAACCGACGCCAAATACTTGTTGGCAGTTTGTTGCTGACAAAATGCGAAGGTAGCACTTTAGGAGAAACCATTTGCGACGATCTCAATATAATGCTGTTGAGGAGTTTTTTTTTCTTCCTATAATCAGTTTTTATTAGGATTATGTAATTTTTTCATGGCAACAGGATATTCATTATAATATTATTTCCTTCAGCTCGTCATAAAACGTGTTTTATTGTAATTTTCGGAATAAAACATCTAGATATTATAAATTGAGTTCAGCAAACATATTTAATGGCAACTTCAGATGTAAAACTTATGTGCAACACAGATAATAACAATATTTATTTATTTTGGATCCTTATTAAGATCTTTAAAGACAGAGAGAGAGAGGGAAAGTATACCAACTTTATTGCACACCAAAACATAATTAGCATGGAAAATTAGTCAATATAGATGTGTCTGTTAACTGTTAATCACCGTAAGGGAAATCTTAAAGCAGCGACACTAGCAGGCTACGATGGGTGATGTGTCTATGAGGATACCCACTAAAAAACCCTCAGCGCTATCAGACTAATATGTTCGTCGCGCTGGCGATCGTTCAGTTCGTGCGGCAACCACTAAAGAATATATCTTGCCGATTCGACGCAAATGGATCAATATTGTTTTGATGCTAACATTGAAAACTGCTGCTAACTCGGCGGTAAATTCAGAATATCGTCAGATTCCAATATCGTCTTTAATTCGTCGTTGTTGACTTTAGTTTTCGATCGACGACGGGGCTCATTTTTGAGATCTAAAGGACAATGCCCATATTAGTATTGAGCTGAAAGTCAACAATGCCCTGCAATGCCCAAATTGCAGCTCTATGGCATATGATAGATTTTTAACAGTGTTTATATGATATCTAGATTTAATGTCATATAAAGCACAGGTTCAAAAGATATTGGACATTAAACATGATAGTGAACTTCCTAGTGTTTTTTTTACATTTTATCGCTTACAGACAACATTGCTAAGTTTTTCACTAGGAACTTCATGATCATCACATAAGCTAAATCAGATCAGTGTTCTTTTAAATACTTATCTGTATGCTATCAAATAAACATCTCAGTTATTTGGGAATATCTAGTCTCTCTAGTCTGTTTCCATTGTATAGTGTCAACCAGACCATAAGAAATAAAGCATGAATTAATGATTAAAAAAACGATGATACGTAGGTACTGCAATGTCAATAAGAAGTCTTATTTTTTTAAATTTTTTATCCAGTGCTTCATATGATTTAAAATTAACAACATAATTCTAGCTTTTATTTATTAGAGCAATTTTGTAATATACTTTAACTGGGCGTTTCTGGGGCACAAATGGGCATTGTCTTTTCCATGTCGAAAAGGCTCAAACCAATAATTAGTCGTGCGTTTGTTTGTAATGTTCACTCCGTACACGTCATTTTAATGTTGCGAGCCGTTTATGCGGCATTGTTACTGCGACGGAACTCGTGTTCCATAATTACTCGTATTTTTATCTTGTCCATATTGGTGAAAAACAAACAAATATAGTGAAAACACTATGTAACTAAAATAAATTCAACACTAATGAACATTAACTACTTTTTACTGGTGGTAGGATCTCTTGTGAGTCGGCGCGGGTAGGTACTACCACCCTGCCTATTTCTGCCGTGAAGCAGTAATGCGTTTCGCTTTGAAGTGTGAGGCAGCGGTTGTAACTATACTTGAGACCTTAGAACTTATATCTCAAGGTGGGTGGCGCATTTACGTTGTAGATGTCTATGGGCTTCAGTAACCACTTAACATCAATTGGGCTGTGAGCTCGTACACCCATCAAAGCAATAAAAAAAAAAGAAAAAAAATTTGTAGAGTATGTTGCATCCCGAACCTGTATTATCATATTTACATATTAGAGTCATGATGAAATCATCCGTGCCGCTGCGCCGTTCTCTACAATAAACAGTGGGTTGACACTTAAAATTCCATTAAAATTTAGTATTATACTGTATATTATGGGCAACTAAAAGTGTAAATAGCTTATGATCGATTGTAAAATATATTCTGGTAATGAGATGTTTAGAGTATGAATGAATTCAGTATACTTATAAGCTTTAGTTCACACCACAGATAATAAATACACTTAAAATATTCACACTCTGAGATGAGGAAAGACAGTGTCAATTTAAAAAAAGTGACACGTTGTTTTCTACTTGCCAATCTATTTTGTTATGTCATTAAATTGTTATACATATTACAAACATATTATAGTTTAGTTATGAAAAAAACTGAGGAGGACAGAGGTATTGTGTATAGTAACCGCGTGCGTGTTGGTAATTGGTACGAAGCCACCAAACTAGAAGAGGTAATTACTTTGAAGTGCGCTCAAAGTTATGACATATAGTACAACTCTTTATAAGTTTAGATAATTTTAGTACTTTAATTAGTACTGATAGTACTGAAATCAGCGTTGCTTTCTAGATGAATAATGTAGATACCCACATATATGTTGAGAAATCGCAGTAAAAAACTTGTGACGATAGCGAGGTTTGCTTTGATGTTGCAGTTGCAGTCGCATTTCTCAGCTTGCGCGCCCACCGCGTGCTATAAGCGTCGCATTTGTATAAACATCTGCCTCAGTTTGATTTTAATTTTTTTTTATTTAATTTTTAATAGAAATTAATACCAGATAAAAGACTGTTTGGGTTTCAATCAGAAGATATGATTGATATGTGACTATCTTAAGTACTACTTTAGTCCTAGCAGCTGTGTCTCTATTTGATTTTCCTTCTTATTTTTTTCCTCACAATATTTTGAAATAAGATAGGTATCTATACTTTGGCGTTTTCTTGTTTAGTACAAAACCAGGTCACACAACATCACATTTCGGTTTTATAGTAGGATACGTTGTGCGCGCACATACGCTGGTATAGCTCTGGTCTAATTTTGCCTCGAATTTGAGATAGAGAGTCGCTACTCTTTCCCGGTTGAATCATTGAAAAATCGCTAACTCGTGTTCAACAGTAATCTGGCCCGTATTAGGAAATGCCTGCGTAAGTCAGATAGACGGTTGTGGGCTGTCGATGTTGATATATTTTTTTATTATTATTGCCCTTGTAGGCAGACGAGCATACGGCTCACCTGATGGTGAGTGGTTACCGTCGCCCATGGACTTCAGCAATGCCAGGGGCAGAGCCAAGCCGCTGCCTACCGCTTAATACTCTCCACAGGCCTCGTTTGAAGAAGGACATGTCATAGCGCTCGAGAAAAACCGTGGAGGGGAGCTCATTCCATAGCCGGGTGGTACGTGGCAAAAAATACCTCTGGAAACGCACTGTGGATGACCGCAGTGGCTCCAGGTAGTATGGATGAACTCTACTCCGGTGGCGGGCGGTGCGATGGTAAAAACGATATGCCGGTATCATCTCGAACAATTTCTCCCATGGAACATAAGGTACAAAAAATACAGAGGGAACCGAAGTCCCTCCGCAGACCCAGAGGCTCCAAAAATCTGTCAATTGTATCTGATAGCCGCTTAACACCAACTAGATCACGGATCGTCTGGTCTTTGACGCTAACAAAACATAGATTTACATCGATTAGTAAAGTAATCTCTACACAATAGTATTACCTTAATTAAAACTACTTTATCGGTTTAATTTCGCTTTGATTGTTTTTATTTCATTATTTCCGATGTTTCGAATACTTTACAGTTTACTTGGTTTTGGACGACCAAGTGAGATCATTTTCACGATGAGATGAACCCAGTTGCTCATTCGTGACCATTAAAGCTGTAACGATTCAAAACGTTCGAAGTATTATAATCAAATGTAAATAAGAAACTTGAGGTTAAGTCGTAAAAGTAGTTTACCTACGTCTACGAGTCAGGAAACCGATGAAAATTTTCATTGGTGGTAGGACCTCTTGGGAGTCCGCACGGGTAGGTACTACCACCCCGCCTATTTCCGCCGTGAAGCAGTAATGCGTTTCGGTTCGAAGGGTGGGGTAGCCGTTGTAACTATACTGAGACCTTAGAACTTATATCTCAAGGTGGGTGACGCATTTACGTTGTAGATGTCTATGGGCTCCAGTAACCACTTAACACCAGGTGGGCTGTGAGCTCGTCCACTCATCTAAGCAATAAAAAAATTACTGCGATAGCATCATCATCATTATAATTGATGTTTTATTTTTTAGTACAAGCTTAATATATTTCTCGAACAAATGAAAAAAGGCGACCTCATGCTAGCACGGTTTCGTAAAATGACGGAGAATCTTAACAAGCCGACTGTGTTGACACAATCGTCTGGAAGCATTGCTTTCGGGGCTAGGATATCATTACTCGCTCCCCACGTACCCGGTAAATTTCAAAAGAAATCAATTTGTAGGTCTGACATTATGTTTTTAGAAGACCATGTTTAAAGAAAAACTGATACTTTTAGCGTCAGACCCACCAGTGGAAGGGAAAAACGGACTGCTTCTTGGTGGTAGAATCTCATCCAATGACATCATTCGCTCTCAGGTGTTAATTGATGGTTGCTCTCTTGTTGGAATGCCAGATCTGAAGCCGGTTGAAAGTAGTACCTTTGTAATTACTAGCGCAGATTACTGTAATAGAGAAGGCGAACCTTTGAAATACAATCAAGAGTTTTTATTGGCATTATCTTCGTCTCTCGATAAAAAGGTAAGCTTCGTACATTTGTCATTGAATATTGTAGATAATAGTTGTTCGAATATTCTTATGCTAAAAATATTGTTATTATTGATAAGGCCGAGCAAATATGGACAAAGAGCAAATCAATTTACCTGATCCAGATCAGTAACTTATTCAATAAAACAGAATAGACGGGCCAGCAAAACACGGGACAAAGTTGCTGGCCTCCAGAAAATTTAATCTTGGTAAAAGAGCCATACATTTTGTTACGGAAAATTCTGTTCATTTCGATAAGCTTTGTCTTTCTTCGCGAATTTACCTGACATATAATATAAGATAAAACCTCAGAAGACTGATTAAGACCCGTAACAGATCTCATTTCATCCGTAAGAAATCTACTGCTGAATAAAGGACCTCTCCTATATATATTATTTATTTATTATCTCATAATTATTCTATTATAGGACATTTAACGGCCGTCTGGTGTAGTGGTAAGTGACATGGTCACTACATAAGGGGGTCGCGGGTTCGAATCCCGCCAAGGGAAGATATTTGTATGATAAATATAAATGTCTTTTCCAGGGTTATGGATGTATATTAAATATATGTATGTCTATAATAAAAATCCTTACATTTATTTCCGTTATCTGGTACCTGTAACACAAGTTCTTTACGAACTTATCACGGGACCAGTTAACGTGGCGTGATTGTTAGTAATTATTTATTTAGTAAGTATTTATTTATTTATATACATATAATTCTATATTTAGAACGTATTTGCTACGTAACTCATAAAAAGCGACCTGCGTACACTCTCGAAATCACAATATTTTAATTTGAAAACGAATTTTCCAAGCAATCTAGTGTTAATCACCAATAATGTTATTACTTATTTCACAATACATTTTTGCGTAATGACGATAATGTAGATATAACAGTGGACGTTTTTCATGTTATTTTTTTCGTGTGACCTTATTAACATAACAATGTAAGAAAGTTGAATTTTTAATGAGGGAAGTTGTTGTTATTTGGTTTTCGATGTTTTTCCTTGTACGCATTTACGTAACATTTCAGCCTCTATATATACGGTATGATCCAAATCCGATACCGGGCCTTTGTAGTTTGTTTCCCTTGTACCTGAGTGAACATTTTGTGTCGAACACACGTTGGCGAGTGTTGCCGATACAGAGTCCAACAATCACCCGATTTGAACTGGAAGGGAAACCAATCACAGTGAGTAAATTATTATTCTCAAATTCAATCACAAATTTTCAGGATCGAACATTTTTAAATTGAATATATCAAAATATGTTTTAGGAACTAAGTCGGTAGTTAGTGTATATTCAATAGGTACGTATGTGCGTCAATCAACGTTCAATACGTAATAAACGTACTTAACAAATGTTCACGACTTACTTCTATGGTGAAGGAATAAATAACATTGTGTAATAAAAATGAAATCCGCGAAATTATAATTTGCGTAATTATTGTTGGTAGGGTTGGTCTTGTGAGTCCGCACTGGTTGGTACCACCACCCTGCCTATTTCTGCCGTGAGGCAGTAATGTGTTTCGATTTGAAGGGTAGGGGTTAAAACTGAGACTTTAGAACTCATGTGTCAAGGTGGAACTCATGTGTCAAGGTGAGTATTTGAGATGTCGAAAACAATATAATAATCATAATAAGCGCGAAATTAAAAGGAAGAAGTAGTTTTAATTATGTCTATGACTCGCGGAAACCGAAAACATACCATATTTAATAAATTATAGTTTTAATGAGAGTCGAAAATTGACTTGATTTGCTGAGTTGCTCTTTAGATATGGTAATATTTTGAATAAGCGCTAAAGTATTTTTTTCTAATAATTATGTTCATCTGTCCTGTTATAATTAGTTGTTAACTCTTATTTTGGTTTTAATCTTGTTTCCAATGGTCACAGCTTACATCACATTAATAACTATTATATCATCATACATTATCTTGATCATCATACATTACTTGATCCCCTAGACTTTATATTGTATCGAGGTTTGGTGCTGGCAGTGAAAATAATTCTGTTTAGATTGTGAAATTAAAAATGTTATTCATATAAGTAAGTATACAAGCCGTACTCGCCCGCTTCGCTGTACATTTAAAATTAACATTATTATTTATTGTCATTATTATTAAGGAATCCAATACTCATATAAATATTAGCCTATCCTTTAAGTGCATGTATTTTCTACATACCAAGTTTCAAGTCAACCGGATGCATTGTTCAGTAGTTATAACGGAACATCCGTAAAAACCACTGTAGATTTATATATTAGTATAGATTTCTGGTTTAATTGTCATTATCATTCTCAGGTAAACGAGGATGTAGTAGTAAATCATTGTGCGACAAATGTCAACCTTGGTATTAATGTAGGTTGCTGGGCGATGGGATTTTATGGAAAGGTAAGACAATTTTTTAGTATGGAAGATTATATGCCTATTTTTGCGTCAATCGAATACTTAATTTTCCAGAAAAAGACGTACATTTTTAGCTATTTACAGTAAATTTCAGCCGATAGCATTGAAAAAGTCGGCTAGTCATATTATTAGTTGTTCTTGATAAACAGAAAGGCTTTTAACCTATCTGGTATCATGTGGTCTCTAGTGCCTATAGATGCTTCAGCGTTTATATTGAGATTCGATTACTTGAAATAATGATCCACGGGAAATCATTTTTATTTTTTTTAACACGGTATCATTTTGCTGATTACATACGATCCAACTGTTATGAAGTACTTAACGAAATCCAAAGACATCACAACGTGAAAGCCCCCACTTACCTAGAGACATGAGGTCCAAATTTTAGTTGTATTATTGTGTTGAATTAAGGCTGTCCGTCCTGTTGAAACCAGAACGCATGATTGCTTTGGAGTAGAAATAACGCGAAAGGGTGGCAGCTTACTGTGTGGATTCACAGGCTAAAACCAGCAAACGCTAATTGGCGATCTTAGTAAAATGATAGAATAGGTGAAACCCTTAGTTGTTTTTTACGACCCTACGGGAAAACATGAAGTGGTGCTACTCTAAGCCGGCTGTCATTACACATTCAAAATGTTAATTATTTCACCATCGTATGGACGTTGTCCATGAATCCCTTAGGAATATACACATGTAACTTATAATTTGGTAGCATCCGAGAATTGAATACTGACAGTAGCTTTTCATTTCATTGCATAATTTAAAGTCATTGGTGAAATTATTTTGAAATTGTTTTCACCAGTGACTTTAAATGAATCCATTGGCGTGGTTCAATTTTAATCAATTGTCATTTATAAACACTTTTGACAGATCTGTGCACCTATCATGAAGACATGCCTAGATGTGTATGGTCGAGAGCTTCCAAATAATGTATGGCAAATTTATACGCCCATAGCTAATTAGGAACATTCATTGACTGTAGTTTAGAAGATAAAAAAATTCTAGATTTCATTAAAATCTATTTTTATTTTTTTTGTTTCACGTCGTATTATTTTATGTACCTATATTTTACTTTTATGAATAAATAATTATTATATTTTTTTAAGAAACATGCATGGCTTGTGATTTATTATAATTTAAGTCAGATTTGAAAAGAAGATTTCTTTTGTCCTAGAAGACTGGTGAATATCATTAGAATGAAACGTAAACGTTTTTACTGGTGGTAGGACCTGTTGTGAGTCCGCGCGGTTGGGTACCACCACCCTGCCTATTTCTGCCGTGAAGCAGTAATGCGTTTCGGTTTGAAGGGTGGGGCAGCCGTTGTAACTATACGTGAGACCTTAGAACTTATATCTCAAGGTGGGTGGCGCATTTACGTTGGGGATGTCTATGGGCTCAAGTAACCACTTCACACGAGGTGGCCTGTGAGCTCGTCCACCCATCTAAGCAATAAATAAAAAGCAATAAAAAAAAACGTAAAAATATTTAAGTTTATACAAATTAGTTTCTAATCGACACTCTTAGTCGATTTACAGTTTTCTCTGCCACGAGTTTGTATAGAAAAATTACAACGTTAAACAACAAATATGTAACTGAAATCATTAGATTCGATATAGTCGCTTCTTAATATGCGGCTTGAATTCTAAAGTCTTTTTGTTGTTGGAACTTATTGCGTCTGCCGTCAGTAACATGAATAAGTCATACCCTTCGTTATAAGAAATGATCTAAAATACTGTGATCATGAATTTTGAATGAAAGTATAATTCTCGATTCGATTTCAATCTTTTATTGATGTTAAGGTGGAAATGGATTGCATTCGTGTCGTGCAAGTTGTGTGATTGACTGATTTGTTTTATTTCGTCTATTTAGTGTTTCTTCAGGTTTAAATGTGTAATAACGGTATTACGGCTTATTAACTGCTTATTAACGGCTTATTAACTGTTTAATATTTGTGAAAGTGCACAAATGTGGGAAAATGAAACAAAGCCGCTGGACGTAATTTTTTGGCACCCTCCAAAAAATCCACTGAAAAAATTTCAGTAAATGACCACCATTTTACTGAGATTATATTTCATCCCATATCATCTCATCTCATCTCATTTCATTTAATTTTATCCCAGTTGATTAATGTCTCAAATTAATCATCTTCATTTCATTTCACTCCATATTATCATTTTTCATAAAAATAAGAATATAAATTAAAATAAGACATGACTTAAACATCATAAAAAAACCGCCAAAAAGCGTAACCGCATAAAATACTAAATTTTCTATTCTATTCTATTCTATCAGCCGATGGACGTCCACTGCTGGACATAGGCCTCCCCCAAGCCTCGCCACAAAGACCGGTCCTGCGCTGCCTGCATCCAGCGGATCCCCGCGAACCTCAATAGGTCGTCGGCCCACCTTGTGGGAGGCCTACCCACGCTACGTCTTCCAGTACGCGGTCGCCACTCAAGAACCTTCTGGGCCCAACGGCCATCCGTTCCGCGAACAATGTGTCCTGCCCACTGCCACTTCAGTGTCGCAAGCCTTTGGGCTATGTCGGTTACCATGGTTTTCCTGCGAATCTCCTCATTTCTGATTTAATCTCGCAGGGAAACTCCGAGCATAGCCCTCTCCATTCTCTTTGGGTGACCTTGAGCCTTCTCATAAGGCCCATTGTGAGCGACCACGTCTCAGTGCCATATGTCATCACTGGCAACACACACTGGTCAAAGACTTTCGTTTTGGGACACTGTGGTATTTGTGATGAGAAGATTTTACGTAGCTTTCCGAACGCTGCCCATCCGAGCTGGATTCGACGGTTGACCTTTTTTTCGAAGTTGGACTTACAGTCGTCGTGGCCTAAAGGATAAGGCGTCCGGTGCATTCGTATCGAGCGGTGCACTGGTGTTCGAATCTCGCTGGCGGGTACCAATTTTTCTACTGAAATACGTACTCAACAAATGTTCACGATTGACTTCCACGGTGAAGGAATAACACCGTGCAATAAAAATCAAACCCGCAAAATTATAATTTGCGTAATTACTGGTGGTAGGACCTCTTGTGAGTCCGCACGGGTAGGTACCACCGCCCCGCCTATTTCTGCCGTGAAGCAGTAATGCGTTTCGGTTTGAAGGGTGGGGCAGNTTCGTGCTGCGATAGACGACTGGCCGCGCAGATTGAAGGCTTGTATTCAAAATCACGGAGGTCATTTTGAATAAACTTTAGTGTCATAAGAATCTATGTTTTGTTAAGTTCATTTTGGTATATGAATGGTTACATAATGAATAAACTTGTTTCAATTATTTTACATTAAACATGTGACAGAATTTATGACCTGACTAGGTATATTAGTATAGATTTCTGATTTAATTGTCATTATCATTCTCAGGTAAACGAGGATGTAGTAGTAAATCATTGTGCGACAAATGTCAACCTTGGCATTAATGTAGGTTGCTGGGCGATGGGATTTTATGGAAAGGTAAGACAATTTATTTGTATGGAAGACTATATGCCTCTTTTTGCGTCAATAGAATACTTCATTTTCCAGAAAAGGATGTACGTTTTTAGCTATTTACAGTAAATTTCAGCCAATAGCATTGAAAAAGTCGGCTAGTCATATTATTAGTTGTTCTTGATGAACAGAAAGTCTTTTAACCTATCTGGTATCATGTGGTCTCTGGAGCATATAGATGCTTCTGCGTTTATATTGAGATTCGATTACTTGAAATAATCATCCACGGGAAATCATGTTTATTTTATTTTTTTAACACGGTAATATTTTGCTGCTTACATACGGCCCAACTGTTATGAAGTACTTAAAGAAATCCAAAGACATCACAACGTGAAAGCCCCCACTTACCTAGAAACATGAGGTCCAAATTTAAGTTGTATTATTGTGTTGAATTAAGGCTGTCCGTCCTGTTGAAACCAGAACGCATGATTGCTTTGCAGTAGAAATAACGCGAAAGGGTGGCAGCTTACTGTGTGGATTCACAGGCTAAAACCAGTAAACGCTAATTGGCGATCTTAGTAAAATGATAGAATAGGTGAAACCCTTATTTGTTTTTTACGACCCTACGGGAAAACATGAAGTGGTGCTACTCTAAGCCGGCTGTCATTACACATTCAAAATTTTAATTATTTCATCATCGTATGGATGTTGTCCATGAACCCCTTAGGAATATACACATGTAACTTATAATTTGGTAGCATCCGAGAATTGAATACTGACAGTAGCTTTTCATTTCATTGCATAATTTAAAGTCATTGGTGAAATTATTTTAAAATTGTTTTCACCAGTGACTTGAAATTAATCCATTGGCGTGGTTTAATTTTTATTCATTGTCATTTATAAACACTTTTGACAGATCTGTGCACCTATCATGAAGACATGCCTTGATGTGTATGGTCGAGAGCTTCCAAATAATGTATGGCAAATTTATACGCCCATAGCTAATTAGGAACATTCATTGACTGTAGTTTAGAAGATAAAAAAATTCTAGATTTCATTAAAATCTATTTTTATTTTTTTTGTTTCACGTCGTATTATTTTATGTACCTATATTTTACTTTTATGAATAAATAATTATTATATTTTTTTAAGAAACATGCATGGCTTGTGATTTATTATAATTTAAGTCAGATTTGAAAAGAAGATTTCTTTTGTCCGAGAAGACTGGTGAATGTCATTAGAATGAAACGTAAACGTTTTTACTGGTGGTAGGACCTGTTGTGAGTCCGCGCGGTTGGGTACCACCACCCTGCCTATTTCTGCCGTGAAGCAGTAATGCGTTTCGGTTTGAAGGGTGGGGCAGCCGTTGTAACTATACGTGAGACCTTAGAACTTATATCTCAAGGTGGGTGGCGCATTTACGTTGTGGATGTCTATGGGCTCAAGTAACCACTTCACACCAGGTGGCCTGTGAGCTCGTCCACCCATCTAAGCAATAAATAAAAAGCAATAAAAAAAAACGTAAAAATATTTAAGTTTATACAAATTAGTTTCTAATCGACACTCTTAGTCGATTTACAGTTTTCTCTGCCACGAGTTTGTATAGAAAAATTACAACGTTAAACAACAAATATGTAACTGAAATCATTAGATTCGATATTGTCGCTTCTTAATATGCGGCTTGAATTCTGAAGTCTTTTTGTTGTTGGAACTTATTGCGTCTGCCGTCAGCAACATGAATAAGTCATACCCTTCGTTATAAGAAATGATCTAAAATACTGTGATCATGAATTTTGAATGAAAGTATAATTCTCGATTCGATTTCAACCTTTTATTGATGTTAAGGTGGAAATGGATTGCATTCGTGTCTTACCAATTAATTATGTTAATTTCAGTTTTGGCTTAAGTCAAGTATAAAAAATAGGAATAATCGTAACGCGATCTTGTTCTAATATTACATAAAGTTACTAAGACTATAAATCCTCATTTGATACCGTTGCCTGATAATTTATTAAAATTACCGCCAAAAAGGACTTTTTGGCGGGAACGCGAGGAGTGAAGTTGTGTGATTTGTTTTATTTCGTCTATTTAGTGTTTCTTCAGGTTTAAATGTATAATAACGGTGGCTTATTAACTGTTTAATATCTGTGAAAGTGCACAAATGTGGGAAAATGAAACAAAGTCGCTGGACGTAACTCTTTGGGACCCTCCCAAAAATCCACTGAAAAATTTTCAGTAAATGACCACCATTTTACTGAGATTATATTTCATCCCATATCATCTCATCTCATTTCATTTAATTTTATCCCAGTTGATTTATGTCTCAAATTAATCATCTTCATTTCATTTCACTCCATATTATCATTTTTCATAAAAATAAGAATATAAATTAAAATAAGACGTGACTTAAAAAAAACCGCCAAAAAGCGTAACCGCATAAAATATTAAATTTTCTATTCTATCAGCCCATGGACGTCCACTGCTGGACATAGGCCTCCCCCAAGCCTCGCCACAAAGACCGGTCCTGCGCTGCCTGCATCCAGCGGATCCCCGTGAACCTCAATAGGTCGTCGGCCCACCTTGTGGGAGGCCTACCCACGCTACGTCTTCCAGTACGCGGTCGCCACTCAAGAACCTTCTGGCCTCAACGGCCATCCGTTCCGCGAGCAATGTGTCCTGCCTACTGCCACTTCAGTGTCGCAATCCTTTGGGCTATGTCGGTTACCATGGTTTTCCTGCGAATCTCCTCATTTCTGATTTGATCTCGCAGGGAAACTCCGAGCATAGCCCTCTCCATTGCTCTTTGGGTGACCTTGAGCCTTCTCATAAGGCCCATTGTGAGCGACCACGTCTCAGTGCCATATGTCATCACTGGCAACACACACTGGTCAAAGACTTTCGTCTTGAGACACTGTGGTATTTGTGATGAGAAGATTTTACGTAGCTTTCCGAACGCTGCCCATCCGAGCTGGATTTGACGGTTGACATCTTTTTCGAAGTTGGACTTACCTAGCTGGACAGTGTGTCCCAGGTAAATATACTCGTCAACAACTTCGAGCGTAGAGCCTCTGATCTTTACTGGAGTGGGCGCTACATGAGCATTCAACATAATTTTTGCTTTTTCCTTGTTCATGTTATCAATAATTAATAATAATTTATTAGTAAAATACATAATATACTTATTTATTAATAATTTATGTTTGAAAACGAGCTACATAATCGCCACCCGCACCAGTAGTTCGTGATTACCTCCGCGCATTCATTGTTATAAAGTGAATATATAAAAAACCAGCCCGATTACGGGACGGAATACAAATAATAACTTTCACGAATAAAATCCAAAGTTTTTGACGGTGTAACTGAAAATGTTTTGTTCTACTTCCGCAGACGACGAGTAAGTACCCAATGACGTTACTTGACCGCATAAAACCGGCAACACGAAATCCTCCACCTAAGGATCGAGGTTATTTTTTTATTGCTTAGATGAGTGGACGAGTTCACAGCCGACCCGGTGTTAAGTGGTTACTGGAGCCCATAGACATCTACAACGTAAATGCGCCACCCACCTTAAGTCTTAAGTTAAGAAGTCTCATCTTATTTCCATAGACTGTCTGATTTGTGCCCAAACAGACTCTAACGTGCCATACTAGTAAATATTTCAAAAATTGTTCAACGCACGGTATTGAATCGAAACTAAGCTGAAAATTACTGAAAGTTTAAAGTGCTGAGTTCCATTAATTAAACTTTCAGTAATTTTCAGCTTAGCAGATTTTTTGACATAAAATCTTTATTTAATATTTCCGTTGCAAAGTTAAATAGTCAGGGGTGAATACACTTTACGTTAGTAGTAAAATTAGAAACGCATATTTCACAAACTATGGACTTAAATAACAACCACTGAAAAACTCATTTTTAGACTAACGTACCTAGACTAACTAGACCTAAAATATTTTTTCGAAAAAATCGCTGTAACCTATATAATTTTAGATATAGAGGGATTTTTTTAGGTACGCAACCCTAAAAAGACATGTAATTCCTAATTGGTTCGAAGTAAATAAACATTTGAATTGAAGAAATGTTATTGTTGGTTCCGAGTTGTAGTTCAATTTAAATGTCTCCAAGTTTCAAGATCCCAGTGTATTTTCGAGTGCTCTCTTTCGATAATGAGCGTATTTCATTGAATCCGGGAAACCATTGAGTCTCGGGACATGGTACAAGTTTTGATAAAAGGACTTGAAATATCCGCTGAGCCCTCGCTGTATTCCCTTTCATTATCTGGCTTTTCTCGTAAGCTTTTTTCCATTTGAAAATTGACTTCGTTATTGATCCACAATCCTTCCTTTTCTTGGAGTTCTTGCTTTTTCATTTTTTTTCTTTTCATCGTTGAGTTGCTATTTATTACACGACGCTAACTTTAGTTTTATCTCTCGGAACTCCAGGGGGTGTTTCCTTGTGTGTCTTTCGACAGGGTAAATTATGTTTAAACACAATAAAATCACAGATTTTTATCGAACGACATTATTCGGAAATATGTAATGAATTAGTGGACAAACTGAACCATTTATAGTGTTTTTTTTCTTCGAGTTAAGTATGTCGTAGACATAAAACACCAGGCGTCAGTGACTATGAAAATTGAAGTAGGTAATATCTTAATGACAATAAAAAAAACACGAGATTAAAGCGTAAAAGCAATTTTAATTAATATCTGAAAGGACTAAAATCACGTAAGATTTTCTTACTTAGAAAAATTTGCCTACGGAAAAGGCTATCTACAAGCGAATTCAGAACTATATTTACAGCGAAATATCTAAAGTCTGATAAACTTAATTGACGCACTACAAAATTAACGTAGTTTTGTTTGAAGTGAACGTTGTGTTGCTACGTGTTCATTCGGCTTACTCGAGTAGAATGCTTGAGGTATTATGAAAATTTAATTATACTCCTCCTTTCTGAATTTCCGCACGTGGAATCCGCAATGAACAAAATGCACTCAAAACATGGGGACTTGTATCTAACTCATAATGAGTGATGTTTAACATACTGTGTGCATAATCCCTTCATTACATACCATATACATAATTCCTTCAAAAGTGGGTGTAGACTGTAGAATAAAGTTTGTCCAATTAAAATTTAATTTAAATTCGAAATCATTTGTTTCGTTTTGGACGTCATTGAACGTCCTTAATGAAAGGCACAATAAATTCTACCACATGTTCCAAGAAGGTTCAGAGTCTAGACAAGAACTGAGATTAAGTGTACGGGCTTTTTTTTAAATATTATTAATGTAAACTATTATAATTTTAATATGAGTTCTCCTCTGTTTGTTATCCGATTTTTTTTTCCGTTTAGAAACTTACGTCTTGTTATTTTGGAAACATGTCTGTTTTTTTCCGCCTTTTCAAAAAATTTAAATACGAAATTTAATTTAGTTTTTTTTTATATGTGTAAGTATTACATAAAACCCAAAGAAGATTTTTAAAGCGTCAGTGAATCGAGTCAAATTTCAGCAAGTGAGCGAGCACTAGTAATAAGCATAAATACTTTTTTTTGTGAGTTTTTGTTTCTTGAAGTCGCAATCTTTCATAAATACAGCTGGTTTACTCCGTGCCACAAGAGACAGTAAACCCAATTTGTATTTATATTATTTATGGTACATTACATGCCTAAAATGCACGCGCTTATACTTTTTTCCTTCGGTGCTGGATCAATAGCAGGGTCTCAATGGCAGGATTTTATAATATTTATAAATTAAAAATGTTATTTCTATAACAAGGATGAATTAAAATAAAAGAAACAGGTCTGCATTACCGAGCCCTGGCCAAAGATTTCTTCTCCTTATTGAGTTAGGTGTCGTGATAGTTTTTCTTCGGTCTACGCATCCTGATCCACTTCAGAGATATGCAATTAATTTGTGGGCCAAAATTTGTCCTTTGATTCCCCAATAATATAATTAGGGCCATGTATTACGATTTCTACACGAACCTTTTTCTTTGTAGCACGCATGTCAGTTATGATAATGATTTTATTATCATAA